GTGTTGCGATTGCTAAAGACTACTGAAAGTACAAGGACGCCGAGTCGGCCTCGGCCTCTGTGGCCGGTCCGAGCTCGATACGAATTGCCACTGCGCAGTAGCATGGACACAGTAGCATGTATGTAGCAGCATACTACAAGTGCATGCCACTCTACGGATACAATTGCAGTGCCATAGCTACTCAGACATAGTCTGCGGTAGTACTCCGTACTCTCAATCTCAAGTATGAATATGCCATCCGCGGAAATCCCGACTCGCTCGTCCAAAGTACCCCATCCATGGCAAAAGCTCACCTACAAAAATCCCTCACGATCGGCCAGTGGAACCAATCAATCGGCTAGTCGGACGATGGAGCCGCCTTCCCTTTTGGTTGGGCCTGTGACATTACGCCATGGGCAAATTAGGCCCGCGCTACTGTAGGAACACGCCTAGTTTGTCCTAGTAGTTTTTACTAGTAAGGTACAAGTACCCTGTACAGGTACAAGTGTATCTTAGTGTGGTATTCCGGTTTAGGTGTTAGCATGGTATTATTGATGACAACGATTTGGTGGACTGGTGATTGGTCGGACAAGCGAGGCGGATCTAGCCGCAATGGGAATTTTGCTCCTCAGTCTGTCTTGTCTGGCTGTCGAGGACGGTTAACCGATTTGCCGTATGATACTGTGCCATGGTTACTGTGTAGAGACAAAGTAAGACAGCCGATTCCGAATTAAGTCCAGTACCGTCCAACCGAGGCCTCGTCCAGCACGCGAATCAGGGACCATGGTCCACCTCAAGAGTACGATAACCTTCGACCGTTTTTCTAGAAAACGTCCAGAACATGACAACTCACTACGGAGTACCGGTTGCTGCAAGTAGCACGCATGTACCTGTACATCGTCTCGCCTCGCTTCACCCCCGATACATACTCGATATGAGGCATTTTGGATCCCATCTTTCGGAATGGGAGCCCGTGGGAGAGTCGGCACGGGATATACGGGATGGATAATGTGCCCGTAGGGCGTATGCCGTAGAATGGGTGGTGGTATTTTGTACGTACGAGCAATGCATATTCTCGCATCGCAGCGGTGAACTGCAAGATGGATGGTCTCCGGACTAGCCACGTTGATGTCAGATTCTCCAGACCGGCGTTTACATAGTCGGAGTATGGAGGAATTGTATGGAGTAGTCGTGATGCATTGACCGGAACACCCGTACGGAGTTGCGCTGGAGGCGAATTATTTCTCACACCCCGGAATTCGCTCTTGTTCGTCGGATTTCTGGATCGACGTGGATATTGAAGTGCAGATGACTACAGGAGGATACGGATTGGACGGAGGACTCTTGTAGAGTGAGATTGGACAGAGGCTGCGTGTCTTCCTGCTTGTCTTGGCTTGGGATCGATATCAAGGATGTTGGAGGGAGCGGGATGTCAATTCCCACGCACCCCACACTATTTCCACTCGTACAATACACACCACAACTCGTATCCATACGCGATACACCTGATACATACGGACGATACAAGACGCTCCACTCAAGGTACTACTCTAATTATCCTCGATGGAGAAAAAAACGAGAAAAACTGAGAACGACTCACACTTTCTTCCTTCCTGCACCGCGCATATCGAAATCCAAGTATTTATAATAACCATCAATAAAGCAGACAAGTAAGTACATAATATCTGCAACCAGAACAGAGACATACATAAAAAAATAAAGAGGCTGGAATCAGTAGCTATTTCTTGCTAGCTCGAAATGAATGAAGGGAGGAGGATTACAGTATGGGGAAGGAAAGACGATCCCAAGCTCTTGGCTTACGTCGATGGCTGTTTTTTTCTTTTTTTGGGAAGCGACTGTGCTGAGAATCCCCCGGAATCCCACAGATAGTCTAAGTACGGAGTAACCATTACAGGTTTTACTGTAGCTGTGGTATCTCACCGTACTTGTTGGAGTCGAGTAGCGTGGAGGTTTGAGATGCTACTTTGTGGCCGTAGTTATCGGTAGTTTATGGGTACTGTTCAGTTAGATTGGATGAGCCGCGAAAGGCGCTGCATCCAGAAAGAGACACCGGAATGTGACGGTTTTGTCTGTACTCCGCACTATGCTTGATCTGGAGAAGAGAATCTGGGGTGACAAAAGTACGAGCGAGCGATATCATTGATGTGAGTATCTCGTATAGTTGAGTTCATTATATTAATTTTCAAGACGATGGATCATGATAATGTGAAATTAGCATTGCTTCGATTCTGTCAAAATCTCGCACGTCTATATGCCTCATGAGGCATATATGTACCTAGACAATCTGTAAGTACTGCGTTTTAAATTCACTCATTTCAAAGCGCTCAACCGCGGAACTGCGATAATAATGAAACAGAAACACCATGTGGTGTCCCCGGTTCCGTAGAATGGGCTCGAATCCCATGAACAACTATGGCTTGCGTTTTCTTGTTATCAATCGATCTGTCATAGATGCCAAATCAGACTTCCGACTGTCATCCAGTGTTTTGAAAATTTGAACCGGTTTTGAGCCGCTGTCATGGCTGTCTGTCATAATATACTTTCGATCGGGTGAGGCAACTTTGTACAACGAATACCGATGCAATGCTGTATCCATGGTCCAACCTGGTGTATTCTGTACTAGCATAGAAAGATATAGAACATTACTCATTCGCTGCCGGTGTAAACGGAGATATATTTTCGAAGCCGTCTGGAATGCCATCCGCCTGCAGGTAAAATCGCGGCTTTCGGGCTGTGTCGTCGAAAATATATCGAGATCATGTCAATCCTCGATGTAATATCACTGCCTGCCGGCAACCGACAGGGTTTGAGGACATCGAAGCTTTTCCAGGCAGATGGATAGATGCCTGGACAGCCATTATTGGCCACTATCTTTGGATCTCGTTGATGTACGTTTATGCAGTTTACTCCGTACTCTTAGAATAAGGTCTTTGTCTACGACGACTACCGTGTCCTGTAAGGAAAGTTTGCACCCAGGCAGCCCGATAATCCCAAGCATAGCCATCCGATTGACATAGGGTGTCAGAAGACACATTACTCTTTACGGAGCACAAAGGACTATCTGCTTGACTCGGAGGTTGGGACCTGATAGATTTAAAAAAAGAACGAATGCGGGGAGGCGTCTCTGCAGCGAGACTGCGTATTCTATTTCTCATTCGACAATTACGACTGTCATCTCCGACACCGACAGACATCATTCGACCGTTGTGGATGTCATGTTCGGATATCCAGACGGAGTTCCTACGATGGAGTATGGAGTGCTTTCCAGCCCCTTAATTCCCTCACCGATATCAACCACTTCGTATACTCGTAAATATCGCATATCGCACAAAAAAAAGACGAGAATGAAATCAGCGCGCTAAACTACGTCTAGGCACGTTCTCGACTGCCGCGTAGTGGTATTATTGTATGGAGTTCGGCGTGGGGAAAGCAATAGTCTCCATGTTAAATGGCGCTCGGGTCATGTGCGCATCGCCCATATTTGGGCGGTCTTCCGTAGTGTCTAGTGTCTGTACGGAGGTACCTGTATAGATCGACGGTGAGGCGACGTGGGGAGATAATAGAGCCGATAAGGATAAACATAATAGGAATCGATGCTATTAATCATACGTCATCCAGCACTAGTTTGCAGTGATTACTCCTATACTGAGTCTGAACCCGACTAAATCTGTAAATCCGAGTAAATACTTCGGCTTTTTTACGCATATTTTCCTATGGACAAGAATACCACTTTTGTAGTATGCTTGGCAAACAATAAACGTGATTCGCCCTTGCATTTCCGCGGACTCTGCACCCGTGGTTCTGATCGCTAAGGTATGGAGATGGAATCCTCATGGAAGAACGCAGACTCTATGTATGTATCACCGCCTGTATCAGATATGACGGGTTAATTATCGACGCTGCAAGGGAATGTACATACAAGAGGATAGACATACAGAAAGACTCTCGGACTATTCGTAATGTACATAGTTATGTCTTATAGATTCATTTACTGCTTTCTTATTACGATGATATTGAACACGAATTGGTACAGAGTACTTGTAATTGAAGAAGCAAGTAAAAGGATGGTAATACTATTCGCTTGGCCACTGTCGCAGAAAATCGCGCATACTCACAAAAGGTGTGTGTGAATAAGAGGTGTCGTGGGACGAGTTGGTAACAGGCCGAGTTGCCGTGTACGATTACCAGTACATACCAGCGGGTGGTAATTTTACCCATGACGAACGACCCCAGAGTCTGGCCTTATGGATTGAGGACTATGGGGACAGAGAGTGGGAGAGAGAGAACATCGGCACGATTCTCCCGATGAGGGTAAACGTAGAGAGATGTATCAAAAGGGAAAATGACTCTGTACCAGAAACCGACATCGTATGGTTACAAGACAATGGGAAACAGAGTTTTCATGGTATATTACGGCTAGACCAGATGCGGGATCCGAAACTCCACTGCGCTAAGGCAAAATAGGAAAAGGAGAAGAAAAAAACAAATGAAAAATAATAATAAAAAATAAATGGACCCACTGGAACCATTCCCGACAGAGTTTAGTGCCAAGGCCAAGTCTAATGTGAGTGAATGCAGCAGAGCGTGACTAGGGAGCAATCCCTGCACTGTCAGTGGCTACTGATTCCGGTCATTCTCCATAATTTATTAAAAAACAAAAACAAAATAATAATAAAAAAAAGAAATTAAAAAAAAATTGGGAAAGTCGCCCGTTGGAGCTTAGAACCACCCGCGAGCAGGACGTGTTTGTGTCGGCCTGTGGTCCCGTGCCCTGTTCCGTCTCTTACCTCTCTTCCCATTCCTGCTCCCTCATTCCTCGAACATATTAAAGGGTTCTCTTTTCCCACCCATCGTCTCTCGTTCTTTTCCCTCTCTTCTCTCTTTCTTTTCTCTTTGTCTTATAGGATTGTCCGTCTCTCAGCCATTTCCCGTCCACTTTTTTTGCAGCATCCGCTCTCATAGTTGGGTTCGATAGGCTTTGTGAGCCAGCAGCAACAAAAATGGCGGAGCGGAGAATCTCCTATGCTCCCGACGTGGAGAATGGTGACCATTCTCGCAGCGCCCCTGATGATGGCAACCTCGACGAGTACAGCGCCCTGAACCGTTACATCTCGACCGCCCGCGATGGCCGTCGCGGTTCGACCTCCAGCGCCGGCAACCGCTCTCAGGACGAGAAGAAGAAGCCCTGGTGGAAGTTCGGTGGAAAGAAGAGTGATGAGGGTGGTGAGGGTTTTGTCATTCCTGAGGAGTGGCACGACACCGACATCCACACTGGTCTGGGTGCCAGCGATATTGAGGCTCGTCGCAAGAAGGCTGGCTGGAACGAGTTGACCACCGAAAAGACCAACTTCTTCATCCAGTTCATTGGTTACTTCCGTGGTCCTATTCTCTATGGTAGGTTTCTTTATCCACTTGAGGGTAGTTATGGGACAATCACTAATTCAGCCCAGTTATGGAACTTGCTGTCCTTCTCGCTGCCGGTCTGCGTGACTGGATTGATTTCGGTGTCATTATCGCTATTCTGCTTCTTAACGCTGTCGTCGGTTGGTATCAGGAAAAGCAGGCCGCAGATGTTGTGGCTTCCCTGAAGGGTGACATTGCTATGCGTTCTTGGGTTGTCCGTGATGGTCAGGAGCAGGAGATTCTTGCCCGTGAACTGGTTCCTGGTGACATTGTGAGTGCTTATCCAAATCCCGCTTTTGATAAAGAAAAACAAAATGCTAATTCAGTAGGTCATTGTCGAGGAAGGTACTGTCATTCCCGGTGATGTCCGTCTTATCTGCGACTACAGCAAGCCCGAGATGTTCGAGACCTACAAGGAGCACCTCGCCAACGTCGGCGAGGACACCCTCAAGGAGAAGGAGGATGACGATGAGGGTGCCATGGAAGCTCAGCTCGGTGTTTCTCTCGTTGCCGTTGACCAATCCGCCATCACTGGTGAATCTCTCGCTGTCGACAAGTACATGACCGACACTTGCTACTACACCACCGGTTGCAAGCGTGGCAAGGCCTATGGTGTTGTCACCGCTACTGCACGTCACTCGTTCGTCGGTAAGACCGCTGCTTTGGTGCAGGGTGCCCAGGACCAGGGTCACTTCAAGGCCGTCATGGACCACATCGGTACTACTCTCTTGGTTCTCGTCATGTTCTGGATTCTGGCCGCCTGGATTGGTGGTTTCTACCGTCACCTGAAGATTGCTACTCCCGAGTTCTCCGACAACAACTTGCTTCACTACACCTTGATTCTTCTGATCATTGGTGTCCCCGTCGGTCTTCCCGTTGTTACCACCACCACTCTCGCTGTCGGTGCTGCCTACCTCGCTGAGCGCAAGGCTATCGTCCAGAAGCTCACTGCTATCGAGTCTCTTGCTGGTGTCGACGTTCTCTGCTCTGACAAGACCGGTACCCTGACTGCCAACCAGCTCTCCATCCGTGAGCCTTACGTCAACGAGGGTGTCGATGTTAACTGGATGATGGCTGTCGCCGCTATTGCCTCCAACCACAACCTCAAGAACCTGGACCCCATCGACAAGGTCACCATCATGACTCTCCGCCGCTACCCCAAGGCCCGTGAGATCCTCTCGCGCAACTGGGTTACCGAGAAGTACACTCCTTTCGACCCTGTCTCCAAGCGTATTACCACCATCTGTACCTGCGACGGTGTCCGCTATGTCTGCGCCAAGGGTGCCCCCAAGGCCATTCTCAACATGTCTGAGTGCTCCGAGGAGGAGGCTGCCCTCTTCCGTGAGAAGTCGAACGAGTTCGCTCGCCGTGGTTTCCGTTCTCTCGGTGTCGCTGTCCAGAAGGAGGGTGAGCCCTGGCAATTGCTGGGCATGTACCCCATGTTCGACCCCCCTCGTGAGGACACTGCCCACACCATCGCCGAAGCCCAGCACCTTGGTCTCGCTGTTAAGATGTTGACTGGTGACGCTATCGCTATCGCCAAGGAAACCTGCAAGATGCTTGCTCTCTCTACTAAGGTCTACGACTCTGAGCGTCTCATCCACGGTGGTCTTGCCGGCTCTGCCCAGCACGACCTTGTTGAGAAGGCCGACGGTTTCGCTGAAGTTTTCCCCGAGCACAAATACCAGGTCGTCGAGATGCTCCAGCAGCGTGGTCACTTGACTGCCATGACTGGTGACGGTGTCAACGACGCTCCCTCTCTCAAGAAGGCCGACTGTGGTATCGCCGTCGAAGGTTCCACCGAGGCTGCCCAGGCTGCTGCTGATATTGTTTTCCTCGCCCCTGGTCTCTCCACCATTGTCGATGCCATCAAGCTTGCCCGTCAGATCTTCCAGCGTATGAAGGCCTACATTCAGTACCGTATCGCTCTGTGTCTGCACTTGGAAGTCTACCTCGTTACCTCGATGATCATCATCAACGAGACCATCCGTGCTGACCTGATTGTCTTCATCGCCCTGTTCGCTGATTTGGCCACCATCGCCATTGCCTACGATAACGCTCACTTCGAGGCTCGTCCTGTCGAGTGGCAGTTGCCCAAGATCTGGCTGATCTCTGTCATCCTTGGTCTTCTGCTTGCTGTTGGTACCTGGATCCTTCGTGCTACCCTCTTCCTGCCCAACGGTGGTGTCATCCAGAACTTCGGTTCGCCCCAGGAAATTCTCTTCCTTGAGGTGTCCCTGACTGAGAACTGGCTGATCTTCGTTACCCGTGGTGCCAAGACCATGCCCTCGTGGCAGCTGGTTGGTGCCATCTTCGGTGTCGATGTCATTGCCACCCTCTTCTGTGTTTTCGGATGGTTGAGCGGTGGTATCGAGGAGACCCACACTAGCCCTGACAGCACTGCTACCTTCTCCAGGAACGGCGACGTCGACATTGTCACCGTTGTTGTCATCTGGGGTTACTCTATTGGTGTTATGATCATCATCGCCGTTGTCTACTACATCCTTACCGAGATCCCCGCCCTCGACAACCTTGGCCGCAAGACCCGCTCCAAGGCTGACACCCAGATCGAGAACCTCCTCGCCCACCTCCACAAGCTCGCTATTGAGCACGAGGTTGACGACACTGGCAAGGGCCGGTACACCCTTGGCGCTCGTGCTGACGCTGAGGAGGATGATGAGTAGACGCTGTGCTTTTACAACACTCATTTCCTTTTTAATTACTAATTCCCGACACATATCTGGATATCGCTTGAGCATACATGCGTGCGCTGGCTCCTTTCCCCAGCTTGCTTATTATTTACCCGTATTATAGACTTATTTTTTACCCCTCTGTTTGCTCTACGTTCATAGAGTTATCCTTCGCTTCTTACATGTATGTATGTGATTAATAGTGGTAAATTTAGCTAAATCAAGGGATTCCAAGTTACTTTTTCCTCTTCAGTAGCTCTTCGTGTAGCTCGGCGTAGTAACCCTCGTGTTCGTATTGCCTAACCAACCCCTCCCCCTGAATCGCCTGGAATTTGGATCGCCCACCCAAATCTCCCACGGTCCACTCGGCGCTCCGCCCTAAACAAACATTTCGCGGACTCGTCCCTTTTGGCGCCCACGCGTCCCATTCCCTCGCTTCTGTCCTCGTCATTCCATGGAACCGCCACGCCATGTCCCATACCCATACCCTACACTACGCTACACCATGCGTTCCTTGTCCCGGACATGGGCCGCGAGTCTCATTTGCTCCATAGTAATCCGTCACTAGAGCTAAGCAGAGCTAGCTAGTCAGAGAAACCTCGGCAACTACCAGATTCGGATTGCAAGACGAGCGAGCCAGCGTAGTGAGTGAGACCGGGCCGGCCGTTTGTAACTTTCCCCAATTATTCTGTCGATATTAGTTTACTGCTGTTATTGTTACAGTTACGGTAGTGAGTACGGGTACGAGTGTTTACTGTTTACTGTTTACGAGGCTACACGGAAAAGCGGCTGCGCTAGGCAGGCTGTTATCAACTTGCGGTTTCTGGACGAAAGACTGACAAGACAATTATTGGGGCCAAGGCTAAGCCAGGCGAGGCGAGGATGGGTTTTCCGCCAATTGTCGTTTGAGGCGAGGGTTTTTGCTTCTGACGCTTTTTGATGGCTCAGAATTGATAAGAGATAGTGGTTTTGTGTATTGTGGTGTAATTGATTGAGTGATTGGGACAATGCTTTGATTCTTGTCTGGGCTTTGGGTGTATCGTTGTGATGCGTGTTGGCCTGAAGCATAAACTGTATGCCACTGGTTGGTTGTGAGCCTCGCACACCCACACATACACACAACACAGCTTCTCTCGACATTGTCCATGTGTCCTCGTTGGACTTTGCTCTTATACTACTTGCTGTTGAGACCTATTCTACGTGCGAGCTATCAGTTCAATTGATATGATCACGGTGACGATTGTTGATGTTCTCGCTTTACCATGTCTCGACAAAACACTGTTGACTTTACGAACGCTGTCATTCGAAGATAGTGCCATCGACTAGCCACAGAACAGACCACAGTACACAGAAGAACCTACTTCGATTGAAATGATGCTCAGCATATGCTACCCACAGCACACTGCAGCTCCGGCATGCTACGGGCCATTACCAGGAAAGCAGGACCTGCATTCCAATGTCAAGATCCGATCCAGAGAATCCAGAGATGCAATGCACTCTACAATCTGCAGTCTGCCACGAAGAATCTTCGAGAACAGGAGGGCCTGCACTACAGTACCTACGAACGGTTGAAACGGTCATACCTGAGGCGAGACTCTGACATGCAGCTGTGGAATGAACCATGAATCTTCGTTTCAGGCTTTGGAATTTACTCTCTGGAACCGAGTTCCGCGAATCTAGTTCTCGATCGAAGAAGGGATAGATGCCAGACGACATGTTATGGTATCTATTACATGCTCACTTGATACAGACCCTCGTCCGTCATGCACACCAGACAGACACAAACACAGACACAACCAACTACTGCCCACAGCTCCCAAACGCACTCATTCCACTCCCAACAACCTCCCCACACCCACTCCTCTTCCGATCCTGACTCCTCCTAGTCCTCCCGGCACCCCCAGTCCCTCCCTCCGCCTCTTTATCCAAAACCTCCCCCAAATTTCCTTTAATCGCAAGATAAGCCGCCCCCGTATCAGCCCAAACCTCATACTCCTGCACCTTCAGCTGCCCCCTCCCCGCAACCTCACCATTAACCTCCTCCGCAATCCCCAACCGATACACAAACCCCTCATCCCACTTTTGTCCCGTGCGCTTAGCGAAGAACTTCGCGGTCCCGCGGATAACGACTGCCATTGTGGATGTGTCGACGAGCCATTCGGATTCGGGCTCGAAGGACATGTCTTCGAAGCCGAGTTCGGACCCCATGACTTCGAAGTAGCGAGCAACACCGTCGGTGCCGGTGAAGGTGCGGCCGAGGAAGGGGGCTAGGTGCGGGAGGCCGTGTTCGTGGGCTTGTGGGTAGGGATCGTGGGTGAAATTGGTGAGGAGGGTTGGAATGGGGGAGGATGAGGAGAAGGCGGAGCAGAGGTTTCGGGCGGGGGTTAGGAGATTGGCACGAGTGTGTTTCATTGTAGTTGTTCGCTTGGGATTGAATTGTTTGAAGTGAGTTGGTTGAATTGGTGTTGATTGAAGGTCGGTGGTTGGTTGTTAGTATTCCGGCTATGCAGTTTTACATCACTGTGACGCTCTACCTATGCTACCAGAAACAACAAGTACTTAGTAAAGTACGGAGCAGATAGCAGTAATATTCAGCCCTACTAGAAATAACCTTTTCCCTCCTAACTCCAGTTACCGACCTCGCACCTAGATATCTCATATTAAAACACCGCAAAACGGAAGCACCCCATGAATGAACACCCCATAACAAACACCCCAGGAAAGACGCGACTACTGCTTCCACGACTTTCCGCAATTCATACAAGTACAAAACAGCGTCATCGGTTCATCTGCACTCCGCGTCTGTGCCTCGGTATAAGTAACCTTGCGCTGTCCACACTTTCCACACTGTAAAGAGGTACTGATACTGCGCTCCGCCTGCGCTACCATTGCCTTATCCATATTCTCCTTCTTGATCCTCGCGTCCTTCTCGCGCTGCTCTGCGGACCGCAGCTCTTCGTGTGACATGGTCACGAACTGATCTGGCGTAACGTCACCGTTGAGCACACGCACGCGTAGTGACGGGTTGGATTTGTTTTTTAGGTTCTGGTAGAGACTGCGGATCTTAGTGCGGTACTGTTCTTTAGTCTCAGGGCCGAGGGAGTTGTAGGCGGATGCTTCGACAGCGGAGGCTTTTTGGAGGACGAGGCGCGGGGGCTCGGTGGAGTTGAGGCAGAGACCGTCGTACATGAGTCCAATGCAGCTATCGCGAATTCTGTTGGAGGTTTGGTTGATATCGGCACCATCGGCCTTCCAAGAGCGCTTGTCTGGGGCGACGGACAGCTTCGAGGCCTTATCTGTGGGAGTCGCGCTGGTGGGTGATGAGCTGCCGTTGGAGCCAGCGGTGGCGGTAGCGGCAGCGGGGCGTGGTGAGCTGCTCGAGCGTTCCTTGGCTGGTGACCCAGCGGCCTTTTGCTTGTTCACCTCAGTTCGCCATCTGGAGACGATCTCGCTCGCTAACCGGGCCACTTCGGGTGTCTTGTGCTGTTTGAATTTGTTGACCACGATTCCAACCCGGGTCGATCGTAAAAGATCCTCCGTTGCCTTTACGCCTTGCTGTAGTTCCTTGAGTATCGAGGTGATGGTCGACGCGGATTCGTTCTGCGTCGCGGCCTTGGCCAACGCTTTGGTTTTAAGTTCGATTTCTTTGGCGTCCATTGCGCAAGTCGGAGTTTAACGGTGTATGCTATCGAGAAATAAAGTCTGCCAAGAAGTCTGTTAGCATCGCGGTACTTGAAGTCCTCGAGTATTTTGCAAAGCAGAGCAGCGGACACCAAGGCAATGGACACCAGCACTCCTCTCCATTTATGAACCCCAAGCTCGTCGCAAAGACACCACCAGCAAGCAGCCAGCTCATTTTCCAGATTCCAGCCAGCACAATCCCGCAAATCCGGCATTACCGCGACGACTCTGACTGCACGTGTCCACGCAAACAGCAAACTTCATTTAAGACCCAGCAAATCCAATATCCATTGCCAACGCCCAATGCCAGATGTCCAAACTCGTATTCATATTGATGAAAAGCCAAAGCTAAACGACGAAGTGACGTAGGTGAGGGGAGGGTGGTTGCGCACTCATCCAACTTTCTCAATTCCCAAACGACCGACTTTGCGACCGCGGGAGCGATGGCGGGAGGTAAAGCAGGCGGCGAAATCGGCAATAATGAAGGGATCCCTCAATATGTGAGTTATAGGGAATATGTTAGAGACAAATGCGATGGAGAGGGAGGGATGATTTTAGAAGTAGAATAGCGGAGGAAGACTTGACAAGGAAAGAGCATCTCCGCCAAGCCCGGATTTCCTATTTGGGAAACCGCCTTGGAGCTGGATACTCGAGCTCGAAGTGAATTCATACACATATTCTTGTTCGCTCTTCTTCTTCTTCTTCTTCTTCTTCTTCTTCTTTTTTCTTCCTTTTTCTCGATAGCAAGACTTAGAAACCATTGGTTGGTATAAGAGAAACAGAAGAATTCTCCATAGTCTGGCGCATATGGAGTCCCTCACATTGTGCTCTCATTTTGCTGGAAAATGCGCTATTGAGCTACCTTTCGACTTTACGAGGGCGCTAGAGAACTAGCTCTCAGATTAGGCTCTACTGAGGCGTTAAGATACCGAGTATTATTAAGGTTCTCTTCGCGGAGCAAAGTGACGCCTTGAGCAGTACGTATACAGGTCGATTATTCAGTACCTTGCCTAAAACGTTATATTAATTCCTACAGAACAAGGTACAAGTATCCCGGGCATTTGCTTCTCAATAGCAAACTTGGCCCGCCAGCCTGAACAATGGCCTGGTAAGAGAACAGCCGGGTCGAGTTTCTTCAGATCTTTGACTGTACTTTCCATTTGGTCTTGCTCACTTGTGGCAAGATGAAAGCCCCCAATGACAGCATGAAGGGGGACGGAATTATCCAAGAGACCAAGTGCATGTTTTGTTGTGTTGACTACTCCCGCATGGCTGCAACCAGTGAAGACGACGATTCCTTTGTCTGCAATTGTCAGAATGTAATTAGCTTGCAGGAAAGGACGGTAGAATACAGACCTCTGAGATTGCACATAAGGAACCGCTCATCAGCAATAACCTCATCCGAGAACCAGTCGTTCTCTTCCCGGTCAAACCGCATTGCATGCTTGAGTCCATGCTCGTATGTTGTTCGTCGAGGAATCTCTCCTGATATCAGAAAGAAGTTATCAAGCACTGTATGCGCTTCGCCATTTTTATCAATAGCTCCTCCGGCCGATTCAATTTCTTCAAAGCTGGGATCGGCTTGAAGCGATATGATCTTGTGCCCAATTGCTAGTCCACGGTAGTCAGGGCGATCCGGATGAAGGTCCAACACAAGTTTAGTAGATATATCCTTAGCCTTCTTTGCATCATTAATCATGTGAATTGCCCGTAGAAGACCACCTGTATCTCATCAGTTTATTTGCAACAGAAAGAAACATTCCGGTGGCAGACCTGAATGATCCCGATGCCAATGCGATAATTGCACCACCTCTATAGAAGACAGATCCGGCAATAGGCGCTTAACATTTCTCTCCCATGCATCTTCTTCAGGGCCAGCATCAAATAGAATAGAATGCTTGACATCCCCTTTAGTAGCCGTCTATGAACCTCGTCAGATCTTGCTAGTCCACCACGGCCGAGTAGATACTATACCACGAGAATCGACAAACCGTGAGCAGAACAGCAAATATCCTCCATCTGTAGCTCTTTACATGCATCTCCTCGGTCATTCACTTTATGAGGAGAGCTCGTAGCAAGATGGCCTAAGTGACCCGATACTTGGACGGTGTCCGGGGCGATTGTTGATAGCGGGTCTAGGTCATTGTCGATGATGACCAGCGCTTCTAGGGAATCAACCTCTACCAGGTCGAATTCGGACAATTTAGAGCAACTTTCTATATCCATTTTCAGAAAAGGCCAAGGAATTGAAGAAGTAGATGAAGGAAGTAGAGGAAGACAGCGACAGGATTGCGGGCATGTGACGTGGACTGTTGCCTTAAAAGTGAGACATAAACATGACTGTCAACGGCGACTGCTTCAGCTTCCGATCTCTATAACTCTAGAACTACCGCAAATGTAGAAGAAAGGTATTCGAACCCCCTTAATTCTATTGTAACAAGTGTATCAGGTACTAATTCCCATCACAGGCCCTGAACCGACTAAATTCCCACACGTCTGGCAATTTCCAGCGCCTTCTGCAGCCTCTCGCCTCGCGAGGTAATCTCAGTCCGAGCCACAAAAGTGGCATAGCTCTCACCTGCAATTTTCGAAAGCTCCTCATTCGAAAGAACACTAATATACTCAGCAGAGAAGATCTTCAAGGGGCCCGTTTTGCCAACGACGTATCTTTCTCCGGCCTGGATAATGACATTGTCCACGAATCGCTGGCGAGCTACTTTGTAGTACGCCGCGAGAATGTCATGAATGTCATCAACCGTTTGTTGCTCATTGTACCGGTGTTCACTGATCATAAGAAATGTAAGGTCCTTGTTGGCCATTGAGGCGACACGAGCTTGGACGCGTTTATTTCTGGTTGTGGATAGCATATCGGAATAAGAAGGATTAACCGTTTGCAAAATTCCGCTTAGCTCGTCAGCGAGGATGTTGCGGAGCTCAGCGAACATCTCTTCTTCCGCGTTTTGCCTTTCGGCCTTGAGTCGCGTCTGCAGCTTCTGACGAACCGAGCTGTCTGTTACGAAATCTCTGAGCGCGTTTCCGTCGTAAGCGCCCACCGCTTTAACGATCTTGGACAGATACTCCGTTGCTAGGTTCTCCCAATTGGTACATTGCTCACGGAACAGGCTCTCTAGCAAACGTGGATTGACGGTTCCAGGAAGCTCCACCCCTCGAGATTCATGGTACGATGAACGAATCCATTCTTCGATGTCATTCGCATCAGCACTCTCATCCTCACTCTTGCCATAACCATCCTCATCAGTATTTTCATTACTCTCCTCATCTTTCTTGTTAGCATATATGGCGTACTCTGGATCAGTCCGCCCGTTCACAAGCTTGAACGCCCTTTGATGTCCTTCCTTGGCCATCCGGGTAGAAAATTCATCCATCAAGAATCGAAGCCAAGTCCTCAGCTTCCGCGGACTTCCGCTTTCCAGCTTGGGGGAGTAAATGCCACTGAGGACATTGGACACGTCACGTTGATACTTCACAGCACTTTTTATCAAGTATTGACGTTGGTCCGCGCTGGTTTGGCGGGAAGGGCCAAGGCTCTCCAAAGATTTATTAGTTTCTTTCGCGAGATTCCTGACTTCGTTTACCAAACCGGGGAACTCGTTGCGGATATGGTCAAACAAGACCTGGCCCAAGAAGCTTTTGAGCGAACTGATACCGACACGATCTCTGCGCAAATTCGTCCACGGAGTAGTGTTGAAAAATTGTTTTTCGTTGATGTGTCGCTGGGCCATGGTGACCCCTTCTTTGATTTCTTTCGTGGATCGGTTTTTCACGGCGAACCAGCCATGGTTGAGGCGTACCATTTCGTTGCGAAAGATCTCGAGAACCTAAATCCCGTTAGTAGCCAACCAGTCTAACTACTGACTTATGATATAGACTTACACCGTGCTCATCACCTGCCTGAAGCGCATCACACTTAGTGATGATACCAACGGTACGAAGACCATCCGGATCGGCAGCACGAGCCATATGGAAGACTTCTTGGTTGGCCAGGTTGTTTCGCGCATCCATGACAGCCCTAGAGAAGGTCAATGTAGTTCTTGACAAGAGAAGCAGCTGTACTCACATAATAATGGTACGTTTGTCAGTTATATATCTTTGAATCAAGCTGCGGATGACCTCCTTATCCTCAATCGTTTGAAACTTTGTGGGATCTGTTTAAGTGCTCGTTAGCAGCACGCTATGGCTCCTCACAAGCGTCCGACATACTATGGAAGAGACCAGGAACATCCACAACACTCAAATGACTGTGCTCCGGATTTGACAACTCGATCTTCAGAATGTCATCCGAAAAACGCTTGTCAAGCTCAACGAATCCTGCTGTCTGCGTCGTCGGAAGACCCATACACCCAGGGCAGCCTGCGACATGAAGAGGTTAGAAGATGCCTCAATTGAGAAAACTCAACAGACAACGTACCTCATCCAAAATAGCACTAAACTGCGTGACCCCGAAATCCTTCTCTTCCATTGTTCTCTCAAACTCTAGCAGCTTCTTCTTGGTCGCTTCGTCGGCATTAGCAGCAGGACCCGGAATAATCGACACAGAAACCGCTGCTTCCGACGCAGGAGCACGACGGAGCACAATCTGCGTTGCGAATCTGGTGCATAGTTCCGAAGCGACAGGGAAAGAGAGTCCGGTCAGGCCTTCTAGGAGAGATGACTTTCCGCTAGACTGATCTCCAACGACGACGAGCTACAACAACCACAAATAAGAATACACAATATCATCGAGTAGAAGATTGTTCAGGAATACTCGCCTGTGGAAGAGAGATATCCTCATTGATACCCAACTCCCGGAACTGATCGATGATAGCTAGGATCCTGACACGATCATCGTTGTCCAGATCGTTAGCCTCAGAGAGGTCCAGGGAAGGCTTGGTAATGCCGTGCATGCCGATGATCTTCATAGACTGCAGGGATTGAGAGAGAAATCAAAACGCTTGAGATACTCTGAGGAGGGATTACGCTGTTAAATATTTGCACATCCAACTATGAATGCTTGATAAAAGATGTTGATCTTAGATATAGCGGTCAGCGCAGTCAAAGCATTTTCTTTACAAAAAGAATAGAAAAGATGCTGGAATTCCAAAGGCTAGACATGGCGATCTATTCCCCCCCCCCCTCTTTCTTATCATGAATCAGAACTGCCAGGCAGGAGTGAAATAGCTCTTTGATTTCAATTTGGCCATTATATGGGTCTTCATGGAGACTTTGTCGCTAAACGTTTGACGCATACAAAACGCGGTCAAAGATTCTTTCTGGTTTCGTTTAGCTTACCATAGTCTAGCTCCGCTTAGAATTGTCTAGATCTCTCAGCATTCATTGAAAATTGCCGGTGCTTTATCAGTGCAGAGAATGAACTCCAAACAGAGTCCTTTCATATAGTACGCGTATACAGAAATACTCGATTGGGAATGCTACCCATCCATAGCATATAGTAAGCAATAGCTCTGATACCGTGTTACAAGGACATTTTGGCTATGCACATGAACCATTCCGCAACACTAAAGATACAGACAAACATAATGGCACGAGAGCCTAGCTAAAGAAAATAGGAATACCACATGCCTGGCTTTCCGCCACGATTAATACAGTGTGCTCTCAAAAGGACCCTCATCTCACTCGAACTATCTCCTCCCGCATTACCCGCATGAAAGAATTCATATCTAACGCAAAAAAAAAAAAAAAAAAAGCGGGTATGGTCAACTCGTATACTCGATGTCAAAGTCTGTTGGTCTCTTGATATAGGACATAGGTAGACAGCTAGGACTAGGAGATATTGGCCTCCGCTACTTACTTTTGTTCGTGGTCTTATCGTTTGAACACACAGATGAAAGGGTTCCGAATGGACTGGTACGACGCAAGCGACGAAGTCGATGAAGCTGAGGATAGTGACGAGGGAATTCCATGCTGGTCATTGTACTGGAAAGCGAGGTACCGGGAGTGTCCACTGGTGACTTGGGGATCACCATCTCTTCTTTCATCCCGTAGGGAGAGCTGTCGGAATCCGAAACCATGCCGCATGGGATCATCTTTTACGAAACTCAGCGGTTGATCCCAACGGCAGGCGTGGAGGTATGATGAGACAAGAATGGAATTGGCCGACTCCTCATCACCCATTTTTATTTCTTGTTGAGATTATCTCCGAGATAATAAGAGACTTCCATGCTGAATGACTGAAAAATAGCAAAGCTAGGTGGTAACGCTCGTATAGTTGCTGGTCCTGAATCGGAAGCTGTGACGGTTCAATATGTAGAGAGTATCTTCATCATAGTATCGATGGGCGGTCATCATCCAGAAGCCAATCACTGTACAATTAGAGAGCTGTATATAGTTTGTCCACGTTTATTTGTAGCACCAAACACACAAGAATTGTGATGTGACTCCATAGAAAAACCCTGAAACCAAGGCCATTCGGCCGTTTCTTGCATTTGAGTACAAGTCGCTACTCGTTGAATTCATTCAGCGAGGCTGTGTTGACGTTTGAATCCCGGTCTTTGCGAACTAGACGGTTCGCACACCGTCCAGTAAAGAACGCTGCGAGATCACTGGAAGAGCTCATTGGAAGAGTAGGTCTAGCAAGGATGTTTTGAACCACTTGCCAGATGTTTGCATATTTTCAATTGCTGAGCGCAACTTCAGGAAAACGAACAATTCGTTGAATGGCGTTGTGGATATCATATGCTGAGCCTAAAATACGAATCTGCCTCTCCCGGATGCCGTTGAAGATACCCGCAGCTACCTCATTTGACATCTGAAGCCGTCCCAACCTCGAGGGTGCAAGTGCATCGATTGACCCAATCACGTCTGAAACCTGCCTGATGCTTTCGGTTTCGTTTGGTTCGTTGTAGGGCGGCTGGGTAGCCTGGTAGTTCCTTCAGACCACTTACTGAAATCTCTTTGTGGTCAGGTATCGCAACTCATTGACTTCGTATAGTTTATTAGCCAAGCCTTCCTTTAAATAAAGGTAGAGTATGGTTTTTTTTTTTTTTTTTGTGGCACTTATGCCCGGCTGTGGCGTCTCTGCGGCGGCATTTTTCTTTGGAGACTCTGGCTTGCTTTGGACAGGGCGTTTTCCTGCACTTGCAGGTTTCTCCCTATGGAGTAAGAGTATGTGGTAAAGAGTATCCAATGCCCAGTATGGGGGATCCTCCATTTGCCTGATACCTTCGAATTCGGAGTCCATGTGGACTTCCACAATGCTCCCTAATAGTCCGCACTGCTGGAGATCGTCCTGATATTTATCCGGGTGTAGGTGTATCACGGCTATGCGACAGGACCCAGTCTTGGGAATAGTCCCAAAGGTCTGTAATGGTGTCAAATTTTGGATTATACTGTTCCGCGAGCCTTGACGCAGCCGTGGGTAACTTGACACTGCTTCCATCATTTTTTGCAACGGCGGACTGGGCACGGCGCCCTGCTATCTTCGTTTTTAAAGTGAGCAAAAGACCGCATGTTGCACATAGTCTTTTGGAGTTTTTCGTCTTCATCGACCTGTAGTTGGGTGGTGAACCTCGCTGCTGTACTATACTGTATTAGCAAATTTGAGTCATGACAGATTGACGATAAAACACTGACACCTCGAGGTATCATTTAGAGTTCGTCTTATTATATGCACCCCATAAAGTCCATTGACTAATAAGTTTCGGAGATGTCGTGATTCAAGCCAAATTAGGAACCTAGAGATCTCGCTAGTCGGCATTATCTTGCTGCTTACCGCCTCTAGGTATTAGACAGGTAAAGGAGCGGCCGTTATCTTCATTTTTGTGCCATGTACGCTGACCGCGAAGGCCTCCTGGCCTACCCACGCAGTCGTCTAAGGCGTGGTTTAATTCTGAGCATGCCACTCCTCCAAAAGCGATACACACAACATCTGGCAGGTTATCCTTCGTTGACAGACCGCAAGCAGTGCAGGTGCAAAGATCGCATCAGAAAAAGTCCCAGAACGACTGTACTTTTGGACATTGGAAGATCACACATCCTCGACAAAGCTAATCGAGAGCATTACTGACAGGGGTCTCCATACTTGTCTCTTCGTCAGGAAATAAAATGGACCAAGCCGAGTCCTAATAAGAGGAGTCAGCGATGGAATGAATCGAAACAAGCATCATTGGATGCACTCACTTCGCAGTTTGACAATGTGCTTCCACAGACTCCAATGACTTTGCGTAATAATTGCGTCGCAAGTACACCATTCACTGTCCATATCAAGGTAAAGGATGGCTTTCTTCGCCTAGGACCCACACCTTCGTGCAGCCCATATGGCGTACTGCTCCGCACAACCTTTTGTGCATATGTATCGAAGAAGCCGTTCTGCAATGGGTCCTGCAAATGTAAGCTCAGCTTTAGCTTACGACTCAAGCCGTACCGTTTCCACAAGCTTGCCGGAATGGCAGTGAATCCTACTGCATTTAAATGTTGGGCAGGCTAGATCCTATGTATTTGCAGATCCGTTCTAGGAGTTTCGTATCATGAGATGGCTGTATGGAGCTGGATAGCTGCAATCGACCAATCGACGTCGGTATTGGTGGCAGCTCGGCAATTCGATGCATATTTAAGTACCAGTAAGTACTTGTCCACAACATAGTGAATGGGGTTCTGACATCAGGCATGTGCCATCTTCAAAAGAGCCGATGCTAAAAACCAGCAATGACCGTATTTCATTACGACAACATCAATCATTGTCGCAGAAGGCTCATCAGCCCCAAATAAATACACCTCTCTTTGGCTTGGGTCATCTCGACTGTAACTCAAGAGAGCCATCACGGATACAGCGCATGAGGTACTGCATTTCTATGGACGAATAACACGTTGGCAAGCCCGTCAGCGATAAAAGCTTTTGAGGTTTTTGTAAATAACGGATGCAAGCACTGAACACACAGAGCGTGTGAGTCTTTGTATAGGTGCGGCCCACGACATGACTGCGTTTGATTTGGAGGCGGATCCGGGATTCCCAGAAACCCCGCAGGGTTGACAATCTCATTGAAAAGAAATATCATCTCAACTTGAGCACTGCCTCTTATTTCGGCAAGATTATCTAGCGTACTTCGTCAATGTATGGTTTGAAAAATGACATTCCATAGACGGCACTCACCTTCTCTGATGTTTGGGGGCGAGAACCATGTCATAAAAGTTCAGTATTGGCCAAGCCCTCGGCAAATCTTGAACATCGGGTCAAGAAATTAGTCGGCAGAGTCCGTCTGGTAAGAATGGTACTCTTCTTTTGTCTGCAAGTTATAGAGACCTGCAGGCATGATTCATACTACTTTGCATATTTCAACCTCTGCTATGCTAGTCTTAGTGTCGGTGAGCCCTATAACAGGATATGTTAACATATTGACATGGCCCGTGATTTCTGTCGCATCTGCGGCTCGTGGTCTATTGATCCTTGGAACCCATACTTGTCCCAATGCCGTGTTCTTGCACCTCTAGCAGCAAGCCAGAGAGCCTCCGTACTAGGGAGTTGTTTTTTCTTTTCAGTATGCAATGTGCAAGCTAAGTTTTGGACAACCAACTATGCTGGCGTTCGACCGGTTTGTAGAGAGCCTTGTGAATTCAAGCATATTTTCCGTCAGTGGCTATGCCACACTGCGTCTGTCAACCTTTTCCTCATTTGAGCGTTGTGACAGTGCCTGGGACGTGGTCAGCATATGGTACGTTATTCAGGATACCTTCGGAACTAACTGACTCATATATGCATTGTCCGATGCAGTTCTAAATCTAGCAGGGCATGTTTCACAAATGATGTTGCATTCGCTATTCTTCACACCATTCAGGCGATAGAAATTCGAGTATATAATATATCCCACTGCAATCAATTGTTTTTGTAAATCTCGGATTGCGTCGAAGGCCCTTGGCCAGGCTTCATTCATTGTTCGAATCAGAATCCCGCCCCTCATGATCTGGGGATAGTTTCTGGTCTCGTATGGCTGACGTGCAATGTCCCGTGCATGGAGCCATATATTGTCAGCGCTGTATTGTTGGCCGGGGCCCGGTGAGGGGCGTATCTACTAGACTTTTATGCCGGTCAGTATAGTTTTGAACAAGGGTCTGAAAGGATTGGACTCACAACGACAATATCATGGTAAGTTATCCTGGTGACCTTTATAACGCAGCGCATATATAGGAGCAAAGCCGTCGGAGAACCTGGTTATAAAATGTATATAGTGGTCGTCAGAGTCGGAGTGTCCATCGTACCGACTGCGATCGACTTGGACAATGATGAGATTTGTAATCACAATAAAAGAAAAACGATGATAGAAAGAGAATGATGATATGCTGCAAAAAAGATGCAAGTATATACAAAGTGTAGTATATAGTGCAAAAGCAAGAAAAAGGAGAAAGGAGAGAAAGGAAAAATGTGGGAGTAATCATGTATATAACAGTTTCTTTCATTCACTGTGGATGCTTTCTCATGTCTTTGATTCTGGCTGCAGGTAACCGTGGGTGAATCTGGATTTCCCTTTGCGGACAAAATGAGGTTATCCCAACTTTCTCTCCTTTTCCTCTCCCCACACAATCCAACAGCTACCAATTCATTCCAAAATGCGGTTGTTTCTCATTCTATCGATACTCACCCTTCTCCCAATAGTATCCGCCAAATTCGGCCTCTCATGCTTCAAAGTTGTCACTGCACTCGCCGGCCGACCGAGCGATCTGTTCGATAAATTCCAGCGCGAGATCTGCGACCGAGGATGCCAGCCCACCGTGCCTCATTGGGACCTCTGGACCCGTAATAACACCTTCGTACCAGCCGTCCAAAACGCCTTGAAGCGATTAAATGTGCCGCGGCAAGAAGAGACCATGATCCAGTTGGGCGACGACGTGGCCAACATCATCAAGGTGCGCTGCGGTCCGGCTCTCGGGGGGAATCACATCTGCTCAGATCCGGAGACATTGGCTGGCTTTGGGAATTGTTTCAAGCGCAATTTCGTGCGGGCGATGATTGTGCATCTGCCGAAATTGCTGCCCATGGCGGACGAGGCTGTTTGTCGTGAGCAGTTGGTGTATCTCAAGGATGAACATCTGTGGGAGACGGTCATTCCGCAGAACATGCGCGATTATGCGGCAGCTTGTCAGAATTTGGAAGAGAAAGAGGCAGAATATCACTTCCAGCCGTATGGGTTCTAGTTTTGGGCATTCTGTACTATGTATATCGTTCTGTATAATGTCTCTGGGCTCTAATGCATGCTGCGATACCGGATGATGACGCCAGAGCTGCATCTTCACTTATTCCTTCTTTCAACCCCAGGACCGTTCCTTTAACAGCCGCTAACCTCATATTCTACTCTATTAATTATTTCACTATGCTCAAAGACTGCAGATAAATGCTACACCGTCCCCATGCCTCTCTTCCGTCCGCTGCGCCCGGCTAATCGTCATGTGCTCCCCTCACTGCATCTCCCACGACGACACTTCCACGCCCATCCACGCCAATTCCAGCGATTGGTACCTCCATCGCCCAGTTTACTAGACAAACAAGCTCCTGCGAAAATCACACGAACTCGAAAATGGTTGCATCGTCTGGCCTATCTATCCTTAGCCACCGGCACTGTCTACATCACCGATAATCAGTTCTACGCCTCATCGATAACCCGCACAACCCGCACCTTCGCGCTGGGTCTACTCGTCGCTTTAGACTACAAGATCAATTTTCGTCCAAATCCGCCGCTAGCCAGCTCCGTGACAGCCGTCCATGCCCGCAGCGCGGAACGACTCTCGGATCTACTGCAGCGGAATGGGGGTCTTTATCTGAAGATCGGGCAGGCGATAGCCATGCAATCGGCTATTCTGCCGGCAGAGTTTCAGAAGATGTTCTCGCGCATGTTTGACGATGCCCCGCAGAACGAGTGGAAGGATGTTGAGGCGGTGATAAAGGAGGATTTCGGGAAGTCGGCTGAGGAGGTGTTTGGGGTTTCGTTTGATGGGGTTCCGGATAAGGGTGTGTTCGAGCGTCGGGCACGGGCCAGTGCTAGTGTTGCTCAAGTACATTGGGCAAGATTGGCGGATGGGAGAGAATTGGCTATCAAGATTCAGAAGAGGGAGATTGCTCGTCAGCTGGAGTGGGATCTCTGGGCATTCAAGTACGCATGACACCACTATACGAACACGCAAAGATGCTAAATTTCACAGAGTCGTGACATGGGTTTACTCTCGCGCGTTTGATATTCCCTTCTACAGTCTCGTGCCGTACATAAGCGAACGCCTATCCCTAGAAACCGACTTTGACAACGAAGCCAGCAACTCAGAACGCATGGCGGAGTTAGTCGCAAGCGAACCCCGACTCCGCGGCCGTGTCTACATCCCCAAAGTCCACCGCGACCTCAGTTCAAAGCGCGTCATGACTGCAGAATGGATAGAAGGAGTGCGACTATGGGACAAAGACTCCATAACCCGTCCCTGGCGCGGCGGCTGGCGCGAAGGAACACCCGGTTGTCAAGGAACCCCAATGGACCCGTCAACAGGCAACCCTGCCAATCCAACATCAAACACAATCGACAAAATGAAACCCTCGCGTGACCACTGGCGCGGTCAAAACAATGACGGCGGTCTCGGCCTTTCCCTAAAACAAGTAATGACCACAATGGTCGACCTCTTCTCCGCGCAGATGTTCCTCTGGGGCTGGGTCCACTGCGACCCTCACCCAGGAAACATCTTTGTCCGCCGCACACCCTCCGGTAAACCCGAACTCGTCCTCATAGACCACGGCCTCTACATACACATGGACTCAGCCTTCAAGCACCAGTACGCGCGCTTCTGGAAAGCCCTGTTAACCTTCGACAATGCGACTCTTGGCAATATCGTTAAGGGCTGGGGTGTGCAGAACCCAGATCTCTTCGCCTCCGTCACACTCATGTCTCCATATCGCGGCGGAAACCGCTCCACAGAACAGCATCTCACAGGACTAAGCAAATCAGAACTCGCATCTAGGCATTACGAAATGCAACAATCAGCCCGCAAAGCAGTCCGCCAGATCCTAGGCGACGAGTCCAAATGGCCGCAGCAACTCATCTTTATCGGCCGCAATCTGCGCATCGTACAAGCGAATAACCAGTTCCTGGGGTCACCTGTTAACCGCGTTAAGATCACTGGTATGTGGGCTTCACGCGCGCTCGCCGAATCACCGGATCTACCCTTCGGTGAGAAAATAAGCAATTGGGGAAAACATTTGGTGTTTAGGGTTGTGTTGATCGGGAGTGACGTGTGGTTCTGGTTTGCCAAAATCAGACAATTTCTACACTTAGGGGGTGGTATGGAGGATGATATTGAGGCGCAGATGCAGGGGATGGCGAAGGAGATGGGGGTTGAGTTAAGGCAGAATATTTTCGAGGGTTGATTGGTTTCATTTCCTTGTATCATTACTGTACTGCGCACATGACACGTACAATATAACCTCATATCGTAATCCCATATATAATCATCATATAATTCATTCAGCAACTATATACCAATCGTAGCCATCGTAGCCATATCCATATCAGTATATACCATACCATATCGTAGTCAATACTCCCACCCCGTCAACCCAGCTGGCCTCCACTCCTGCCCCGGATACGCCGTACTAGACATAACAACCTCCTCATCCGAGCTCTCGTCATCTTTCCCACTGCCTTGGCCTGGCGCGGGAAGTTCGATGGGTGATTGGCCTTCGTTTATAGTGCGGATTGTTGTTTGTTGGTGTGCGTCTGTGGTCTCTTTTTCATTTTTATTGTCGTTGCTAGGGGCTATTGCTGGGGTGGTAGCAGCTGGAGGGGCTAGGGTAGTTGTGTTTGTGGTGAGGGTGGTTTTAAGAGGAGCGGGATCCTGAGAACGAGTGTGCTCATGTTCATGTTTCTCATTGATATTCCCCGGGATGCGCAGTTTCCAGGGTAATTCCTGATCACCCATGTGGCTTGTTCGGGGGTTTATAGAGTGGAAGGTACTGTGTTGGGAAGCGGGACTGGCTATGCCTGTGTCTGCGCTGCATGGCTCAGCGTCGCCATGTCCAGGTCCATTCCCATCCTCCTTTCCATCCTCCTCCTTCTCAGTCGCATTACCATGCTGATGCTCATTACTCCCCCGACTATTCACAGACGGGGCATTCGAAGCCGGTGCAAGTCTCGGACTCCTCGACTGCAATCGTAAATCTTGGGCATGACGCTGATCCGCTAGCTGGCCCCTCGAATCCGGTGGCTCAGCCAACGAGCAAGATGAGAGCGGCGACGGCTTTCGAGTTATGTGGATGTGTATGTTATGATGGCGGGGTAGCGATTGGTGGGAGATCGAGGGGGATGGTTGGTGGTGTTGGCGGATGCGGTCCCAGTAGTCGTTGGGGTGGTAGGGGTGAGTGTCTTGGGAGGTTTTGTTGGTGTTGGTTTGAATTTCGGTTTGGGGTTGGGGGAGTTGAAGTTGGGTGGTGGTGATGGTTTCTTTTGTGGTTTCGGTGTTGATGTCGGTGTCGTCGTTATCGTTATCGTCAGATGCATTGGTGTTGTTAGTATCGTCAGTATCGCTATCATTATCGTGGAGGTGGTTAAGTCGAGGAGAAGGCGCCGGCGACTTCTCCTTCTGACTAGGCTGTTGCGATTTATCCCTCCTGGGCTGGAAGACGTCCTACCAATCCCTATATGCATCAGTCAATTACCCAGCACACACAATGAAATAACGGGTCGAAGATGACACCTACACTAATCCTGCGCAATGCCTTTTTCTGCTTTTCCCCCGTCAAAGTCGCAGAGGTACTTTGTACTATGCGCTGATACATCCTTCGCATCGAGCTCTTATCTTTGTTTTTATGATCGGCCATGTCAATTTCAGTCTGCTCATGCGCATTATTTCCTCCACCCAAATCTTGATTTTGATCACGATCCTGATTCAGGGAGTGATCCGGTGTTTGATTCTTGTTCAACTGTTCATAAAACCGAAATGTGCCGGTGGACGATCTCGTCGACTCCGTATTACGTTGGACTACAGTCGGTACAGCCGCAGCCGCGGCCCCAGCCTCGTATCCACGTTGTTGTTGGGGGCCAAAACCCGCCTGGCCAATCTCAGAGGACAGTGAGATTTTAGATGCAGATGTAGATGCGGGGCCGGGTCGGGTGGCTGATTGGGTTACTATGGAGGAGATTGACGGTTTTTGGAGCGGCTCGTGTGGTGGCTGGAGGTATTCGTTGTTGTTTTCTCGATGATCCGGATTCGGATTCTCGCGCGCACCAACGGATGGTGTTGGTGTTGTAGTGCGGGGTCCGTGTGATTGGGATTGAGATCCGGACTGGGATTCGCAATCGACGCATCTGATGGTGGGCATGCGAGTGTTGGTAATATTGCTTGGTGGACGGCTTGTGGAATACTGTGTCCCTGTTCCTGTATTCATCTGCGAAGCGTAATCCAGAAATGACAAATTTAACGTCCCACTACCATCACTTGGCCAAACAACCTGCGGAGGAAGAGATCGTGGCCGTTGGATGGACCTTTCATCAATATCCGTATGGCGTATCGACGGCGCCGGATCTGTAAGCGCAAGTCTACTTCCAATCATGGGCGCTGACATCTGTCGTTCATGCGCTCTAGTTCTGGATCGGGGAAAAGTAAAGTTCCCTAGGTTCAGGGTGTGTCGACGGCTGGGTTTATCATTATCACCAGACCTGCTTAAGCCTATGTCGGACATTTTGCCAGATATTCTGGAGATTTTGGCACGCATCGATTGAGAACCCTGCATACAATTGTATTACCGATTAGATGACATGACCCAGAAAGAAGAAAGCAATGCAAACCAAAAAAAGAAAAAGACGAAAACACAAGCGTCAATCGTGTCATATTCAAAATGACATCCCGTTATATCCATGGTATCAAATGAAATACACAGCCCAAGAAAGTAGAACAAAAAAGAAAAAAGACATGATTAAAATCAATAAACCAAGACAATGGCCGGTCATCCATATTAACCCAAAGAAATTAAGCATCTACCTTTTCATTGCCCTTGAATTTGCTCCGTCCTCGGTTAAAGAACCCCTTGGCAGCTTTACCCGCTTGACCACCCAAAAAGCCAGCAGTATGCAACAAATCCTTCCCACGTTGTTCCACCTGCTGCTTGTTCATCATTGCACCAAGAGGAGCAGATGGCCGTCGGGCATGCCCGGCACCTGCAGGGGCGCCTTCGACGTGGGGGAGTTTGCCCAGTGATGGTAGCTTGGGGAATTTTCTGCCCAGCTGTTTTTGTGCACCAGCCGACAGTTTTAGATCCTGTCCGACAATATCTGAATGTTCAGGGTGAGCTTGAATGGTCACTTGGATCCACTGGTTCAAGCCCGTGTCAATTGCTCCAAACTGAGCCCGAGTTCGTTCGAATTGTCGCACCCTTTCGTCAGATGACTTGATACCGAGAATGTCACGGAATCCCAAAACAGTTGGAGGAACAGGAGGCATAGTGTTCTGCGCCGCAGAAGCTGGTACTGGGGGATGAGTTGCCTCATTCTCCGGTGCAACATCCGGCTCCATAGGCTCAGGAACAACTTCAGGGAGATACTGACCAGAGATGATACTGTTTTCATCCCCCGCAGATGGAGGGATGATGCTCAACTTGGGCTTTTCAGTCAAAGACTGGCGGTTAGGCCCCTGTGTTATCATCGGTGGCGAATCAGGCTCTGGTGGAAGCTGTCCAGGAATTGGGGGATCCTGTATTGTCTGGTCACGAGAATCCGCCGCAACTTCAGCCTCCTCCTCTTCAGAAGACTCCCAAGAGAACTTCTTTTTCAACTTTGGCTTAGATCCTTCCTGCCATGGAGCAAGCGCCGGACCGACGGGGGTGTCGTTGGAACCAACACCTGGAGAGGCTGTACTAGGAGAGTTGTAGTCAGGTAGAGGGTTCGGCTGCTCTTGCGGACTGCGATTCGCTTCCTCGTTCCAATATCTCTCGTATTCGCTCGGAACGAGGCTGTCTCCACCACGAGTCTGTGGTCGAGACCCTAGCTCCGGCTCGTCTGACGGTGTGTTCTCACGGCTAAGGGAACGGATGATTTCTTTCCTCAACCGATCACTTTCTGTATCCTGTGGCGAATTGTCGGTACTTATTGAGGGAACAATGACGGTGGGAGGGTCGGAGTTGTTCGAGGCAGCAGGCACATTCGACTGGTTGCTGCTGACGCGCAACGGAGGCGGCAGATCTTTTCCAGACGTGGCAGGGAGCTGTACAGACGTCCTTTTAGGCTGCCGCAAGGATGGTAAAGTTTGATCCTCGAGCGATTCTGATGGCGTCGTATAAGAAAGTTGCGCCATGGCCGACTGTGGAATCCGGTCGTTATCCATAATTTTGGGTTTCCTTGAAGGACTATTATCTGGACTGGGAACACTCAAATCCCGACGATGGCCTGGTTTAAATATAGGGTTTCGGTCGGAAGTATCCTTCGGGGTCATCTCACCCGGCTCTTCAACAATAGTAGGAGTCTTCTCGTCGTTCAGACCGCGGCTGGGAATTATGGGACTGATCGCCGACGTACTCGCACTGTTTGACCGCGCTACACTGTCATCGGTGGAGCTAGGCGTTTCAGGAACGTCAAATGCTTGGTTCACAGCCGACCGGAAGCCAAGGGACGGATTGTGCTGTAACTGGTGTTGCTGGGGTTCTCCACTCTGGATTTCCCGTGTATTACTATTGTTGTTCTCAGACCCGCTCGAGAAGTCCGTATTAAGCCCAGACAACCTCTTGACGTCTGGGAGTCCAATAATCGGGACATCCTGAGAATTCTTCCTAGCAACATTTGAGGTTTCCTTATCCTTCGTTTCTTGCCCCTGCGCAGCAACTGTCGGAAACGACCCGATGGGTGCCGTATTTGAACGGGTTGCAACAGGCATACCATCTCTTGCTCTATCCTCCCGCAGTCGTTTATAGATATCGGCCGGACGTACAAAAGGAGCAGGTCTGCTGTCTGTGGGCTGACCAGCAGCCGCAGCCTCCACGGAACGGCTACGGCTTCCACTCGCTCCATCCGAATCAACTGCCAGGACGTGATCCATCGATCTCGAGCGATCCATTGCAGGGAAACCCGGCCTGGGCAGACCGGCTGTGTTGCCAGACCTCTGCGAGAAGTGCGTTGGTGGCACTGGTGGGGACTCTTCTTCATAATCATCCTCATCGTCATCTCCCCAGTCGTCTCCATCATAAGAAACTTGCTTAGCTTCCACCCATCGTTTTGTCTTCGTCCGATTAACGTTGGCCCTGAACGAGACGGGCGTTCCGCTTCCGGAGATAGGAGAGTTGGAGGCAGGAGAGGCACTGTTGATAGAAACCTATAATCAGCACTTGTCCGCTGATGTCCACGAAGCCAGCAGTTAACGACTCACAACTTTTGGAACTCTGGCTCGTATGTGGTCGGAGCCATCACGGTAGTATCCGTCGATCACTCAGTAAACGAAACTTGTAACATGGGTTTGATGCTCAGAAGTAGAAACTGATAGACGCCCAAAGTGGCGCTTCGTACGCAGACCCGTTTAGAAGAAAAAGGCGTTGTTATGTCGTGTGGTATGTATGCATGTAAGCGCGAGTCGTTGTACGGCAGCCTGATATGACCTGCTGAGAGGCGATGACGCGGGGAAGTAACGAATGGCGACTGAACAGCGGAGAACGGCAACGATTGACGGTTCAGATATATGAAGTGAATAATAGTAGTATGTAAACGAAGGACAGAAGGGAGACTCGGGGAATATCAAAAGAACGGCGAGGAGGACAGGCCAACATCTGTTTCAGGCAATCATCAATCATGAAACATCGAATTCGGACCCCTGAACTGCGCCTCCGAACATCGCGGCTGGAGACATCATATGTGGCGCAGTGCTCACATGACTAGACTATACTTGTTTCGGAAGAAGCCTACGAATCCCGCGACGACGTCGTTTCTTTGCCTTCAACTCTCCTTGACGAACGTTGTTGACTAGACGCAGCCGGTTATATCATGTTTCCTTGACTGTACTTCACTACTACCACACCTTTCCCTTCACTCGTTTGGTTCCTTCTTCTCTAGATTCCGTATCTCGACAAACGAACACGTCTCCAGTTGCGTTCTCTCCTTATCGATCAGTCGTCTTTAATTATACTTCGTCGCATTATCCGGTTACGCGCTTCTCTTTATTTAACGATCCTTCCATACTTTACTTTAATCCCACTACGAACCCGCGCATCATGGCCGGCCCTTCGATTCAGGACCGCACAGGCGAATTCCACGCCATCCTCGGACAAGCACAGAAACGCCTCGCTTCTAACAAGGTGGGATCTCAACGACAAGCACTGCTGTCGGACGCACAACGGAAACAGGCCAATGGGTTTGGCGACGGCAATAGACATAGGAGGTCGGAGTTTGCTAGAAAGGCCGCGGAGATTGGGCGGGGTATTACTGGAACTATGGCTAAGTTGCAGAGACTAGCTGAATGTGAGTCAAACAGCTTGCTCTGGGATTCTTTTGAATCACATCTAATCTGGAACAGTGGCCAAACGGAAGACGCTCTTTGATGACAGGCCTGTCGAGATATCCGAATTGACCTACGTTATCAAGCAAGACCTCGCAGCGCTGAACCAACAAATTGCTGGATTGCAGGCACTTACTTTGTCGCAACACCCCAAGTCAGGTAGATCAAGGACAGACCAGGAGGGAGAGCACAATGACAATGTATGTAACCCGACAAGGAAGGAAATGGACACCACTAACATGGCTAGGTTGTTGTTATGCTCCAAGGAAAACTCGCAGATGTCGGAGCCAACTTTAAAGAAGTGCTCGAAGTTCGGACAAAGAATATCCAGGCATCGCGATCGAGAACAGAAAACTTTGTCTCCTCCGTATCCTCGAAATCACAGTCCGCTTTAGATACACAACGATCCGACTCACCGCTATACAATCCATCCGGAAGACGCACACCTACACCAGGATTTCAGGGCAGCCAGTCGGATCTTTTGACCTTAGAGCCGTCCAATCCCTCGCCTCTCGGACGCCCATCGATGCAATCCGACCAACAATTGCTTGTCATGGAAGAAGCGCAATCGAGTAACACATATATCCAAGCACGCGGCGAAGCAATTGACGCCATTGAACGGACCATCAATGAACTAGGCGGAATCTTCGGCCAACTAGCCCAGATGGTCAGTGAGCAGTCTGAAATGATTCAACGGATCGATGCAAATACCGAAGATGTCGTGGATAATGTACAAGGAGCGCAACGCGAATTAATGAAATACTGGACTCGGGTGTCTAGTAACCGGTGGCTGATTGCTAAGATGTTTGGTGTATTGATGGTGAGTTGCCCTGCCGTTCACAACTCCTTATAGACTCCGTTACTGACTAGTGTAGATTTTCTTCCTTCTCTGGGTGTTGATATCTGGATAACAACGCCCATTTATACATAATAATGTGTTACTACATTTTTGCTATCTTGTTTCTTGCACCGTTTTCTTTTCTTTTTTTTCTTTTCTTTTTTTTTTTTTTCACCCCTTTTCTTCTCGAATGGATTATGCTGGTCTCGTATCCAACCTTAGCATTTTTAATTGGCATGGTTAAAAATTTTGACGTCTTTTCTTATGTTTCATGTTCATTGATTTCTGTTACTTGCTACATTTCTTTCCTACCGAGTACATATCCTGGAGATAGAATATATCAGCTCTTATTCACGAGTACATTGATCCTTCTTCGTACTTGATAGGCGAAGTCGCAAGTGCGAGTACATACTCAATCGCAGCCCAGCCGGGGGAAATCATCACCCCTAGCCAGCCCTGATCGAAGCCAAAAGTGTACTATCTGTCCGACTTCCCTCCATCCGACGATGTTTACGACGCAAGCTGAAGACCTGCAAGGACCCGCAGCCAAATATTGGCTGAGTAGTATCTGAGAACTAAGATCCTTATGCACATTCTCCTGCCGGATACTTCCAGCTGCATTATGGACCCCTTATGTAGTGATAGTAATGTCTCTAAGACAGTACAGCTGGGAGGGCGTATTAGTACTCATGTTGAGTAGTAGTGCGGCAGTTATGTGAGCATTGATTTTATGTATCTGTGGTTTACTATAAAATAGTACATCAAATCCTGAAGTTGCAGTCTTCTACCAGATTGGTCATGTAAAGAAGCTATTCGCAGAACTCGCATCTCAGCCTGGTAGTCGCTTTGTGAAGAACTGGAATCCCTTCCTCGCAGGCATGTGGTATCATGCTCCTGCGGTTCAATTCCCTCTTTGCAGCCTCGAACCAAACGTCCTCCACACCAGCCGTGCTCAGAACCCTGATGGCTTCGTTCTTAGCATCAAGGTCGTAAATAGACCCTCTTGTTGTGGATAATATTTGTTCCCAGTCATTCCGCATTTGCCAGATGAATTCCATTCGGGGCGTCCAGGAGGTATTGACAGTTGATTCGGTGATTTTCTCTTTCTTCTTGTCGGTTGCGCTGGTATTTGGAGTTGCAGCGGCTGCGAAAAAGTCAAGTGTTCGCTCTAGTGTTGATGTGGTGAGGAGGAGCCGGAGCCAGGGCTCAGTAGAGGGGTATTGGATATCAGGCGCCATTAGGCGGCGGAGACAGTTGCAGAGGAGTGTCATGCAGTGCTGTGTGGAGAGGAGGATCTGGGTATCTGTGAAGGGGGGTTGTTGGAGGATAGATTGTTGGGTTTTGATGGATGGGGATGTTGTTGCTGCGTCGGATTCGAGAAAGAAGATTAGATATGCTCTGCATACTTGTTAGACATTTGCTGATGGATATGAGTGATTTGCTCTACGTACACAGGATGTAGCAGCCTATCTTGAAGCTGGCATATGGCCTTGCTATAGATGGCTTCTTGTTCTGATACACCACGGATAGTAGTTTCGGTTTCGAGATGGTGTTGAACTGTCATTTCAGCCAGGTAGAATGATAGTCTTATACAGGTTCGCCAGCATCGAGTTAGGTCGGATAAGTAGCTGAATGAGTATTCTGGGAAATTGTTTTCTAGACTGCCATCGGTTGAAGGATAATGCGGTGGCGGTGGAGGAAATAGGTTGTATATGAGTGTTAGATTATCGCCAGGTGATAAAACCGCCGGACAATGCTGGTGTAGGCGACGGCAAAGATATTCCTGCGCAATGGCAGGTTCATGTTGATAGATGCGCCGGTGCAGCACGCGACAGACCAGAGCCAGGGCGTGTATATCGTTTAATTCGCATTGTGCCAGGATCCGGATTAATATGTCACTGGGAAGTGTTTCCCAGATTGACTGCTCCCGGCAGTTCTGACTGGTAGAGCATTTTCTGGGCACGAGCCATGTCAGATCTATCTCCAACGAGAAGAAAACAAGGAACGGCATACCTAGTTGACCTCCGTCGCAACACCGAATGCCTCCGAATTCGCTGCACAGCGTCACTGAACCGATCCAGAACCATGCTTCTTTTCGATAATGTGTCCCTTTCGAGTAATAGGTCTGGTGCAACCCGGTGCTAATTATAGAATGGTGTGGTTGATCCCTGCAAGCGATAAGGCCGGCATAGCCTGCATAAATTTAAGTAATCAAAATTAACAGGGACAATCTGGTTTTTTCAATCATGGATTACTATACAAGGCTGTTAGTTCCGAAGACAATAATAGGTGGGGAGGGTGTCTGACATCTGACGTCTGACACAGATCGCGATGTTGACTTGTTTCATGTCACATGAACTCGTATTAGTGAGCGGCAACACGAAAATCATCCAAATTTACTTGGAATATGGAAAGAAAGCTTCGATTTTATACGACAGAAGCATGAAGAATAAAAATGAAGCCGAGATGAACATCCGGCGAAGTCACATGATGCGCGCGAGTCAAGACGCAACCCCAGATCAAGGAATAAGCATGGCCGATACTTACCTAACTATTGGCACCACATACATAATAATCGAGTCACCGGTGTAGTGGATCGCTTAACGAAACAGAACGGATGCGGGGTGAGCTTAGCCGTGGGAGCATGCATGTCATCCATGGTTATCAGAATACTTGACATCTTGCTATATTCGGAGAGGTTGGTGCTGACCTGAATTAAGGCTTAGACTTAATACAACATGATGAGTCAGAAACCGAAATCTTGCAGGGGTATGGTTTGCTAGGGTATCTTGAATAGTATCGTTCTGACTCAGTATGGGTGAGAATGGGCAAGGAAGAGTTGGATGCTGGCCAACAGTCGAATATGAAGTAAGTGGTTGTTTGTTTTGCTTCTTTTTTCTTATCGCATTTTGCCAGGGGATTCGCTCATATATACAGGGAACCCATGGATAATGCATGTCAAGAATAGGGCTAATACATAGCCCTTAACAGCCAAGCCACTCAACGTTGTATGCAGTAAACTGCAGTTTCTATTTCCCTATACGTATGCATTACTTGCATAATCCTCCGCTGACCACGTGTAGGCTGTGTTACGGATCATAGCTCCAACATTCATGCATGATAGCCGCTGCCATACAGAATTCCTGTCACCTCTTTTTGTTAAATGCATTTTCCAGTTTCAATTATAATGATGAGTGCACATGTCGTAGATGAAAGATACAATGCATACCTCGTACTCTGAACTGCAGTCTGACGAAGACTGTCAACCAGCCGCAGCACAATCTGAGAGGAGAAAACGAAAAATAGATCAAACCAATAGGGGCAAAAGGCCTGAACCTAATCTAAGAGATCTGATACCCTAACCTGCTGGCTGTTTATGTGGCTAGATTATCTTAGACGGGATGACCTTATGTCAAGATTGACGACGACAACACCAACAGGATCACAGCGATGAAACAAGTGTGGCAGTCTTATCAGCTTGATCGAGTCACCGCCATTGACAATGGTTGATCAGAGAGTGGTTTCAAAGTATATATATGGCGACAGATTCGCTTGAAGATCCAAACCAGACATCGATTCCAAACCAGATCGCTTCAAGCCAAAGACAATTCAATCCGAATCACTATACCTTCATACCTACCTTAGAACGTGACATCTAGTTATTATTCAAGATGCAGGGCCACTATTCTTACCCCGGAGCCACCCCTTACGTCCACCGTCTGGCCTATGAAGATGGCGTCCGCAACCACACCTATCAACCACGCCCCGAAGACCACCCCGCTCTTCGATCAGACCTAGAAAGCAGAACTGGCTCACTATCCAGCCAGGAGACCGTGACCATTGAACCCAAGCGCGGGCCCGTAGCTCGGTACTTCCTGGCTGAGATCAACCCTCGCCGGACCTACCTACTCTTGATCATCTGCAGCTTTATAGCCGGTCTGGTGGATGCACTGTCCTACAACGCCTGGAGTACATTCACTGGCATGCAGACAGGAAATACCGTCTTCATGGCCCTAGGCGCCTCAAACCAACCCTCCTACCCAGACTACCTCTGGGCTAAAGCCCTCATTGCCTTCAGCGTCTACCTCACTAGCAACTTCTTTTTCACATACGTCGCCCGCGCCCTCACTCCACTCCGCCGGACAACCATGCTCCTCGTTTTTGGTCTTCAAACCCTAGCCCTGCTCATCGCCGCCCTCCTCGTCGAACTGGAGGTCATTCTCCCCAGGCCCGAAGAATACACTGCGCCAATCCAATGGACGCAAATATTCGCCATCGCTCTCCTCGCCTTCTCGCAAGCAGGGCAGATTAGCGCCTCTCGTATTCTGGGCTATAACGAGGTCCCCACACTTTCTGTGACTACAATTCTCGCTGATATGCTTGCCGACCCGCACTTGTTTGAGTTGCACAACCCCAAGCGAAACCGCAGGCTTGCGGGGTTTATTGCTTCTTTTGTGGGAGCTATGACTTCGGGTTTTTTGTCTAGGGAGACGGAGATGGTGGCTTGCTTGTGGCTTGCTATGGCATTGAAGGTTGTTGTTACACTTTGCTTCTTTGTCTGGAGAGATGACCGCGAGACCGAAAAGAAGGACCTGGAGGGTCAGTGATTTGTTGAGTGTTTTGTGTGATTATTAGCATGGAGTATACCGGTTGTTATATATAGAATTTCCCTTTCTTACTTTTGATTCCCTATTAGTTATGCTTCCTTTTTGTTTGCCTTCTGTTGTTATTACCTTGATTTTGCTTTCAGTGTGCAGATGCTTGTAGAATATGCTTTTTTTTTTTTTCTTTTTCTCATTCAGTAGAACTGAAATTACTTATTCTCTTTTATCTGTCTTTTTCATTCCCTCTCTCCCTCTAACCTTTTTCCTCTTACTGCAGCTCTTGATGTGAGGTAGCCTGTTACGTTTGCCCGGCAAAAAACAGAGAATTCGTATTCCTATAAACTATATGGAGGACAGCAACCTATCTCTGTCGAAAAATGTTAATAAGAGAGGAACAGCATCAGTTACTCAAGGTATGCTGACTTAACAAGATCTTGAATTGATGCAGGAAACGCCTTTGGATAACCCTCACTCAATGAATGCCAACAGTATCGTAGTAAGAAGACTACTACTTCAAATAGCCACCAATGAAGGATTCGATAGTTCAACATAGCCTCATTGCGAGTTATCCAATTACTAGACTGGGAAAAAACCGTCGCGCGGTTAGGAAGAGGGGCAAATTTGCGTCTGTCACGACTATGAGTGGATAGTCTCATAATCTGCGTAGGTCTGCCAGACCCAATGGTTGACAGTGGACAGAGAAAATTCTATATATTTCCTATCGTTGGTTATACTCTGAGTTACAACAAGCAAATTGATCAAGGGCGGCCAGGCCAGTACTATGAATGCCATGCACAAAGCAACTAATCGCATATTCCATTGATCATAATGTTTTTCTTCCACGTGGCACCGGTCCGATCTGAAGCTTGAAGCAGAACTTGAGTCAATTGAAGACGAGCCCGAGGCATTCTTCTTCACATCTACCATAGGGCAAGATCTATCCATACTCAGATGGAAGCACCAAGGACTTGAGAGAAAACTTCAAAAAGAGCTCTTCGATGCTGACGACGCATTTCTCAGAGAGACGAAAAATCAAGACATTGGATTCATGATTCAGGTCTACTGTGTCACGGAGCGCGAGCGCTCACCAGCAGCGTGAGATGTTTGACGACTTTGACCTGTTTGAATATAGGCAGGAGCCCCTGTCGCGCGCACACTAGATAGCGCAGCGCTGGAAGGCCCAGCTTCCTTCCTTCCTTCTCCATGTTAGTATTTCGTGAGGTAGTCTGCCAATATATTAATACTGTTTGAGACCGTCACATCTACCCTAGATTATAACTATTCAAGGTAATTGTGGAAATCTTATTGTTCCAGGTGTTTTGTTAATCCAATACCAATAATTTTTGGCAAATGGTTCGAGAGACAGAGAGTCCTTGGAGGTGACGCTGCTTTCGCATCGAGTGTTCTGCATTGCCTGCATGCTGACAAGGAATTCAGTCATTTTCTCCATCACACAGGATTCGGCATCAACAGCTGTCTATGGATCTCCAACCTGCTGAGATGCCACCGCTGCTTTATCCTCATAATGGACGTGTGCCAGTTTATGTCGTCCTAGGAGGCCGAGTTCATCATTTAAAATTGACTGGCGGAGATCATATGCAATCCGTCTAAGCATAATGTGACGGTTCAACGCCTCAAAGCCGCCTTAGTGGCTGATATCGACAAACTCCATAATGCAAGCAAACAAAGAAAGCACATAGCGCGGTCACAGAGATCATGGATAATACTCCTTGTCCCATAGGTAAATTCCTTTTCTTTTTTTCTCAGGTTCGATATTATTGGTGGCTACAATAGTTTAGATAGGAATTCAGTTCATTAATATATACAATTGTGAGCCCGTGACAGATACTGCATTATAAAACAGCCACATGCTAGCTACAATATATCAGCCAAGACTGACTTTATGGTGTGTATTCGTAACGGCGCCAGTTCTCTGCAATCCACCACTGAGCAACGTATGCTGCATCATTGACCCATCGGACAGCCTCAGACCCATGCAGCACCTCTACCTGACTAATAAGAGACAAGAGATCAAACGATATGAGGTAATGTCGCTCCCCCGGGTCAGTGCTGATATCGGAGAATCGCCATTCCACATCAGGGATAAGGGGGATAATGAGACGGTAAGGCTTAGCAGCAGATCGCAATGCAAGCCAGGTTCCCCCAGTGTTCATAGTACTGAATTGCCAGTCTTGCTTTCCTTCTACCTCGGGAACAAGAGGTCGGATGATGGATTGGCCTTCGTACATAGGAAGCAGATCCTCAATGGCACGCGTAGCATGTTCATCGAGAGATGAGGACTCCTTTAATAAATCAAGTATAGTAGGTAGGATCTGCACAGATGTAACGGGAGAGTCAATTTCGATTGGAGGAATCTGCGGATGGGCAAAGACCAATGGGACATGGAAATTTGAGATATGAGGGTTATCACACGGAGTAACACCACCATCTTCAGGAAGTGTAATGCCACTATGAAAGGATTAGCTGGCCGGGAATATATATGAATATATAAAAGAAGACTTACTGATCACCTGTCACCACAAGAAGAGTCTCATTAGCAACACCTGTGTCCTCTAGAATCTCCAATATATCTGCAAGCCATTGATCCGCGAAATGAATGGTGTTTAGATAACGTCTTAGCTTCTTATTGAATGGAAGATATGTGGAGCCCACCATTTCCACAAATTCGTTACGAGGCATATCCCATGGGTAATGAGTGATGCCGGTAAGATGAGTGAGGAAGAGGCGCTCCTGGTTCTTTTCAGCCTTGTTGATAGCATCATGAAAATAGCTGCGTAATTCATTGTCAGGGTATCCCCAGAAATTAAATTTCTCAGTTTTAGTCGAGGGACCCAATGTATCTGAATTGACCAATCTCTGAAATCCGTGGCCTGGCATCAGAAAGTTTTGATTGTCGTAAAGATCAGTGATTGACTGCATAAAAGCAGAATGCCATGGCCATGAGGTAAAGTGATCCGTCTTGGGACCATTGGATTGGGCATTTAGCGCTTGAAAGATATGTGGCATGCAGGGCTGGTAAATATGGTGTAGGTATTCGCGGTTGAAGTCAACGACTAAAGGTGAAGCACCACATATAGTTCCTGTCAGGCTTTTGAGAGTCATGGTACCGGTAGTATGGGAGTTTGTTGCGTGGATGCCACCATATGGCTTAATCGAGCTTCCATGAAAACCTGATGGGGTTCCAGTTAAGCGTTCTGCAGTAGAAGTCAGGTGAGCCAGTCGTTCCTCGACATCAGCAGGGATTCGACCACTGTATGATTGCCGGATGCGGTTATGCATAAATGAATCTTTGCGCAGAGGGAAAACATCATCTCGGGTACTTTCCAGCTTGAGAAGAAAGATATGTTTAATGTTGACACTGCTGTTTTGAAGGGTCTCGCGCAGAGGCTCGATGATTTCGCCATCTAAGTTTGAAATATGCAAAGGGTCCTGGGTTGGATTGTAGTGAACGCGTGGTTCCTCGTCATTTGACCTCGCATACCAGTCTCGGAACCCAGCCAGCTCGTCATGTGGTAGCCAGTCAAATTTGGGCGGCATGACCAGCGCTGTACGGTTTTCCAGCCAGCTGTAGTTGCCTAGCGAACTAGGAATATCAATAAGAGCATGGCCATTATGTGGTTTGGAGCCACCAAAAGGCAGGATAAGTAGATTATCAGAAAGAAAACCGTACGCAGGACCGGATGGTCGAATACAGTATAGAAGAATGATAGAAACCGTGGGAAAGAGCACGGCAAAGCGCGCTAGTCGGGGCGTTTGGGCGATCCTTGTTACGTTCTCAGATGCGTCTAGTGACAGAGCCCAGTTCGTGTTGATCTTATAGTCGTCATGAGCCACTTGTTCATAAATATCTGGGTTTGGAGACTTTCTCCGAAAAGAGAAGGATGAACCCAAGATTTCCAGGACTCTGTTCACCCAATTATACAAAAAAGGTGTTGTAAACCAGGATGCTATTATGTATAGGGCCTCGACTATGAGAAGACCAGTCAAACCAGCTAGGAGTGTTTTGACGGAGGCAAAATCGTGGTGGAAGGAACGTGCTTGACGCCAGTGAATTTCAGCACCAGTGGTGATATAGAAGGAGGTATTCGCAGCAGCCATGAGGGATATCCCTAGACTAGGGAAATTAGCAGTGTCAGAGGTCAGACTGTAATTGATCGACTTACCTAGCAGGGATAACTATGGAAGCTGCCAGGATACGGAGCCATCTATTATGTAAATTCCGGGTCAAGCCCCAGAAAACAAGGACACACAAAGCATCCTGTAGAAAGAAGGTCGGACCCCAGAGCAGAAACTGACCCAATGGGAGTGAGTTTAGATGGGAATAGATATGGAGGAGTTTGGCCCAGACGACGGCGATGAAGAGGAGAGAGAAGCAATACTTGCGCGAGGTTGTCCATCCTAGGTTTCCGACGAGACGACACAGTATCATGATGCTGATATCCCAGAGACGGTCCGTTGGTAGTCAAGACCGCGTTGTAAGCAAGAGGAAACTCCTACGAATTCATCGAAAGTAAGCATGCGACAAGCAAGAAGATATTTAGAAATGAACAGCAAAGAAAGAAAGAAAGAAAGAAAGAAAAAAGGTGTGGCAAAATAACCGGGGGGGGGAAGAGAAAATGGAATTAAGGTAGAACGAAAGGTAAGTAAGAGAAGGAGCCGACAGGCGACAAGAGAAGAAAAAGCAAGGACAACAGTCAACTGGTTTCCTGCAGCACAAATTGGACCAAAAAAAAAAAAAAAAAAAAAAAAAAAAAAAAAAAAAAAAAAAAAAAAAAAAAAGGGGTCTACCATAGCTTGTAGGGCTCAAATAATAGAGTCGCACTAAGACATAGAGTGGACAGTTTGTTTAGGCACTTTCTATTATTGGTGTAGGGCTCCTACAACACACGTGCAATACTAGCAACTAAAACCTCGGGAATGGAACGAGGAACGCCGGGTGGGTCTCGTATTGAAAGCGTCCCAAAAACTAAAGATTAATAGATTAATGATCGGTCTGATTCTTCTGCGGACATGAAAATAATCGGCGGACGAGCAATGATCCTGGCCGGTTGTTTTAAATCAATTATAGAAACATACAAAATGCCGAAAGCATGCCCCTGTGCGAAGAAAGACCAAATGTTTATCAGAAACTGTATGATTTTTAGTGTGTCATGATGGACCCTCTTCTAGACCAGTAATAGTGGATTGTGACTACTCATAGTAGGTAGTTAATAGACCAATTAACGTGACTGATTAGGGGTTTACACACCCCACTATCCAGCGCCCCCTTCTTGCTTCACAAAGCCATGCATTCAAGATGTCACAATCCCCATTATTGGAAATTGCGTCCTCGGTTTAGTTGAGGAGTCAGAGTCGCGAAGGCTATTTCATGCCAGGATATAGGTGGCCCAAAGACATGGAACTACAAGATCCCCAACGGCAAACCCGAGCCCGAGTCCGAGCTACCTGCTGTACTTGCAAGATCTGCCGCCAGAGAGAGGTGAGATATCATCTTATTCTGGAAACGAATGATCCTCGTCCTGTGGAGCAAATACATACTCAGAAACTACTTTCTCCCCGAAAGTGTCTAGCATTGATTCAAAGGTAAAATATGACGGTCAGAATTCAAAGTGCGGCACATGTCTCCTGAAAAATCAAGAGTGCGAGAATCCGTGGGATAAATGAAGAACAGTTGTGTGGGCCAAGAAGGAAGACATAAGATTACTTCAAATGCAGATTGAAGAATTGAACAGTCAGGACCACGAACGGACTAGCACAGAAGACGCTTTGAGCCCAGATGATACCTATCTCTAGGAGACTTCAGATCATTTTGACCCCAGGTCTAAGTGTCTTAGGGACTGCAGACTGGAAGAAAGCCATTCAAGCGAAGTCAGCGTGCTGCCACTTGATCGGGATACGTCATGCAATGTGTGGTTGAGATCGCCGCGATACGCTTCTGGAAAGCGGGGCTAATAGGTATTATAATATCGACAAGGCAGAACTGCGTAGAGGCGAGGGTTGCCTGCCATCCAGCTCTGGATGACCAAGTTCTCCCACAGCTGATTCCACCAATCAAGTCCGTCTGGAAGGGGCGCATCATACGAATCAACGCAGATTGCGAGACGATTTAGTTCACTAGAAGAGGCGACATTGGGAAATGATTGCTTCTCGCTGTAGTCACACCAAGAAAGGTCCAAAACATTGGCTGCTAGCGTAGCATTCCCTGCTTCGAGCTCATAGAGTATTTGTGCGGCACCTAGCCAAATCGGCAAATCGTGAACAGCCCTATGAGATGCAGCAAGACTGATTAATATATAGGGGCGGTTGAGATCCTTACCGAATTTAATTAGTTATACGTCTAAGGCAAGCTAGAGAGCCCTAACTGCCTGCGTCCCGCGCCGGGACCATGGTTTTTCCGTGGACAGCCTTGGGCACCACCCCGACGTTAAAGTAGATAGACACTCCGTACCCTATACACACCACCTATCTACTTTTGGCTAACTGGCATTTCCTTTCCCAAAAACTATCATAATGGCATTTGGACGCCTGCCAAATGAGCTTCTGGGAGATATCATTGCGCATACATTGCCAGAGGGGTTTGAGAGCCTGGCATTGACTTCCAAACATATCTATACACTCTGTGCACCATTCATTGAGTATCACAGTAAATTGCGCTTTCATTTCCAGAACTTCATGTACTACAAAACAAATCAAGTAGTCAAAAGTGGACTCCACTTGGTTGCTGGTACCCCTGCCTACACAGCCTGCTCAGCGTTTAACTTGATTGCACTCATTGCTGCCGAGCCAATTATAGCCCATTACATTCAAGAAGCAGACTTTGAGAATGACAGTATATTCACCTGGGGCAAAGACCGTGAAATCGCAACAAACATTGACCATGATGGAGCCGTGATTGAACTACTTGCCAATTCTTCCTACCTGAAGGAAGCAGGTCTTGACTGGAGGATATATTGGGCTGCAATTGAAGAGGATCTTGATGCTGGTTGTTACTCCCAACATGCTGCAGCTTTCCATCTGACACTTGTGACAGCCAGGTCACGTTGTCTGGCTATCACGTGAGATGCAGTTGTTTGCTTTGTTGATAAATACGGCGTCGCCTCCTTTCTTCCTTCCTCATGTTGATTATTCTCGTCGATAGCTACCTAGGTAGAACCCATGAGTTGGCTTTTCCATTATGCTAGTAGAGCGCCGTGATAAGCAATTCCGTTCCTGGCACTGCCACATGTCCAGTCTTTCTGCGGCCTCAACTGTGTGGGCATGGGTGGTCACAGGAGTATCATGTCCAAGTTTCTGGATAGTAACTTTGAAGCAGCCGTTGAAGTGATTGATATTTCTCACGCTTCCATTGACGGAGATGCTATTGCTGACTTTCTTCAAAAACACACCACGCCTCAGAATATTGATGCACTCGCATAAGGCAGGACGAAATAAATCAAGACTGGAATCTCTGCCAGTCTATTATGGCCATTGGGAACGAGGTTGGGAACCATCTGGAGGAGCTATCCATCCGCATTGGTGAACTACATAGGTCAATCGTTCCTGAAAAGGTATTGATGCGTGGCTTTCAGAATCTGCAAAAGCTTGAACTTCCACTTAAGCTGCAATGTGCAACCTTACATCTGCTGCATCAGCAAGTCATGGACTGCTTCTCAGCCATCTTATACCTGCTTCGGTCTATAAGCTTTCCCTAGTGTCACACGGAAAAAGCCACCATGGAAAGGCTCTTGACGCCTTGTTCTGTGAACTTGCTGCTAGGAAAGACGAACAGGTGCCTGCACTTGAAGAATTTTACCTGTCCTGCCCTAGATATGCAGATAGTCTGTACAAGGAGCAGTGTGAAAAGCTGGCTGCAGAGACAGAAAAAGCAGGTGTCATTTTACATCTAACGTCATGGGTGCTCTGGACGGACTTGACATGGACTGAAGAAATGGTTAATGACAGGCAAACACTACTGCCCCGTTAATGGTGGAACATTCAGTGAAGCAAATGGAGTCTTTTCATTTATTCCTTGACCACATTTCAATGCAAAAATTACACGCACGTAGTCTCTATGCCCTATGCGATCCATTGAAACACACGGACTAGCGAGTCTAAGTTGCCTAGTTTGTCCCAAGTGGTTGTAGCTGTGACGGTCCCGTTCAATATGGAATCTATTGATAGACTGACTCGCGATATACTAGCATGAGGGGGGAAAGAGAAGAGCGTTAAAGCCTGTCAGCGACGAGTTATCTACTGTGTGCGAGGGGATTAGGCGAGGCTCAGTGAATGTTGTACACCAAATACAATCCGCTTGCAAACGACACTGCACATGCCTATACCAGTGTTAAGACAGCACATACATATCTTACCCCTTCTGTTCAACGGCTAATTGTCCAATCGCCCCAATGCCCTGGCAATCCTTCCGTGTCTTTTGGGCAGAAGACAACATCGGAGGTGATCCTAAGCAGTGAGTTGAAACTCCGACCCATACCAACCAGATCGGAATGGTTCCTTGCACGAGTCGGCATAACGACTTGCCGTGTCTGACCTGGTTGACTCGAACCAGGTACCTGGCCAGCACTCCTTGCGGCAGTGTTCGCCACTAGCAAGTGATGATGACAAGCATACTGGCTTGTCTTGCGTGTGGCAGGTTGTCAGGAACGTGGTGTGATACCATTGGGAATGCGATGTCAGATGAAGGCTGAAATGTGATGCAGAGGATTGTACATTAGTTCTAACAGGCTATTTCGTATCACCTACAGACATGCTATAGAGCGAGTACACGTGCCAACGTAATCTTTTTTAGCAGCGGGAAATGGCTCGCTTGTATGCAGATCGGCTCCACGGCAATTAACCAGCCGTTATGTACTCGCACTCTGCAATAGACCGTGTACAGAGTACCACGTAGGAGAATCATCCTGGTACGGAGTACATACTAGGTGTTCGAATATCCCGAGAATCAGATCGTATGCCCTGTGGTAGACAAGCCGCCGTCAACCATGTGAAGGAATGCTAGTACATACATCGTTAGCTCGCGCAAGCATTCTCCGAAAAGGTTTTCACACTCCACACGGACGGGTGGAGTGTGTATAGTGAGCGTCAGGGGCACGGGCAGTGAAAGGTGAAACTGTCCATGCCAGTGTATTTTGAGTAGGACAGAGACGGTTTCTCTTTGATTGCTCTCTCAATACAGGGTACTCAGTACCGAGTAAGGGAGCCAGATCTCATTAACGCAGACGATAGAGTAGAGTGCAGTGCCCGGGCGATATTAATCCCCATCACCCGCAATCCCCCCGGTACCCACGAATCAGTTCGGGGCAAACGAGTCTTGTCGCTGAACCACTTCCTGTAGAGTCGTAGAATAGAGAGTAACTGACCGTGTCATTCTGGCAAACACTGGTTCAGCGAAAGAAAAAAAAAAGAACCGTGGAAATCAGGTGGCAACCTGAGGCATCACTCTCGGTCGCACTGTCCGTCAATCTCACTTCTCTCATCTTAAGACTATCTTCTCCCTTCTGCACTCTCTCTTTTCTTCTACACACACTCTCTATTGACGTATTGTCTACATTCTTTATCATTCATTCTACTCCAACCGCTGGCTTCGGTCGAGTTCCCAACGGCGGCTATTATTCCCCAGGATCGCCCCGGCATGTCAATGCCGTCACTTGAATCCGACTGTGTCGTTCTCTCTCTCATTGATTAGATCTCTTTTTCTCTACTTTGAACCGTCATTCTTTCTTTTCTCCACAGCCTCTGAAGCGTCGCGATGCTGTTCAAACCCGCGACGCCGCTTACTATCCTCCTACTCATCGCCTTTGCGCTCCTGGTGCTATCGGTTCTTTCGACGCCCATTGTTAAACAGATTCCCTTGGCGTCATTTGACAATGTCGACTACGGCGTCTTTGGCTACTGTAAGGATGGCGTATGTACGGATATTCACATCGGATACACCAGCAGTGATATCTCCAACACCGGCAGCAGCGATTTCAACCTTCCGTCCGGCACTCGAAGGTCGCTCTCGTCCATTCTCATCGTTCACCCTGTCGCCGCCTTCCTCACCCTCGTCTGTCTCTGTCTAGCAGCCGCCGCTCATTTTCATGGCCCGTCGCATTCACCGCGATACCTATTGGCCTTGCTGATCCTCCTGCTACCGACGCTCCTCGTCAGTCTGCTTGCATTCCTCGTCGACATCTTGCTCTTCGTCCCGCATTTGCATTGGGGCGGGTGGATTGTGCTGGTCGCAACCGTCATTCTTGTCGCCTGTGGTGTGGTCACCTGTGCCATGCGTCGTACCCTGGTCAGTCGGAAGGCAAGGAAGAGGCGCATCGCTGAAAATGCCGAAATGAGCGGCGAAAACTATTACAACCGCCAGAATGCGGCCGCTGCGGCACTCGACGATACCAAGCCGGAGATGAATGGTGATACAAAGGAGGCATATGTAACCGACGGCCCTACAGCTGATGGCCCGACCTTTGCTACTTTCCGCACCAACACCCGCGAGAGCGACGATGACCAGACCCCGCTTAATTCGCAAACGCCTGCACCTGCCAACGACTACCCGCTCCCCAACCAGCCCCTGCGCAATGGAATGCCCTACGGCGCCGCTCGCGATGAAGTCGGCAACCCTCTGCCCCCTTCTGGCCCGTACGCGGCTGCCGGCCGGGGAGGATCTGCTGATCCTCGGATGATGAACGGTGGCCCACCGCCTGGATTTGCATCGCGCGGACGAGGTGGCTATCCTCCAAGAGGCGGCTATGGCCGTGGAGGCTACGGCCCACCACGAGGAAGAGGCGGTCCCATGGGTCCTATGCGCGGTGGCCCAGCTATGAGAGGACGAGGTGGCTATCGCGGTCCGCCACCAGCTGACTACGGCTACGACGCCTACGCAGCGCCCGCGCCACGGACCCATCCTACACCTCCTCCAGCGGAGTATCGCGGGACCTCGCCTGTTTACCGACAACCGTCCCCGGGTATCGGCATGGCTTTGTCGGCTGACGGAGGCCCCGTTGGCCAAGCCATTGAGATGACACCGCAACCGAGACGCTCTCCGGGGCCTGATCAAATCCACGCGTTGTCAGTTGATGGGTATCCCGAGCCTACGAGTCCTTCTAGCTTCTATAGCAGGACACCGTAAGCCAAGTTACCTTCCCTACTCTCTTGATATCGTGTGCTAATAGACTACAGATCAACCTACGTTCCAGCACGCGCAGGTTGGACTCAACCCGATAACCGTCTAGGCCCATCACCTTCCCCGGTGTACGAACATGACATTCCCCAGCCACTTCGTCCAGCGCAGTCACCCGTCCACGCATACAGACCACCCGGTGGCGCACACCATGCGCGTAATGACTCGACAGACTACTATGAAGATGTGGATTTACAATTTGCAGAAAATCAACCGGCAGTGTCTGCACCACCTCCAGCGCTGCCGTCTGCACTGATGCCCGGGCCTGCTGGTGAGCCTAAACCGGTTGTTGAAGATATTCCCGAGGCACCCGGCTCACCTACTGCTAGCGAAATGAGTCACTTTACTTCTATTTCACAACGACCTGTGAACCCGCGGTGGCAACCTCCAATGCAACCAGCTCAGCAGCGCACCAACATGTTGTTGGAAGGCAACCCAGATTTTGATCTGAGCGCTGGTCGACGGCGAGGAGGTGCCGGCCCGGGAGGTCGGATGCCAACATTGTCCACGCTTCGGGAGGTTACAAGATACCCAGTTCCTTGATTACGTTTATGATGACCTTTATTTACTCTCTATTGGGAGGCTTGGCCGGGCGTTTGGAGTTGGAGACGATTCTCTCTCTTAAATTTTCTTTGTTGGGTCGGAACCGGTTCAGAGACCCATGGTGTGTACAGGTTATTACAGTACAGAATTGATCAATTGCACAGGATATATCTTGTCCAACTTCATCTTCGAGATTATAGTAGCTCGGTTGATTGATAAAGACCATCTGGAACTCAATCTGCGGGTAAACCATTCCGAGCGGTGTCTCGGCCTGTTATAGCGCTCAGAGCTTGTACCAAAAAAGTGCACTTATATCTCCCGCGGGATCGTTGTGTTTATTATCAATACCATGCACTCCGAAACATGCAGCTGGGTCTACTATGTATATCGGCCGGAACACAATGTCATCCGGCATCGGATGTGACAGACCCAGCCATCCCACCGTCAATCATCAACTAAACTATACCACATGGGGTATTAGCACTATGATACATAGGTCTTTCTGACGTGAATCGACTGTTCTACTTATTAACACCGGACAGTGACGTCATTATTGAAACAGGAACTAGTTTCGTGTATGGGATGCTCGATTGGTGTGCTTGGGATATTCGGTAAGAGGTTTCTCGAGAACTCCGTATGTGGGATAACTACTACCATGCGAGCAGGAATGAGAGCGGGTCATTGGGTCGTTTCCGGGTCGTACGCTGCCTTGCCCTGATGCATATAAAACCCGTCATATCCTGCCAGGTACACCCCAAGCCAACTACCTACCAACAATCCAAATAACAACAACAACAACAACAACCAAAATGCTTCCAAAACATCACCTCCTCCCCCTCCTGGGCCTATCCCATCATGCCCTTGCCCTTCCCAAACCCTCCTCTCCTGCCACAGACATCATCTCCAGTGTATCCTTGTCCGGCCCCCCAGCCGTCTCTCACCCAATCTCCCTCTCGCACACCCCCTACAGTGGCACGCCCACGACAACCGGTGCCTTGAGCGCGTCTTCGGCCCTAAGATCTTCGGTCGCACCGGGGGCCACTGATTACCCGAGTGATGGAGAGTTGCATGAGGCTGAACCGGCGCCGTATACTCCTGCGGGTGGTGTTGGGACGGGTGGCGAGGAGCCAGTCTATAATGCAAAGAGTGATTTTGATTTTGAGTCTCTGGTATGCCCTGTCTCTGGATCCTGATTGCACTACGGCAGATAAAGAAAATATGCTGATGATAGTGAGTAATAAAGGCACTAGCAACATACCAAGAATACATCGAACTGGACCTCTTCCACGACGGTCTGGCCAAGTTCTCCGTCGAAGATTTCGAAAAAGCAGGCCTAACCGCCGAAGACCGCTTCTTGATTGAATTCATGGCGGACCAAGAAGTCGGCCATGCAACAATGCTAACCAACATCCTTGGTCCCGACGCCGCCCCCAAACAATGCACTTACAACTACCCCTACACCACCGTCTGGGAGTTCCTCGACTTCAGTCAGAAACTCACTCGGTTTGGTGAATCGGGTGTATATGGTTTTTTGGGACATTTGGATTCTCGTGAGGCTGCGACGCTGCTTACGCAGAGTATTACCACCGAGGCACGGCAGCAGATGGTGTTCAGACAGTTTGAGGGACTTTTCCCGATGCCTGTTTGGTTCGAGGTTGGGATTCCGCAGTCTTGGGCGTGGACGTTGCTTGCTCCTTACATCGCGTCCTGCCCTGAAGGTCAAACCCGCCTGGCGTGGCAGAACTTCCCAGCCCTGACGATCGACAATCAGCCAAACCCCAGCCGGATCGACGGAAGTAAGGCGTTCAATGAAGTGCTGGAGCCAGGAATGAATACCCTCCAGCAAGTCACCGGCGACGAGTCTTGTCTTGGATCGGACACACAGGGCGAATCCTGCACCCCAGCAATAACCCACAACCGCACAAACCCACTCTCCTACCCCGGCCGCGAAGTCTACCTCTCCTGGGATGTCCCGGGCAAGGCAGTCGGCCCGAACAACTCCTACGTGACCTCTTCCCAAGCGACTGACCCGAAATTTGTGGCGTGGGCTACACAGCTCAACGTGACATATTCACCATTGGAAATGGTTAATAAGACGAGCGGGAAGACGGTGCAGCCTGATTTGAGTACGTATGTGGGTGATCCGGCGATCAACGGGACTATGTTTTTGGCTGTTGTTGATGAGGATTTGTTCGTGACGCCGTTTAATTTTAGTGCTATCAATGAGCATGTTGTTGCAGGGCCGGCTTTGTACCAGTCTGGTTGAGTTAGGATTTGTTTTGCTGGCATTGTGGATGCGTATAGATAGATTAGCTGGTATATGTGGAAGAATTAAGTGGTAATAACAGTTTTGTTTGGTATTATCGTCGGGTCATTATATCAATATCAACATAACAAACATAAAAAGGTATCATATCATGTAAAATATCATCATTATCATCATTATCATCATTATCATCATTATCATCATTACCAATTAATCATGACCATGATCACCCAAATCAAACAACGCCATCTTCTCTCCCAACCCTCTCAATCCCAAACCTCCCAAGCTCATACCTCGCCTCCCCATCCCCCTCAATATCACTAACCATCCTCACCAAATCCTCCTTACACCCCAAATCCCCCTCCCCATCGCGCACTACCTCACTCCTGTACAGAAAACTAATCTGTTCCCCCAACGTACCGATACCATGCGGAAGACACCTGATCCTTCTCGGCCAAGCAGCCAACAAAGAAAGCACATAGACCCCGCAGAATGCAACGAGTGCATAAAACGCTGGCATTAGCGAAGTCATCCGGATCGAGTGATCAGTGGGATAGTAGAGCGCTGTGAATATGCCCCCGGCGAGAATCGGGATGGAGAGGGATATCGTGCTAACGAGTGAAATGACCGCGACTTTGAAATGTTTGTTGGCTAGGGCTTTGAGCGTGATTATGAATGGAAGATCGAAGGGGTAGGATAGGAGGATTGAGTGTTTTGCGAGTGCGCCTGATGATACCGAGAGAGAAGCATAGGGCTGTACCGCGCGAAAATACACATCGACGTGCTGGTACCCCAGAAAGAATATATTTCCGATAAGTGCAGGTATAAAACTGTACACGAAGTTTGAAGCCGAGAACCCGTTTTTCGAGGGGAGGGTATGAAGCCGTGGCGGGAAGCCATTTGCGATGGCAGAGTGTAGGAAGCTGGCGATTAAGAAGGCTGTATAAAGTGCGGAGATAAGGATGGTTATGGCTGTTAGGGGAATTGGACGGAGGGGCCAGGGGGTCCAGTGATGGGTTTTTTTGGGAGTGTTAGATTCAAGGTCCGGTTGTTGTTGGGCTGGGTGTTTGTTTTTGTTTGGTGAAGGTGGATGGATGGGAACGTCTTCTTCGCCGATGCCGTAGAACAGGATATCCTTCTTCCCTGAAAGTTTCCAGTATCCTAGCCGTAAGACCCTTGGTCCAAGGACCTTGCTCACGTCCGATGCGGTTTCAGTACCATCAAACTCATGCAGGATATTCGACCGCTGGATAACCGGGATCAAATCCGCGATACTAGTTGGATCCCACAGAAGCCCAGACCACGCGCGTGCAAAACGGATTAGGAGTATCGTCAGCCCTATCGTGAGTAGTCCGTATACCGAGACGATTGTCCATCCGATTGGCTGGACGGACGTCCACCGGAACCTTCCCTGGGCTGTTTCCTGGTTTTCGATATTGTAGACGTACCATTTTACCTGGAAGATGCAGCTGAGAAGCGGGATAGCGAAGAAATTTGCGAGCCAGATGGTAAACAACGAGAAGCCTATTAGTGGCTCTCCTTGGAGGAAATGCGGTAAGTCCGGGAGGAGGAAATTCCGCGGTAATAGGGGAAGTTTTTGGAGAACACGGGTGAGTCTCCTCTCAGAAGCCATGATGGCAAATGGCATGATGCGGTATACAGCAGCCTGCACAACGAGTAGCCACAAAACGAGGATAGCAGCTAAGATCTGCGGCAGAAACTGGAAGACAAAGTATCGTGATCCGCTTTGACCATCGTAGTCCCAGAGTCCCTGTCGTTTCCTGGACCAGACGTTGCTGAATGATACTCCGGCAAGCATAAGGAGACAGCAGAAGATGAGTAAGGCTAGGGCCCAGGGGCGAAGTACGGGCGGGATGTAGTCGAGGGATGGGTATAGGGGGCTGTTTTCGGGGGGATCTGCGGCGATGAAGGTTTTGTGGGCGAGAGTTGTCATGGAACTTGTGGAGCTTCGGACGGATCGCGATGGCGAGGGTTGTCGTTCTCGCTGCTGCTGCTGTTGTTGTTGCTGGGACGGAGATGGCGAAGCCCCCAGACGAGTAAAACAACCCCGTTCTTCGTCCCAAACAAAACCATCTGGACGTTCTCCAGCAGGGCTCTGTCCTATCGCATCCTCCTCATCCTCCTCATCCCCCGTGAGATGATTAATCGCATACCGAATATGCGGTAAATCACCTTCCATCCACACCGAGTTATCCACCCCATTCCCATTCCTACCAGTCCTCGCCCTCACCCTCCTCGGCGCTGTATCCTCTCCAAGCAACGGCCCATGTTCCCCAATCGCACCCATCCTGGGGACACCCACGCCCGGCGATGACGCCCGCGATGTAGGCCCAGAAACCGGCGTCGCATACCGCATCACGCCCTCCCTGCTGCTAGCGGAGTTGGAAGCTGTCGAGGGGAAGGAGTAGTAGTCGTCTGAGGCGGCTTCGGAGCGTTGCTCGAAGTATTGGTATTGGGGGCGGCTTGCTGTATTCAATTAGCACCCTGTATACGAAGTATTGAATGCTGCTCTGTGGTGAGGGAGGGGAGGGCTTACAGCTAACGGTCCTCAGACTGACATTTCCCGGCTGCGGTGCAGAATTCATAGCGGGCTAGACCGAGGAATGGACGATTAAATATTAAAAATTAAAGTGAATGGCTGACAGCTCCAGCTCTAGCACCGACACCGACACCAGCAGCAGTATGCGAGGGCATGGGCGTCCCAGCAAAAAACTGGCCTGTCACAACGCTAGGCAAGGGAGAACGGTCAGGGAAAACCTATAAAATTCAAAACATTAAAGTCAGAATGAAAATTAAGCTGTCACGCAGGAAAATCAGTGTTATAACAGGGGGCTGGGGTGGGCTACACCGTAAGTACTTGTATACCCACAGCCAACCACCCAGCCACCATATAAATGGGAACGAAGAGAAAGCGACAGACAGCTTATTTGTGGCCCAACAAGACATTATTCTGGTGGGAAAAAAAGGAAGGCGACATGGCTGTGTTTGATTGGAAGTGGGAATACCTCCGATCATGCATGTTCGGTGCGGTGCATTGGTGCCAGCGCAGTGCCGGAGGGCGGAAGTGAAGCTGCCCAAGATACGGTGCTTTTATACGGCGACTTAATTAGGTGTGTTATTATGGGGAATATGGCAGAAGGAAGATATCTAGCGAATGGCGTTGATCCTGAACTACGGTAGAGTTCCGAGATGCTGGTGGACTAAACGGGACATGCTGTTAACTATAAAAAGAAATAACAAAGTTGTAGACACTAACTAATAATAGATCAAATATGTCAATTAGTCTATCGCATCTACTTCGCGGCCGTTATGTCCGTCGATGTATATACACCAAATGCCTATGCATATGCTCATTCTGTCCTCGCTTCCAATACCCTACACCTATACTCACCATGACCCGCTACACATCATACAGATAAGCAGCAATAATACCTCCCCATCCACCGGCATTATCATCCTCTTTCGCAATAACCCTTCCCTCCTCAAGAATGATATTCTTCGTACTCTTTGTATTCGTCCCATACAGATAAACCTGTTTCGAATCGGTCATCTGGATCGCATTCTGCTGACACTTGCCGCCGCAGTCGCCGTTGTTGTTGAAGAACACCCAATTACACCCTCCATACAGGAACAGGTTTCTGGAACTAGTGATTATTTCGAAGAAACCCATTCGGCAGAGTGCGTCGCCGGCAGCGCAGTGCCTGAACTGTGGGTCGAGGCTTGTAAGGCTGTTTTGCCATGGTTGTGGTGCGAGGGCGTTTCCGGGACCTTGCCAGTATGCTGATTCGCTTTGTTGCATCGCGGAGAAGACGTTCTCCGCGCGGTTGAAGTTGTACTGGTACAGCGCGTGGTGCTCGAATCCCGTACCAACAAGCCAGGTGCCCTTGGTAGCTTCAACTAGCAATCCACGACCGGTCGCGATAGTTTGCGGATTCTGTCCGTCAAGGTCGTGATCCGCCGTCCAACCCCAGATGTTCTCAAGGTAAGCAGAGGAGCTGCTGGTAAGATGCAAGAGACCCCAGGCCGCTTTGCAGATATCTGGTGTGGAGGTACATTTGCTTTGCACTTGCGAGCCGACAGCACCACCAATGCGGAAGTGCGTGTTCCACATGCCCACATCGCCGGGGGAGTTGCCCGCCATGTTGATCTCAACCATCTTGCAGCCGGGGAGGACGTCCGCGACGGTAAACAACATGTCGCTGATTTGAGCGAGTCCCGTGTCGCCGGGGTATCCGACGCGGATCATGGCTCGGGGGGAGTGTTCATCCTTGAACTTCGATCCAGCGCCGCTAATCGCACTACCGAAGGCATCACCGATGATTCTTGTGCCATCGGGGATGATAATTGTGTCCGTGACGATGTACGTGCCGGCAGGGAAGTAAATAAGCTTGCAGCCCGCGTACATGGTCAGAATGTTGTTAATGTTGTCCGTGTCATCGGTCAATCCGTCACCGTACACCGGTGCACCCTCAACAGATTTGATGTTGACGACTTGCTCTGCTGTGTAATGTTCGTAGGTTGGGGGCTTCATGGTGAAATAATTGGCGGAGCCGGAGAGGAGGGCTGCGGTGCGGATGGTCGAACCGGTGCGGCCTTTGGCGTGGTATTTAGTGGGATCACCAGGGTAGTATAGGTTGCCATGCACCCAGGTCTGCCAGACGCTGCCTGTAAGCACGACTTCGTCACCTAGTTTGACCGTTGTGCCCGAGTTCTGTACATTGTCCAGGATGATAGAGTTCGCTGCGTTGCCTGAGTCACCGGAGACGATGAAGTTCTCGAGGCCATAGGCCGTGCTGTCAATGACAGTCAGAGACCCAGAAGTACCACTAGCATCGATACCAAGCGCGCCATTCTGAAATGTACATCCCAGAAAGACGATATCAGTTCCTCCGGTGACAACGCCTGTCTTCGTGCCTTGGAACTGCAGACCCTTGAACACCCATTGCTGACCAGCCAGACTCATACCGATGTTACCACCTTGGAACACGAGATCGTTCTACTCCAGTCAGCCGTCATCCTCGCCTCCTCTCTCCTGGAGATTAGCAACTCACTAAAATAATATTACTATTGTAATCAAACTCCGTAGTCATCCCAACATGTCCCTCAGCACCCTGCGGCATCCGGAACACCACATTCGTCAACTGCGTCGCCTGGCTAACCGTCCAGTCAAGAAGCACCATCCGTCTATTCGGGTCCACACTCGTCGAGTCGATAACCACGTTTTTGATGCCGATGTAGAAGTTAATTGTGCCCCCGAAATTCGGATCCTTGGCGTAGACGATGTGGTCCGTACCAAAGTTGTTCGGCGCTTTTAGCACGGGTGGGTTTTTGGGGTCTCCCACGATCACTGTGCCGATGTAGAGCTGTAGACCTCTTTCCAGGAGGTAGGTTCCGCCGGGAAGATAGATGATCGCTGGTTGACCGGTGCTACCCATCGAGTGGGAGTTGCGGCTGGGGCCGTTCTTCGGGCCACCTACATTCATTAGCCACTCATCAATCATCAGCATTTTCTTGAGGTGACGCATACTATCAATAGCAGCCTGGATCGCCGCACCCGCGTCCACGCTTCCCGTATTATCTGCGCCATAATCCTTGACCACATTCCGAAACACGGTGTACTGGTCCTTAAACTGTCCTTGCAAGAATGATGACTCTCCGTTATGCTCGATCTCTTCGTACCAGTACTTGTTTGACCACTGGCCACTCGACGAACACTGTGCCTGGCCATCGGCGACCATTAATGTCCGATGGCTTTCGGAGTCATGCGAGGAGGAATTCGTTTCCCAGGGGTGTTTGTTATGGTCTTGTACGGTGTAGGGGATACCGCTGTTACCGCGTCAGTACATTGTCATGGATGAAGGAGAGGTGAAGGGCATACACAGGGTGCGGAACATAGTCCAGCGGCGGGAAATATTTGATACTTGTCTTGCCGTGCCCTTCGTGCGGATCGTGAGGATTGTGTATCGTCCAGTCATGGGGCTGGCCTGCCTCCGATGCAACCACATGGTTGCTACATAGAAGCAGACCAAACACCGATGTGTAGAGGCGGAGAGAAGAGCGGGAAAATACCATCTTCAATATGACCCCAAACAATCAAGATCTAAGTCCTCTTATATATCTCGATTCATTGAGTTTGATATGTGTATATATCGGTTCTGGGTGGTGATGGATCAAAACCCAACTGGACCACGCAGACAAACCGTCAAACAGAAGTCCAGCAAAGTCAAACAGAGATTAAAGATCTAAAGAGACAGAAAAAGATATATATATAAAGAGGATGTGAAGAAGTGGAAAAAGAGAGAGAGAAAAAGGAAGAGAGCCTTAGAAAGGGGCCGGCGGTGGGCCAGATCCACGAGCTCATTCTTCGTCGCATTCCAGACAGAAACAGGCTGGAGGCAACCTGCCGACCAGCAGCGACAGATTCCAACGAATGGTGACCGCGCGGATAATTGCCTGCGATGGTCTGCATGCTTACTGGTAGATTGCCTTGGCTGTTTTGTATAGGGCATAGGATCACCGATGGTAGCCGGAGGTTGTATAGATATACAACGGCAAAAGGCGAATAGACATATCAGTATCCTGATTCAACTGAAGAATAGTAAACCAATGACAAATCAGCACTCCCAGTCCAGCCGTACCTCCTCACTGCTATTCACATACCAGAGCCCTAGCAAGGAGGTTTAAACACACTTACTAACCCGAGTACGTCAAAAAAGTACGTAGCAAGGTATTTCAATATCCGCATTTATTTTAAGCTCTTCCTTTAGCCAGAAATGCTCGTCTTGATTCATATTAAAGCCAAGGGCTAGCCATCGCTGCTTTCGGCATTGCAGACCCAACACTCATCCTGAGACACACCACACATTACCGTCAACGTGATCGGACTCACGAAATAACCCGAACCAACCGTCCATTTCGCACGAGGACCCTGATCGACACAGTCAGCACATTTCGAATCTCACTGCAGCACATGCAAGTGCAATGCAGACACGTGTAATCCAGACTAAGACTAACCTTCGCATATTCCCCGCACCGCCAATGCCGAACCCTACATAACGCTCTTTTACCGCCATGGTTTTGGTCTTGGTCTTTGCCTTGGGAGGTTCTTGGATGCGTGGATATTCGCATGCGAGTCGGACTTGAGCGGGAATATCTTGGCCTTGGGGCTCTTGGACATTCTCGAGGTGTTTGTAAGTGATTGTGGGCTCTTGGAAATTGGAATCAGAGTCGGATTCGGAATCCGAGAGGAGGGCATATTGTCTTTCTTCGTCGGGAAATTTTGGTTTAGAGTTCCGGGTGAGCATAGCTTTGAAGCTGTGAAAAGAGAAGGGGATACAAGATCTCCGGATGTTTGGCATGGTTGTAGCCGGATATATCGAGATAGGAATGAACCCGTTCCTCGGGTGAGCGATAAACTGAATAGACTACCCCCACAAGAAGGGACAAACGATTTACGAAGACAAATCCGGATTAATGCCCGTGATGAGTTATATAAATCAGGGTAGATTGTTCAGTGGTCACTCATGTGCAACTACCTTGACTCGTAGTGGCAATCGCAGTCTCTTTCCTGTCGGTTGCACATGTATACGGGTGTGTATCTTGTCTTGGAAAAAGGGGGAGATATAGAAACTGCTGGCTGGTGTCATCGTGCTTCGGGATAAGTCGATGGATTATGTGATCGCAGTGTGTTTAACGAGTGAACCTTTAGGGTAGACATGAACATATTCCCAAGAAAGGTGGCTATACAGGTGCAGTAGCTCCAAAATTGTAGATTTGCAAAATCCTCTGCATCTGCCCCCTTATCCACACCAAATGCTCTTCACTCAAACAAAGCCCCGACGTACACAAATTGCCCAAGAATGTTATCAGAAACCACCCGCCCAGCAGCGGCGCTGTCTGCTGATGTCCGTGTGTGACGATTCTTCTTTCTGCCTCGGGATACTCGACTTTATATGGGTTCAATTGGACGGATTCCATCTGACTACCGAGGAAGAAGGGGACGCAGGCGCAGATGTCCATTGCGAGAGATTGGATGGTGGCTTCGGCGGTGGTTTTCAAAGTTAGGATGGTCTGGTTTGAAGGCAGGGAGATGTGAATATTGGTGTCATTGTCGGTGAGCATGCGTAGGCAGCTAAGAATGATCTTCTGTACAACGATACGCGAGTCGCGATACGAATTCCATGTTGCTGCTACCCATATATCAGAGTAACAATCACATCGATCGTTGAAGACGCCTGCGGCGCGGACGGATTGGGGTATCATAGTTGCAGGACTAGGAAGCCAATTCGGCGGTACCGTATGAACCCAGCCAACAAGTTTGACATCCAATTCTTGGGCTTGTGACATGAGGTGCAGTATTTCAGATCTGATTATTTGTGATGGAGGTCTTGACGCAAGTGACTCCCATGCTAAACGGAGATTTACCAGTCCGGATGAGGCCACCTGTAACTGTTCTGGTGCAGTCTGGGCTATTGGTGCAGTGAGTGGCCAGACCTTTGGGGTTGGGACCATTGGGTGGGCTAAACCCATTGAGGTTCGTATCTAGTTATTAATTAGCGTGAACTAGAACAACAAAGAAGCTATGCCTACCACTTCGTGCTCAACGCCATCCGCCAATAATCTGCATGAAGGCGAGTCTAATTGTTCGGGTCTCCTGCTATTAATCAATGCGATAGCTCCGCGTAAGTGATCTCGAGGAGGAAGCTGCCGGTCTCGTTTAGAGACAAAATCCTGATCTTGTTAGACAAGGAAAATTAACAGATTGAAACTTGAACGAACCTCATATAGTGAAAGTAAAAGGACAGTTAATAGGACCTCGTTCAAATTCCCATCAATATCTGTCTGCAACATTTCACGCGTCTTCCGAAGGGCCCTGAGAAACGAGTGCTCAGCCAACTGAAGCGAGTTCCGCTCGCCTGTCCAAGCAGCCACGGAAAAGGCAGAAACCGCGAGTAAACTCAGATGCACAGACGATCCAACTTGAGTCTCAGAGTAGAACTTAGGCAGAAGATCCAGGAAGCCATTGCTTATTTGAGGATCCTTGGGAAGATAAAGGTATGAATTGAAAAACAATGGAATCACCGTATCCTCCATAGGCAAGTAGATACTGCGAGAGATAGAGACATTGAAATTTAGGACCGGAACCGAAGGAACCAACCGGGAAACCTCTGGTGTATGGGCAATGGAGTCATAAGGGGTTGAAATTGTAGAAACAGAAGATATAGGACTCTCTGGCGTACGGGGAATATCAACGGTCGTAGATACCGAGTCCTCCGATGGAGAAGGCCTCTTTGCTGGAACGCCTGCCTTGGAAGCAGGAGACTGCTTGCCTGGGACACCTTTCTTTTTGCGCTGGAAGGCTGTCTGCCCTCTTAGCGCGACATCTAGTGGATGTTGGTACCCGGGACAAGTCCGACCAGTCCGGACACAGGCCCTACAATGCGGACGGGCCTCATCGCACTGCAGCAATTAGCTCCGGTCTACTCCACTGACAACATGGCGGCTTACTTTTATGCGTCTTTGACGGCAGTTCTGGCATCCGGTACTAGGCTTTCCTCCATAAACCATTCTGAATGACTCGGGTTTCCGGTATAGAGGAGGATGGTCATCCGATAATCATAAGGTCAGGTTTAGATATTCTGTTGCCTGGTCAGGATCGTCAACTCCGTTGCCAATTTGCATGGCACTCTGTCACGACGCATCTCAAGCCATTCGTATAGAACATAGCCACCATAGCCAGCAATGGTGTAGTCCTTATCGTTCGCGTGAAAAGACGAAGTCGGGATTACCCTGGATGTTTCCAAAAATAGCCTAGTACGCCACATCCACGTGCCTGATGACTCAGCAATATATTCTTATGCCTGAGGCAGAGGGCACTGCTTTTCATCCCTTTTTCTTATCAATCTGACGATCACAAAAAAACCGTTATGCCGTTATGGACTTTGATCATCTCGCCGAGCAAGAATCCCAACGAATATTCAAAAAATGGATCCAACACCTCGTTAAGAACTCCTCGGAGACGCTGGTTACCAAGCTAGCCCTTCAACACCGGCCTGGTATACCAGTGTCAACAACACGGTTCTCCCATGGTGCCTTCAACTTTTGCTACCAAGTCGCTTACGAGGACGGATGTCGCATTCTGGTCCGATTCACGGCGCTGGGCCGAGCCGTGTTCCGCCACGAGAAGGTTCAAGATGAGGTTGCCGTTATGAGATATTTGGCTGAAAATACGTCGATACCAATTCCCACGATACTGGGTTCCGGAAGGTGTGCTGTTGGGCCCTACGTCGTCATGACCCTTTTAGAGGGCAATTTGCTGTCGAGGTATCTCCGAGATCCGATGAAGAAGATTGAGACATTGAATTTGCACATTTCCGAGTGTGCGTTGAAGAAGGCATATCGCGACATGGCTGATATCGTCCTTGAACTGTCGAAACCGGAATTTTCGTTTATCGGAGCCCTGACGCAGGATAAATCGGGTGACTGGTCTGTACACAAGAGACCTTTGACGTTCAACATGAACCGGATTGCGCAGTTCTCCAATATTCCGCCTAGTGCATTTGCGGAAGACCGGTTCAGCAATGCGGCCGATTACTTCGAAGAACTCGCCAAGCAGCATCTGTACCATCTCGAGTATCAGCGCAATGATGCGGTGATGAACGAACAAGACTGTCGAAAGAAATATGTGGCTCGCTGTCTATTTCGCAGGTTATCAAGAAAGGTGTCCAAGGAACACCGCCATGGCCCCTTCCGGTTATTCTGTGACGACTTTAGACCCGACAACATATTAGTCGACCAATCGAAGCTCGAGATTATTGGCGCTTTTGACTGGGAATGGTCATACGCCGCCCCTGCGGAATTCACTCACGCTGCGCCCTGGTGGCTGCTACTTGAGCGCCCAGAAGACTGGGAAATGAACCTTGACCATTTCCTCGAGCGCTACATGCCTCGACTCTCCATATTCCTAGAGGCACTCCGAGAGTGCGAGTCTAGGAAGATGTGCGAGGGCTCGCTGTTAGAAGAGCAATGTCTCTCAGACGCCATGGAAGACTCCATGGAAAACGGGCTATTCTGGTTTTGCCTTGCGGCAAGACATGGCGCCATGTTTGATGAGATCTACTGGGCCTTCCTCGACCAAAGATATTTCGGGCCATTTACTACACTTGAAGACCGGGCGCGTCTTCTGAGTGATGAAGAACGAATGAACCTCGATGGCTTTGTGCAGCGCAAATTGCGGCAGTCAAGTGAGGGGACGTTGGACACCCATCTAAGCATCGATGAGATTGCTGAGCTGTAGGAATTTGCCTACTATAATTTTCCATTTTGCTGCTCTCAAGCACGAGAGTATGTGTGTATTACTACTTTACTTTGTATATTAGCATATCTCTACTCTATACCCAGATTGATACCAAGCGATACTTAATATATTTCGGGAATTTACTTACCTACGAACCGCATTTGTTTGACCATCGTAGGGAATGCTTCTCCCAATTTTTCAATCCTAGTATACAAATGCCAGGCCGTTGTACCACGTGACCCCACACTAAACTCCTTCTGGACTGTAGATCCGCAGCAGATCCCGGGCACAATTTCATATCCAAATCCGATAACCAACAACCCATCAATTGTCTGTCGAGCACCTGCGCAACGTCAGATAAACGAAGAAACAATGGCATCCACCCTTAAAACTCTCCCCCGGCTCCTCCGCCAAGCCACCCGCACCACCACGCCAACAATCGTATCCTCCCGCACCGTCCCGCGACTCTCCATCCTTCAATCGACATCACACATCCCCCAATTCCAAAATGCCCTTACCAACAACACCAACCGCACCTTCTCGACAACCTCTCTCCGTACCCGCGCAAAAACAATGGGTCAGCTACGCGCCCGCAACTCCACCGGCCCGTTCTCGTGGAAAGCAGCGCTGTTGTTCGTCGTAACCGGAGCCGGGATGATTGTGTATTTCCAGGTTGAGAAGGAGAGATTGGCGAGGAAGCGCATTGCGGAGATGAGTAAGGGTGTTGGTAGGCCGAAGGTTGGGGGCCCATTTATGTTGAAAGATTTGGAGGGGAGGGAGTTTACGGCGGAGGATTTGAAAGGGAAGTATTCATTTGTACGTGCCTCGGTATACTTAGAACTTGGTTTGGCTGGATAATGCTAATCATACGGTGATGCAGGTCTACTTCGGATTCACACACTGTCCCGATATCTGCCCGGACGAACTTGACAAAATGGCCGAGATCATCGACAAGGTTAACGAGGCGACTGGCGACCCGAGCCTTTTCGTTCCTGTGTTTATCACCTGCGATCCTGTCCGAGACACCCCAGAGGTCCTGCGCGAGTATCTGAAGGAGTTCCATCCCAAGATTATCGGATTGACGGGGACGTATGACCAAGTGAAGCATGTGTGCAAGATGTACCGGGTATACTTTAGTACGCCGCGGGATGTGAAGCCGGGAGAGGATTATTTGGTGGACCATAGTATTTATTTCTATCTCATGGGTATGTTTCCCCTTCCCCACATCGCTCATGACATCGTGTGTTAATGATGGCAGACCCTGAGAACGATTTCGTCGAATGTATCGGCCGTCAAGATACCCCCGAGTCAGCATCGAAGGTGATTCTGGAGCACATCAATGATTGGAAGCGTGAGGGCCGGTCATTGACCGGTGGACAATAGCTGTAGCTGTATAATGTACTCTAGTTTGCACTGTACAATATCCCAACTCTGTTAGCCAAGCCATACCAAAACACATCCCCATCCACACCTTCCAACATACCCTCAAGTCCAATCATCTCAAATTACCATCTCGATCCCTCTCCCCATTCGCTCTCCACTCACTCCCCCCATCCCCGAAAACTTCCCTTTTCCAAACCTCCACCCTCTCCTTACACTGTTCCAGCACCTCCTCCCCACCCCGAAATGCACCCCCCCGATGCCCCGCACTAACACCAACCACAATCGAACACTCACCAACCGGCACCTCACCCAGCCGATGCGCAATACTAACCCCCAACAACCCATGCTCTTTAACCGCATTCTCCGCAATATCCATGAGCGTTTTGAAAGCGAGAATCGGGTAGGTCGTGTAGCTGAGGGTTGTGACGGGGCGGTTGTCGAAGGTGTCGCGGGTTGTGCCGAGGAAGAGGAGATTTGCGCCGGCCGAGGGGGAGGATATGGTATTTATGTGGGTTTGGGGATTTAGGGGGGTGTAGGTTAGGGTGAGATGGATGTTAAGGGAGGGGTGGGTGCGGGTTTGGGGGTAGTTCTTGGGATTTAGGTGAGCTGGTAACTGGTCTTGGTGTTGTGGTGTGGAATCGGACATTTTGTGGTATTTCTGTGCCTTTGTTTCGTATATGGGAGTGTAAAGGAAGAGAGAAAGAGAGGGGATGTTAACTGCAACTGTTGAGGGGTGGATTGATACGCTTATCAGGTGGGGCTGATATGACACTCCCATACTAAACTAACCCAAGTCTACATATAGAGGCAGTACAGCTACAGAAGAGCAACAACAGCCTCATATGGCTTCAATAGCCACTTCCCCCCCTCAAGTCGCTGAGCAGTCTCTTGCACTTCCTCCCAATTATCCAGAATAACCTTCTTCACCCCCTCAATTCCATTCGCCTTCGCATCCCACTCCCTCGCTGTCTCCGTCCAGTTACACACAACAATCGCCTTCTGGTTATCATACTGCCTCGTGAAAGCAAACACCTCCTGGCTGTCACGATCAACCAGGGTATAGTTTCCGTATACGAAGATGTCGAGGTGCTTCTTGCGGAGGCCCAGCACACGTCCCCAGAAAGTGTAAGTGGAATTGGGATCATTGATTTGGGATTCCGCGTTGATTATGGTGTAGTTCGGGTTGACGGACATCCAGGGCTTGGTGTTGGGACCGGTGAAGCCGCCATTAGGCGCAGAGCTCCATTGCACGGGCGTGCGTGCGTTGTCGCGGGATTTCTTTTGGTATTCCTGACGGGCGATGGTTTGGGCGTTTATGTCAGAGGGGCGATCGCGTACAAGTGGGTTCCAGTGGTTGAGACAGTCAATGTCTTTATACTCCTCCATACCCCAGGACGGAGGGATGTTACGCATACCAATTTCTTGGCCTTGGTATACGAACGGGGTGCCGCCGTGAAGTGTCAGAGCTGTGGCCAGCATCTTGGATGAGATCACATGGTGCTCTTCTTTGGCGTTCGTGTAGCGGTCGATGGATCGCGGCTGGTCGTGGTTCTCCCAGTACAGAGCGTTCCAGCCGCCGTTTTCGTACATGAATGTTTGCCAGCGCTCGAAGAATTCCTTGAGGTCTGTGAGTTTCCAACTTCCAGGCTCGAACTTATCGTACGTGCCGTGGTCGATGTCGACATGTTCGAAGTTGAAGATCATGTTGATTTCGTTGCGGTCATGCCGTACGGCCTTGAGCACCTCGTTGGTGTCCTTGACGAACGGCATCTCGCCGACACTGAATGCATCATATTCCTTGAGGATATCGCCCACTCCCTGTAGGTATTCGTGCAATCGTGGTCCGTTGGCATAGTATTTGTCCGCCCATTGCCACGGGGTCCGTGGATCCTTGATGGGCACGTCTGGGAAGCGTTGGTCCTTGCTGACAAAGTTGATGACGTCCATTCGGAATCCATCAGCCCCCTTGTCCAGCCAGAAGCGCATGATATCGTGGACTGCATCGCGGACGGGTGGGTGCTCCCAGTTGAGGTCTGGCTGCTCAGTGGCGTATAGGTGAAGGTAGTATTCGCCGGTCAATTCGTCGTACTGCCAAGCGCTGCCTGCAAGTGATGAGTATAGAACCCGATTGAGCCGAGACTGGAATGATACGTACCCTGGAAATGTGACATCCAATTGTTGGGCGGATGTCGGTTGCCCTTCTCGTCAAACCTGGGAGCCCTCCAGACATACCAATTCCTATACTCATTATCTTTCGAGCTCCTGGACTTCTTGAACCACTCAATCTGATCACTGGTATGATTTACCACAAGATCCATAAGCAGCTTCATCCCCCTATCATGGCAACCCTGTATCAATTTCTCGATATCGGCGACCGTACCATACTCATCGGCGATGCTGTAATAGTCGGCAATATCATATCCCATGTCCACCTGGGGAGACTTGTACGACGGACACAGCCAGACAATGTCTACACCGAGGTTCTTGATGTAGTCGAGCTTGGAGATGATACCGGGGATATCTCCAATGCCGTCATCGTTGGAGTCTTTGTAGGATGCGGGCCAGATCTGGTAGACGGAACATTCTTTCCACCAGGCACGGTGGATTTCATTGCCGGGTTTGGACATGTTGCTAGCTCACGAAATTGTGTATGAGCAGGAGAGACCAAGTTGAAAGACTGCGTAGAGCTGTATATAAACAAGGGAACAGCTGTCCCTCATCCACCGCGGGGCAGCTCTGCGGAGAAATTATCGGTGGATATTAACTATGCAGAGCTCCGGCATGTTGACTGCACTGTGAATGGTGAAGGGCATCTCCACGGCCGGACTGGCCATTTGAGTCTGCGACGTGGAAACAGGACGACAGGAACGGACTTTAGTTGTTGAATTCACTTGTTTGACTGTGATATGTCGTGGAATTAGGGTAGGTTTCTGCGTACAAGTACCCTTGTAGCTATCCGACTGGTTACGATGGATCTCTCTACGATGGTTAGCCAGTCATTGAGACATAATATGTAGATCAAGGAAGCAGTAGTCATACATATCGTTCCAATGGCTAAATAGAGGCTCCTTTTGTGCTTCTCCGTACTCCCTACTCTTACTATGTATAGAGTAGATTGCCATACTTTATATGCCATTGTATGCCAGCACCCATTTGTAACATTCTAGCAAGTACTCGGCTGCCGAGTACACTAGACGAGTGTCTCACTGTTTCACACCAGTCAGATTGTTTCACTAGAATTGAGGACTGAAGCCTGATACACCAAGTATGACGGCGTGAATGGTAGGCGGTACGGATTCTGCCACTCTGCCACTCTGCCACATGCGGTGATCCCCATCTTTCACGGCCATCGCCTTTTCAACTCTCCCACCTCTGTTTCCTTCACCGGTCAGTATAGACTACCATGTCTCATACATACGCCAACGATAACAGGTACCCCCCGGGTCCTACCCAACGACCTTATCCTCCCCGCGACAGCCGAGACGGCCGCATGTACGACGACCGTTCTCGATCTCGATCACGCTCGCCTGGCGGTATACGCTCCTCCCCGCACGGTACTACTGGATAGCTGCTTCAATAACCAAGGCACCACATTAATTAGCTTCAACTGAGTTGTTACTGATCTTTGTTCTTGAAACCAAGAAGACCGCCAGCGCTCCGCAGCAGACAGGCAACACGAATACTCCAGGGATCGCGACTCGAGAAACCGTCGAGACCGAGATGATTACCGTCGCCGACCATCATCGCGCTCACCTCCTCGACTTGGGAGACCGGCATACAGAGATCTCGATTCGCCCCGGTACTACAGTCGCAGCAGGAGCTATAGCCGCAGTCGCAGCCCTCGACGGAGCCGCGGACCGTATTATGGCCAGGAGAGCAGAGAAGTCATGATGGATGGATTACCGGTGGAGATGACGGAAGAAGACGTTGGACAACTCCTCCCCTCACTGCACCACGATATTCAGAGCTGCGCTATACTCCTCCCGTTGTTGATAGCAAGAAGCTGAGATGTGCATGTCACCGGGCGTCCGGTCGACGCGTTGAACAGATTTCGAATGAACTCAATGTATATTACCATGTCGAGGGTTTGGAAGAGGTTCGGGTGATTCGTGATCGACAAACGAGTAAGTGAACCGTTATCTTGAAAATCTTTTCTTTTTTTTTCTTTTTTAATAAAGTCTTCCAGAGGTATCACGAAAACTGGGATTCCTCAGGTTCCGTGATATTGATCATTCGCGCGCGTTCTTGGAGCCCAACTTCCCATCTATCTATTTCAATGGGCCAAACCCCAGTGGCGATGACCGCGGAACGAGAGTTCGCATCGCATATAGCAGAGAGAGAGAAGATCGGGCTCGCGCCAGAGCGGAGGGTGATTGGACATGTAGAATGGTGCGTCAGAGTTGCTGCCAAAAGAATATACGAAGCTAACTCGTTCAGTGTGCAATTGTCAACTACTCTAGTCGTCAGAAGTGCTTCCGTTGCCAAGCTCCTCGGCCTGGTATGTTGCACTGTCTTCTGTCCACGACATGACTAACAACGAGTAGAAGCTGGCCCGGCCGGTCCACCCGGTATAGCCGCCCCCAAGGTCGAGAATTACGGCGATAACGATGTCGCCCCGGATAACCAAGCCTCCCAGTTCCTCATTTTCAGAGGACTGGAGTCTTCTGTCACAGAAGAGCTTTTAGCCAAGGGAGTTGCCAAGTTGTATAAGCCAGCATCTGGCGGCTCGGATAACCCGTCCAAAACCGAGAAGAAGGGAAAGGTGGCTTCTACGACCGGAGACTCAAATCTGGGAGCCCGAGAGGGTTCTATCCGCCGTGTTTTGCTGGTGAGGGACCGTAAGACCAACGAAAGCTGGCGATACGGCTTTGCGGAATTCGCTACAGTTCAGGTATGTGTCTTTATCGTCCTTGACTTCCTGAGTACTAACCTCTCCCTTCAGGATGCACAAGCCGCCGTGACCCGTCTCAATTCTTTTGAGAAATTTACCATCTCTTCCAGGCCGGTCCTGGTCAGTTACATCCATGCCGGTGTATTCGTGCCGGTGATGAATATGACGGCAGCCACGGAACGATTCACTTTTAGCCCTCTGACGAACCCATCTTTGAAACTCATGTATTGGGATGAAGAAGGCTACGTCACAGAACTTACGGTGTCGCCTGCAGAATCAGACAACGCCCAGCGACAACCCAAAGGCGACGCAATGATTGCTCAAGAGCAAGCAAAAAGCAACAAAGATACGGAGAAAAGTAAAAAGAGAAAAGCAGACACCAATGCCAACGCTGGAATCAAAAAGATTGTGCCGTCGCATTTGCAATTCTGGAGTAATCGCCATGCAGAACTGCACGGCATTAAAAAGAAGAACCCTGAAGAAACAGCACCTGGAGAATCTGGCTCAGACGGTGGTTCTCCTTCTGGCGCAACTCTTCCATCCCAATCGTACGCAGACTTGACCCGCAACTGCTGCTACCTCTGCATGCGTCAATTCAAGAATACCGCAGAAGTCAACCGCCACGAACGCCTCAGCCAACTCCACCGCACAAACCTCCAATCTGAAGACCTAGTCTCTAAAGCAACAAACAAACTCGTCAAACATGGCATCGTCCCACCAACACCTGAATATCGCGACCGCGCCAGAGAACGTCGCAAGGCCTTCGGCAGCACCAAACCACCAACCACCGCCACAAAGACAAAACCCACCGCCCCTCCACCAAAAGAGAAAGAAGAAGAACCCCCCGTTCAACAACCATCCAAGGGCGCCTCACTGCTCAGTAAAATGGGCTGGTCGGCTGGTTCTGGTCTTGGTGCTCAGGGGACAGGCATGACGGCGCCGATTGCGACGGAGGTTTATGCGCAGGGTGTCGGATTGGGCGCGCAGGGGAGTAAGATTGGGGATGCTGTTGAGGAGGCGGGGAGGAATACGAGGAATCGGTATGACGAGTTTTTGGAGAAGACGAGGCAGACGGCGAGGGAGAGGTATGAGCGGTTGGAATAGGTTTACTTGGGATTCGGGATAGCGTAATGGATAACCGTCTTTCGCGTATCGTCATTCGTTACTATTGTACATTGTTATTATTTGCATGAGTGGCGTAGCATGTTTACTCGTACATTCATCCTCCATCGTCCATCTAGCACAAAAACAACCACAATCACCTGTCACTCTTCTCCCGCTCCGCCCGCGCTCTCTCCTCTAAAATCTCCCTCTTCTTCTCCTCATACCCCTTCAACCCCAACGTCTCAACAACCCACCTCTCAATCGCCTTCTCCGCCTCGGCATCCTCCTCTTTCCCACTATTCGCCTTACCACCCCAAACCCCATCAACCCCCTGCCCAGTCCCCTCCTCCACAATAAACCGTCTCGTAATCCTCCTTGCATCCTCAACATCATTAACCCCCAATTTCCACATCACACCTCCGGTACCCACCATCGCGAACGATACCACGTTAATCGTCGCTAGATTGAATGCTTCGAAGGCGTCAAGCGCGCCGTTGACAGGGGGGTGGTGGTAGGTGGAGGAGGTGTAGTAGGGGGGGATGGAGGTTAGGCGGCGGGAGCGTAAGGCGCGGCGAGTTAGGTATAATGAGAGGGTTAGGAAGGTTGTGCCTGCGAGGAGGAGTTTTAGGGGGCGTTGGGGGAATTGGGAGTCTTTTTGTGGTTGTTGGTTTTCGGGTTGGTTTTGGGGAGGGGTGGAGGGTTGTTGGTCATTTGGTTTGGCAAGTTCGTTGGATGGAGATGAGGATGAGGGCTTGGAAGCCCAGAGTGAGGAGAGCATTGTCTTGTTTTGCTTTGGTAGTGTAGTGGAGGTTTTGTTTGTTCCTGGTTTCTGGTCTGGATGTGGATGCGGATGAGATTCTGGTTTGCGGTTTGTTTGCGTTGCTCGCCCGTTGGACAGGTTGTGAAACCCAGCAATAGATGATTCAATACAAACTTCACAAGCGAAAAACCACAGTATTTTTCTCGATTTTATGATCTGAAAACACAATTGACAGAAGAAAAGAGAAGACGAGAGAAAAGGTGAGTGAAGTTCGTTCCGTCGGAGGTAGAGCTTATCTCCGGTAAATCACGTGCTATACTTTCTGCCTTAGACATACAGTCTGTTTGACAAAAAACCGGGGAGAACGGTCGATCTGGTTTAGAACATGGTGCAGACAATTCATTAGATCTATATGCAAGGACAAGGACCCATGCTATGTAACAAACAATTAATAACCAGGACCAGGTATACCATATAAACAGCCGGAAAATTGACAGAAAAGACAAAAGACAAGAAAGAAAATGCCGGTTATAAGCACGAGCATATCTATGCTCCCGACAATCCGCATATGTACGCCTGTCCAACACAATAAAAAAAAAAATATTAGATCTATCCAGCAAAAGCCAACAAATCACAACCCGAAATGTAAGCAAAACCTAAGCAGAGACAATTAGTGACTAGCCCGACTATTCCGACTATTCCGACTAGCACGACTAGGCGTCGTCCTCGGCTCGTCTTCTTCCATCACATCGCTAAGACGCGTGGGATGGCGATGACGGGGTGTAACCGAGTCCCAGCCCCAGCCTCCAGATGTCGGGGGGTAATTGTACACCGGCGCAGAGGTTGTAGGTGCGGAAGGAGAGGCAGAAGTGCTGGGGACGTAGCTGCCCTCCGGGCCGATGTCTTCTGGATCGAAGTCGTCGCTTTCTTCGGACATGGTTCCTGGGTAGACGATCGGACGGCCTTGAGGGTCACGGGGGTAGTGTGTGTATTCCTCGTCGCCGAGCTCGCTGCCCTCCACGCTCTGACCGTACTCGGGGTCGGAGGTTGCGCGGGTATGGCCTGGGACGGTTGCGTTTTCAGGACGGTAAAAATGGCCCGGGTACGAAGGTTGGGGCTGAGAAGCTGGGGTTGTTGACGCGGGATCGGTTTTGCGCACGGTTTCAGAGAAAGGGTCGCTTCCTGTTGGCGAGGTTGGTTGGTCATCGTAGTACTGGGCTTCGCCTGTGTCAGACGTTTTCATAGCTGCGTCACGCGCGTAGCGGTCCTCGTTTTCTTCCGTCGATGAGTAGTTGATGGGTTGTTGGCGACTGGGGATCATAGGGACAACTTGGACGCCACCGACGAGGGTTGGTTCGCCGTTGCGCAGGGAGGATGTTCGATCGCGTTCTTCTTGTTCACGACGGCCGAGCTCTTCCCAGGCGCGACGGGCTTCGTCTTTGGAGATTTGGAGCTCGCGGCGCATTTCCTTGACTAAGTCGTCGAATCGTCTCTTGTCGGATTCGGCTTTTTGATAGGAGGCGACTGCTTCTGCACGGGCCTGGCGCTCGGTTTGGATTTGGCGTTCTAGTTCGGCTTGGAGTTCTTTGGCGCGTTCTTGTTCGGCGCGGGTGTCGAAAAACCAGCGTTGAAATTTGCGCTCGGAGGAGGCTCGTAGGCGTTGCAGTTCTACCACCGCGTGGAAGAGGTTGGCGCCGGCGGCAGACAGGTCTGTGACTTGGCGGGCCATCTGTTGGCTCAAAGGATCGCGCTCCAAGGCTTCGTTGTTTTGCTCCAGCTTGCGGATCCAGTAACCGGTCAGCCCTTCCCAATGGGAGGACAATGTTTCCCAGCGTTCAAACGCGTGCGGGAAAGCCACACGGCGAGGTTCCTGGGAAGCATCTGCTGGCTTGGTAGCACCAGGCTGCTGCGGCTTTGGTTGCGAACCAGGAATCGGCTGAGCAGACGACGGAGGTGGTCCAGGCTGACTCCCAGTCCTACGGTGACCAGTCCCGGCCGAAGTAGTAGGTCGACGTTGCGACATTCGATCAACGCCAGCAGCGTAGGGTTGCTGTTGCGCAGGGGATTGCGGCTGCGGCTGCGGTTCCTGCTGCTGCTCTCGATCTCTTGCTTCTTGTTCTGCTTTGCGACGACCTTCTCGTTCCCGACGCTGTCTCATGATATCCGTAGGTGTTCGCACACCGCTGGATGGGTTCGTATTGGCCGGCACGGCGCGGGGTGCACCATTCTGTACCCGACCATGACTTGCAGCACCTGCACCACCTAGCGCGGTGGCCGCGGGGGCTACACCAACCAAGTCGGACATGGGTGAGTTCACTTCGTCCCAATCGGTAGTAAAGGGAAATGGTTTGCGAAAGGCTTCCTCGAGGGTCCACAGGACGGCAGATGCGGTAGTTGGCGAGACGTGCGTAGATCGGCGAGGCCAATCGGGGTCGTCCAATCGCTCGTAGGAGTCGTCGATAACGGAATAGTCGTCTTCGGACTGCGCTTCTGAGAGTGCTGGGCGCGGAGGCGGAGGCGGAGGCGCGTTTGCGTTTCTGCTTGTCGGAGCAAGAGGCGCGGGATAAACAGAGACGGGGATCGATTGCTCTATGTACTGATGGTGACCGGACGCATCGACAGACAGTGCTCTCCGGTGGGACAGACGCTGTTGTTGTAGCTGCTGCTGGAGCTGCAGCTGGTGAATGTCCGACGAGCGAGGAGACCTCCGTAACGTGCGGGAGCTGTCTGAGACGACACTCGACGAGCGACGGAGAAGCGGGTCTTGAGAAGCAAGAACAGTAGAAGCAGGACGCGAAGCAGCCTGCTGCTGGCGTTGTCGTGAATCAGTCGTGAAGGTCGTGGCAGGGTCGTAAACGTCGTAGGCCTCGTCAAACGCGCCGGAAAGGTCGGTGGAAGACACCGCTGGAGGTGAGGGAGAGACGGGGGAGTAAAAGGACGACAACGTGGAATTGGGCTAAGCAATGAATACTAGACCGCCACAAGTATTCCCAGCCTCTCTTAGAGCTCCTGATGTCAGGCTATTTTCCTAGTGAAACTGATAGACGCGATCTAGGCTGGGAGCAACGCGGGAAAAGACGAGGCAATCGACCGGAATGTGGGTATTTCTGAGCCTCTCAGACGATTCAGAGAGCGTAGAAACACAAAAAGAATGAAAAGAAAAAAGAGAAGAGAGAGAATTGGCGTGGCTGGTCGAATCAAAACACAGACATTTGTAGCAGGAAAAAAATATTGTGATGGCTGGGAGTGCACTGTCACCACCTCCGGGGCATGGTTCAATTCGGTTCAATGGAGCCGGAGATCCGTCAGCTTCACTTTGTCGGACTAGAGCGACAGTCTCTGGTGTTATATTATATCAATTGCAGTTATATCCATTCAATTTCAATGTTGTGGTGAAGCGCAAGGGAGAACAAGAGGTGAGGCGAGGGAAAAACGTGACCGCGGCGGTGGATGCGACAACTCAGCATTACTCGTTTTCTTGAGAGTATTCTTGTTGAATTGTCCCTCAAGGGGTTCATCCTTTTTTTGTCAAGTTCACAGTACCACGGGTCTCGCCCAGTAGTTTAGCTAGAGAACCGTGGACGAACTACAGAGCTAGCACTAAGATTTATCCACCATTCCCGAGACCTGTATACTAATTGCGTAGACCCTAGAGATTTAGCACAGATTAACACCAACGCAAGGAATACCACATGGCCCCTTAGTGTATGAGACTGATACAATAAACTCATACCGGCAGTGAATGCTGCATATATTTACAATTGGCTCTCAGTTGCTTCATCCATTCACAGCCGTGGCCAGCAATGTCCGAGCTCTTATGCCCTTTCAACATACTTCTGTTCTTCATCATTGTGTGCGTGACTTACTCTTGCCATGTACCTGACACACTACTCCGTCCTTTTGTTGTGAAAGCTCTCCAGTATCGTCCCCGATCTACGCGCTAAGATGGGCGCATTGAATTCGGTGCCTCGTCTGTTTAGCGGAGATATCGACATACCTCACGATCAAGAAGACGGGCTTTCGGATAGCCTCCAACCTCTAACAGGCAAGATTACACATGCAAAACCAAACCATTTTGATGGGCCGATCCGGCGCGAGATAGATTCTCCCGTTGTCAGTGCTGGTACAAAACAGGTCCTACATCCTACCCTGTCTAGCGCTATACGATGACGACAGACTTCAATGGCTTTTACAGAAGTGACTGGACAAACGCACGGGGCATTTTCGTGTGACTGCCAAGAGAGAATCGAGGCATACACACACATGCGACATGTCACAACTATGCCTCTTCGAAGAACCGTTATGCTGGGAAATTTCGACCATAGAGACTCAAGGGTCCGGCTAAAGAAAACCGCGGGAAACATGACAGCCAAATATAAGCCAAGGCAATGACAGGAATCAGCTATACTACCGTCTCCGATATTTCCTCAAACAAGGCCTCTCAGACGTGGCATCTACCTGCATACATCGAATCACGAGAGCAAAAGTCACTATACAGACGCCTGAATCTGTACTTCTTAGAGAACGCGGATTATGATGGCTCCGGCTTTGCCGATTCTCTATATAGGCTATATGAAAGCAAGCATGGCCATACAGCAGTCGACCTATACCATATGGTACCGGGTTCATGACAGATCCTGACAATCCTCCCATCCACATTAGCTTCCCTTTCTGGGAAGACAATGTCCCAACAAAGTTGCATAATTTACGATTGGAGAAGCACAGAATGTCAAAGCTTGTCTTCACAAAGAGCGACTGCTAAGCAAGAATCAAGACATACAGGGTCGAATATACGATGGCTGGCTTGCTAGTACTAGCTAGCAAGCCTTATCCAATGACATTCGGGTCAGAACCTACCGACTTTTACATCATCCGCCTATGAGCACCCTTAATATCAATGTCTGTTGAAGACAACTGCCCAGACTCATTTTGCGATATGAAAGAGCACCAATCTACCAGTCTTATGCAGCCTTGCTTGATTCCCTCAAGGTACAGGGTAGCAAAATTACAGTGCCAGAACGCTTTAGTGGGCTGTTCTTCCGAAAGGTCCTGCAAATCATCGTCGTTCAATGACCGAAATTCATCCTGCATTTAGATTGAAATGTGGTAGTCATCAGGTCGTCTTGAGACTTCTATTTAGTACCGCGTTCATTTAAAGTTGCCTTCGAACCCTCCTGGTGTCACGGGCTCGGACCAGTAGATGCTAATGAAATGATATTCCTATCTAAATCAGTGTAGCCATTGACTAGAACATCGAATCTGGAAAAGAGAAGAAAATAAGGAGCAAGTCTATTTACGCGAAGAAGTCCCATATGGTTGTGTGTGGTCTTGCTAAGCAGCTTGTTTGTCTTGATTGCTTCCATGGTATTGTTTGCCGTGTTGATGTTTGCTGATGAAGGCGCTGGGCTGAGCCATTACACCTGGGGCTAATGACAACGCTTTTTATGGAGGACACAGTGTCACGGAATCAGAACACAGCAAAACAGAGGAAAGATACCAAGAATACTATCAGACTCTAAAAACCCAAGATTCGTTTATTCAGACCGCAGCGCCCTTTTAGCGGTCCTAGCAATAGGCTCGAGGAATAATCGAATGCAAACTTGGGAGACCGGTTAGGAGAGTATGATTACCGTACCGCAGCATACCCCAGGAACCTAGTTCATTACAGAAACCTATCGTCATGAAAAACCTATTCCATCATAAGAGTGTAGACTACACAAGTGGGCCTTTCGGAATGGTAATTGAAACCTGGCGACCGAAAGAGATGTTTATGCCATTCAGAATACAACAATGAGGTGACGAGGTCTTCAAGGAAAGCCATATTTATACTCTCCTTAGAGACTCTTTTGCTTTTGCAGAGTAGTAGGCATGGTACGATAGAGCCCTTGGAGCACCGTAGGTAGCATACATTCATAGCTGCCAACATATGGCCAACGACTCCGGTACAGCCACCAAAACTTAGGTTTTCCGGTCAAAGGCATGCTCAATAACTAATTAATTAGAGCTAGCATCAGCTATGCCATATATTACAAGACATCAAAAATGGAATTTGAGGAGATTCACATGAACATATGCAAATTTATGCGGAAATTCACCAGCCTAGAAACTAGTAGCCGCGGCACCATACTACAATAACAGTCCACATACGAGTTCCTGTCGTTCCAATATCGGAATGCTATAGTTCTCCGGCAATGTGAAGGATAAGGCCTGCTTTACTTGCTGTGTTGCTCGACGCTCAGTAATTAGCTCTGACACAATCTCCACGGAGCCATAAAATACTTATGCCATCTGTTCACCAAAGCCTCAACTGTCATTCGACTCCGGTGCAGCTGCGCCAGACTGATGAACAATTGCCCTAATGTCGTTTCTGTTCAACAAGCTTGAACGAACCAGATGAGTTTGAAGGGCTGGGCAATTTCTGGTACTCCCAAATTTATTCAGACGGTCTAACACGGATAGGAAACACGTTCTTCTGTTTCGTACAAGAAACATACCACATAATTGGCTTCAAAGCTTTAAGCATAGGGAAATACACCGACGTAACCCAAATTTCATAGAGAACCTTGACACCTGCGCTGGTAGCAAAGAGTTTGATCGTTTCCAAAAAGTAAGATTCAAACGGCTGTGGCCAATCAAGGTAGTTTCGTTATGTGACGAAATGATCAAAAGGTGGCTAGATTGGAACAGTCGGCGAGCTATTCAAACCTGAGCCAAGAAAAATATTTCTCTGCCAGCAGGTAATAAACTCACTCTACGCTATCTATTCTTTGCGCGCTGTATTTCGTAGGCTGGAAAAGGGCCGTAGCCCTATACAAGCAACATACTAAAAGGCGTATCCATCAGAGAACGCTATGATACGAGGTACGTTCTCCGCGAAGGCTAACACACATTTAGAAGCATTCCATGTAGCCTGCCACAATTGTACCTCGGCGACTTGAATCTGGAAAGTGAAAACAATGCCTATCAGCACGACTAATTCTGGCTGGAGCGTTGTGATCAAATACTGGCAAGAGAAGGAGATGCTTTCCAGTGGTAGGAAGCGCACAAGACTATCAGAAGTCTCGCTAGATTGTTCTACTTGCAAAATACTGGTGCCGGTGTCATTTGTGCAAATCTGTACAAATCTGTACAAATCTGTGTGGGCTACAATAGTGGTGGCAAGAGTGCAGCTGACTGTAGCCCATGATGTGAGATCATGAAGAACCAATCGAAAAGATCACACTGGGCCTCTGAGAGAGCCTAAACAGTAGGACAACCATATAATTCGGTGATATCTCTAGAGAGAATGAAGAGAGTTTCAATGAACGCATACCCATTTTTCGTCCTCGCGCTGTGATCCGATCCCAGACATCAAAAATTGTGGCGCGAGAGCTCCAAACCAGACCTCTGCTTTCAACTTACAGGGATCTTGGAGAGCTTGTGGGGTACATGGAAAGCGGCGTAAAAATTCTCAGAAAGTTATTGACCACAGGTTATGGGTTTTTGCTCCTGTCAGTCTACCGCTCACGCATCCTCGGTGGCTTTCTAGAAGAACCATCAGATGACGGGGTCATCATATTCATCGATTCGCATTTCGTTTAATATTTCTGAGAGCATGACATTTTCCATCAAACAACGACGCGAGGATCTACCAGCATGGTTCTAGTAGATATGCCTCTTGATCCTGTGGCAGTTACATTCATTGTATCCGTTCCCACGGATGTCTGTGATGTCTATTGCAAATCCCCTATCCAATTCTTACCAAGCTACCATCACTGGCCTGAAGATATCCTGGGGGAAGACACAAAGGCCAGAGAGACCGGGGATAACTTGGCAATAGATACATGTGAATTGACAGTAACAGATGAATGCTCCAGAACACGATGTCACGGTCACCACTAGAATAGCGTCCTTGACCCCTCACTGATGCCGAATTTGGGCATTGGTTTGATAAATTATGGCTCAAAATAACACAGACAGTCAATGAAGATGCCTGTGGCGATTCCAGAAGCTCTACGGATGGCTGCGTGTGCGCCAATACCGCTACCAGGCCCCCATTTGAGTCACTTATCTTGGCATCTTCGAAGGCCTATGGAAGCTGCCAGGAAAACCATCAAGTTCCCGTACAGTTTTCATAGGACTGGCAATCGGGGCAACATAATGTGTTTCTTTTCTTGGATACTGCAAATAGTGTCATGAGTCCATCCGATGCGTACAATGACGAAGAAACTGGATCATCGGATTCCTTTCACCAGATACAAACCACAAGGGGTCTTATGCGGGTGCTGGCTGGTCCCAACGCATATCAACCGTTTGCCGTTTGCCTACTTTTGCGCAACGCCCGAACGAACACACCGCTACAATCGAACAAACTGCAAGGTTATCGAATGCATAAGTAGCAACCATATGCCAAGAAGCATAGCGCTGTTGGTAACGACACCAACATGGCAGTTCGTATCGCATGTTAAGTCGGTGTATGTGCTTGCATGAGATTATCTTTGCCAGTTGAGTTCTTTATGTAGGTTCCCGAGGTTCTATGCGGAGATTATGTGCGTGTGTTGGCTTTGCATGAGGACCTTATGGGGTTGTTCTACGAGCGGGGTAGTATAAAAAGATAGGAACAAAAGGATCGGAAGATTATATGGATTGGCCGAGATACTATACTAGGTATTAACCATGTTAAACTAAGATAGACAACTAACTATTGGGGGTATAATAGAAGCATCGCAAACAACAAACAGGCTATACTAAGCAAATGCAAGCAAAACACAATTAGAATAACTTTTCTTGACCACGCTTTTACTTTCCTCACTTCGCTCGCTTCATTTCACCACCTCCTTCCCCTTCTCCTCTTCCTCCTCCACAGGCGGCGGACACTCAGGCCACAAACACCACGCCACCGTAATTGCCCCCTTTAACGCCATGGCAAGCCACAACCCAGCAGCCAGCCCATGGTGCCTTGCCATCCCACCGCCAGTCATAGCCCCAAGGAACAGCGCAAGCACGAAGCCCATCTTCCGATTCCTCTTCGGGTTCTCCCTCCACCCATGAAATAGCTTCTTATCAAGAAAAATATCGCACATAACCGCCGACAATGCAACAGTAATGATCTCGGGAAACCCTAAGAACTTCGACGCCAGAATCTGCCCAGCAGCTTGGAAGGCTAGTAGTGCGATGGCGACGTCTTGTAGCCAGCGAGTAGGGTCACCGGATGGTGTTTCGCCTATGGCGTCTGTGTGGGCGAGGATGGCGGCGGCCATGATGAGGATTGTTTGGAGGGCAAAGGATGAGATCATTGTTATGCGGCGCACGGGACCGAGCATCCAGGAGCCGGCGACGAAGCAGAAGGTACCAAGGAGGAAGGCACCAACGGCAATTAGGGCTTTGACCCAGAGTTTGTCTTGGTGGTGTAGGTTGCCGCAGACGCCGAGGGCGAGGTTAATTATGTTTCCTGTGGGGTGTCAGATAGTGTATACTTATGTAGAAAAAGGAAAGAAGGTGGGATATCTTGGATGGGATGTCATAGACGGGATGCATACCTGTTTGCATGCTGGAGAAACTGCTCCAGAATGTAAATGAAAGACCATCAATGAGACCACTCACAAAGCCACACGATATAAGAATAGCCTCCGTCCAGTTTCGATCAATATCGGAAAGAAAATATTTCCCGAGCTTTGATCTTTTAGACGGAGCAGGGCTTTCGGCTTCGTCGTTCAAGGTGTCTGCAATAGATACATTGGTGCTCCCAGCCAAAGGGTTGGAGTAAGGAGAACGGGCCTGCTTTTCCAGGTCATCGGATCTGGAATAGATCCCCCCGCTTCCCGAGGGCTCATTCAGGTCGTCCCTGTTTGGGGAACCGTCAACGAAAGTCAAATTCCGTGGAGCCTCGAACATCTTGATTCTTTGGCTCCTGTAAAGCTTGGTTGTGGGAAACAACCAAAGGGGATGGTCTTACCATATATAGGGTTAGGCAACGCCACCACACAGACTATAGGGGTATGTAGAAAAAAAAAAAAGAGAGATAAAAAAAAAAAAGTCGTCAGTGCTTTCTTGGCCGAGCGATGCCAATGCTATTGCTTCTTCGAAGCCCGTGCTCGGTCTGAAACAGGATCGCTTGTTATCGAGCAGGAATAGACCTGTCTGGCCATGCAAAGTGAGCTCGACAGCGAATGACGAATCCCAGTGGCACCGTCTGAAGGTCATAGATAAGCATTCTGGGCAAGCCAAGACCAATAGGTGGGATCTTCTATCATTGGTACTAGTGACAAGACACATGCCGAGAGTCAATATGTAAATGGAATGTATATACTCGTCAATTGCAATCTACCATTGCAGTACGCGTCCACGTCGAAATGACGGTCGTTTGCTTGCCCCTGTGTAACATGCTAGACGACATCCTTCAAGCAGATGGCCATTGCGTGTAGCAGGATCCGGACATTTGCATAGTTCAACCGGGATAACAATCGCTTGAGCGCAAAGACCAGGGGATGGTGTTTTCTGAACCCCACGCGCGTCAGCCATCTCCGTTATCCTCCGTCTCCTGGTAGTAGAATGGCAATATTATCGGGTTTGCCGTTCGGCAGGGACCGGTGCCGATTCCACTCGGGATTGGGCATGCATCGGGATCCCCCCCTATTTGATAGAAAAAGGGCCAAGAAGTCGGGTAGAAGATCATCTTGGCAATTGGATCCTTCCGAGTCAATGTCAGTACTGGCAATCATTACCGGTATCCTTTGTAATGTTAATTTAAAAGCATGGCTTATAGCTGTCAGAAATACTCCGAAATGCGCGGAAATGGTTTGGGAGAAGCGTACTCCGTATCGGGTTATGTGGTAACAAATGAAAATCTCACAATACAGTGTGTATCCGAACTGAACAAAGCTCAACTCTGTCGCAGGTTTTCGTCAACTTTCGTCAAAACACAGCCACCGTCGATCAAGTGAAAGCAGTCTCCATCCCCCGTTGCCAAGCTGCTCCATCGACTCCATCAACAGGGAATTGGCTGTCTTGGCAATGTTTCTAGACGGACTATGTCTTCTTGGCCGGAAGCATGCAAGAAATGCAAGTGGGTTGGGCTTATGGTATAGGAGAACACCTGATAAGCTGGTTTTGACCGCTCCCCTGAGACCGCAGGCATCAACTTTGGTCGCGGCTATCTCGCTGATTCTGCCTACTTGTACATACCAGCAAGGAATCCCCGGCGTTGTTTTTCTTCGCCAGCATTTATCGGGCGCATATTGCAGTCGCCCCCGCGGCGGTGATGGGGCCGGCCAATTGTCGCTCATAAGGGTCTTCCGAGTCGGCTCGGCCATGGGAGTCCATTCGTGGGCCAAGCAAATGAGCGTCCATAATCTAGGCTCGTGCCGACCCGAATCTGCGTGGGATATTTCTTCTGATGCGTCGAGTTTCCAATCAACTCTTGAGTATATATTGATGGACGTCATTGACGATAGGCAGTAACCGCCGAGGATCGCGCCAAGTCGATATTGAGGGTCGACGAAGACGTGAGGGAAGAACCAGCGAGTAAAGACTGCATACCTCACCGGATCAACTGGAAACTGCCTGAATGCTGAGGGGTCAACGGTCTAGACGTACGAGTTGCTGCAGTTAATCTAGAGCAAAGCTCGACGTCGGGTGAAATCGGTTTCTTCACATTGCCCAGCATTGGAACCTCTACCATGAGCCAGCAGGTGCAGTCTGAGCCCTTGGCATTCCGGTTAACTATCAGTTCTATTCGGAGGATCATAGGCAGATAGGCAGCAATTGTGTGGATTGAAGCAGTATACGGCGGGAAAATAGGAACCAGGGAAATGCGTGAATTGACGCTTGCTATGAGGAAGAGGAGCTTGCAGATAATCGCGTTATCTTGGTGCATACATAGTTGAGTAGGCATCACTTGGTATATCGAACTCGGAATATATATCCGCACCTGTAGAGTAACACGGGAACCAAAGTACACTACTGCACCTACTATACACTGGCTTCTCCATTGTTATCCTATTATTTCTGAGACATTGTCCATGTATTGTTACACAGCCGTTCATGGACACTAGCAGTCTGTCGAGACAATCCCGTGGTCCTAGTGTTCCTACTCGGGACTTATCTCCTTCCCACCTCTCATGTTGCTTAACCGCCACAAACCGATCGACTACAAAGTATCAAGCAAGGACAGATCGAGCCAGATCAAAATGAAAGACACTACTCCCATTGCTCCGGTTTCATCGCCATTGACAATGCCTTGCAGCTGTCTCAGAAATATGCCACCAACCTTCCGCTGGTAAGGAAGTTCCCGATAAACCCAAAATGACATCCAAGTGGCGTTTCCGGAGACAATACTAATTCATTCTGGCAAGCTTGGAGTTTAGGGATGGCCGAACTCATCGTACTTCACGTTACTATCATCCAGCCACGCTGGGACGGATCGCAGCAGCTGTATCATAACCACGGAGGTGGTGTTGACAGACTTGATTACAGGTTATAGAAATATTGTATAGAATATATAACATACAAGTACTTCACTGTTTGAAGACCGATGGCCAGTGCTCCGACCGGAAAACTGCCAAACATCCGCTGCACGACAGGATGCACGGCAGAAACAGCAGAGGCAAAAAAAAAAAAAATAAAATAAAATAAAAAATATCAAGCTGAAGAGTCATGACATGCAGCTGCGGGACTGGAACGGTTCTCTGCATATAAGAATCAGACAGCCAGAGCTGCTTCCCCGAGCGTCGGATGCAGACCAGCTTGTCCCGCGCATCTCCAATATGAGCTATCCAAGCTTTAATGAGCCTTATTCGGGTTGCTTCTTGGTTTCTCTAGACATGTGCATTATGAACGGCCGTGGACTCATCGCAGCATTGACTGGCTAGTGACCGTGCTGACCGGAGTATGCTGAGATATATCTTCTCCATACTCTGACATATCGCCCGAGGATAATCTACATCACATGGAAAAGCAATGATGTCGTTTCAATGACTTACCACTATAATGTTCCAGCACCAGCAAGGAGCGAAGACAACCTTGCAATATTTCGGACTCGAGGGCTTCTATTCAAACAGAGTGCTTATTTCGTATAGATACTCGCTTGCATGTCGCATACGGAATGATCGCTGGAATGCGGGTCGTCTCTCCACAGCAACGACGTTCTTCCTCTCCATAAACAAGCGTCCGAGACGATTCCCATGAACCAGGAATTATCGATGCAACTCTGAGACTGCCGAAAAGACGTACTTTGGCATACATACACACGTATGCAAAAACATACTTTCTCTAGATCAACAGATCGACTTTCCATAAAACCACTCCCAACGTCCGCCGGCGATCCGGATTCTCCTCCGCGATGTCCTAGCGCCCGAACACATGTTGATATCTCACATCTGCATCAACAAGGGCCCTGTGCATCGGAAAGACTTTAACCAGGTTGTTGGGATCCCAATCGGTCTTGCGACAGCCTTAGTCTATGTATTCATCGCATTTGGTTAGCATCGTGTGTGTTGGCCCGAAGTATATTTTGGACTTGTCATGTTATATACCAAAATACGAATGGCGTTGTATGCGCACAATAGGATTTTGTTACTACTTCGTATACAAGTACAACAACACAAGAGTCTCTCCACAATAATTGCTGGCGGATCGAATCTCCGACGTCGTGGTGCTTCCTCTCCAGCCTCCCTTGCTCCGGAAGAATCGCCCGCTAACCTTGCACCCCCATCATCCCTTTCCCTGCCCAAGGAGGAAGATCATGTAAGGCCGATGGGCCATTGCCGTCTGTGCACGATGCAAATGTTTTTTGTTTATATCAACGGAAATGCATCGGCATGCGCCTCCAGACTATGTACTAGCCACCACAAGGGTGCCAGCAGTCTGGGCCGAGCCCTCTTTCCCAGGAAGACTTTTTTGGGCGAGGGATTGTATAAACATCCCTCTTCATCCTGTTTTCTCTTTGCATTTTCTGATCTCTCCATTCCCCTCATTCTACCATAGTCGTTCATTCCAGTTGTATTGCTCTTGTCTCTCATTCAGATAACTCGATCAATCTCATCTACTTCCAATTGCTTCTCCTTCTGATGTACCTTGAATCAGTCGAAATACCAGCGTCATCGTGAACTAAATCGAATATTAGCCGATGGCGGCCATTCAAGCACACTCTTTACCTAGCCATTTCGGCGCTTTACGAAGCGACAACAAATCCCAATTGACCACCTGCACACCATACTCATCACCCGTGAAGCAACGGGGGTCATCTTGCTACCTTCCTCAGAGAGGTACCCGGGTACTGGAAGAGTCTAATACAGACCCTTTCTACCTGGAGCAGACTCTGAGGGACTCGTGTAAACCAGGTCAACGCGATGTCCGCTGCTGTGAGACAACAGACCATCAGTATTTCACATTATCATCAGTAAACAAACGCAAAGAATATCCTTACCCTAACCCGGTCCGTCGCGAACCCGCGGGACCTCGGTCGAACATTTACGACAACGCCAAAGGAAACCGAAGCACACTATCAGTGGTCGAGCTCGAGCACAGGATAGGGCTTCAGCAGATTGCAGCACAACGCGGCTTGGAAAAACAGCACGTTCACTGCAAACAAGACTCCTTCAGCTCCAGCACCAGCGAGGTGACTCCTGACCTCACCCCAAGCAGCTCGTTCTCATCCAATTATTCTCTGGTGAGAGACCAACATCTCTCGTTTGAACCACAGCGGATTACATCTGAGTCCGGCAGTCATCTGTACCTGACGCCGTGCACGCCTCCGCCAATTCGACCTCCACCACCAACAACCCTACCTTCTCTGCCTTCTACCCCCAGACCACACCAAACCCCAACCAGCAAAAGCAAAGGCACCGCCCGTCCCGTAAACGACTCCACTGAAACACTCACCATGCAAAACGAAGATCCCCAATTGCGGTACAACCGCCTCGGAAAACCCCTTCCCACACTCCCCAACATCGCGCGCAACGGACCAAAGAGCAAAACCGCCCAAAACGGCACCCAACGATCCCAAATCGAACCCTCCATGATCTCTCCTCCCAGCCTCATTAACCCAGTCACCATGGAACCGCACTCAACACACTTCGACCAAGCTTTCTTCATCCCTGCCAATGACTGTCCCAGTCCCGTTCCCAGTCCGGGCCGCAACTCTACATCGTCACGCCTCGCGCGGGAAGTCACCAATACTCCCCCCAGCCGTGAGAAAGAAAGGCCATGGACGGCAAGACCGGAAGCGTACTGCGAACAATCAGTCTGGGAATCAGACTCTGACTCCGAGTCAATAGGGCCCAAGTCCCTGTCCAAGAAGCCCATCGACACCCTCCGCAAAGTACGCAGCCGCGTACACCTGCGTGTGGCCAGATCTGCTCCCCGGCTCAACGGTGCACCCCCGTTACCTCCACCGGTCCCTTCTCCTCCAACTGACGGCGCACCATTGGAGAAGTTCCCCTCGATGCCAGACCACCCTATCCAACAACCACCGCATCCACCACCACCCCCCCTCCCACCAGGGTCATCGAAAAAGCCATCTCTCCAAACCCGTTCCAGTAAAGACATCCCCCGGCCCAACACGCAAACCCTCCGCCTCGTCGCTCCCTCAACAACTTCTCTCGTCCTCCCCGAATCCCGCAAAGACAAAGATAAAGAAAAGGGAAGTCTACCAGCAACACCCACAACCACAACCACAAAGACATCAGAGCATGACATGGACTACGCAGCAGCGGCGGCTTTCCAGGCACAGTCCCGCCGCCGTCAGCGCTCGAGGTCGCCTACATCGCCTGCGGCAACGGGCTACGCGGATAAAGAGAAACTACGCACGTTGTGTCGCGAGGAGAGGACGGAGCACACGTTGAATAGTAGTCTGACGTTGGGGAGAAGGCCATTGTATAGAAGGTTCTGGGAGAGTTTGAGGATTTTGAGTTGTCATAATGATATGGCGCCGCAGCCGACGAGGAAGTCGTTTTGACCTTACTATCTTTATATCTATCATTTCTTTTGTTTTGTCACTCTTTACTACCTGCATTGGGATCGCATTAGGATGGAGGCGTTTAGCAACTGTTTGATACCGAGTCCTTCGTTTGATTGTTTTACGCTTGCATGGCCGGCCTCATGAAATACGTTTATATGTTTTCCGCTGTTCTGTTCTGCTTGACGACATCCACTCGCTAATGACCTAATGAGGCCTTCGTCACTCGCTCATCTCTATCCTTTTGTTTTCGTTCCTGCATTTGGCTTGATGCTATACGATGCACATGTCTCTCGTTTATGTTGTTGATTATACTCTGTGCTCAAGTTGTCTCTTCCCGTCCGTTTTGAATTCCTTTGTCTCGTCTCGACTTTTATATGAAAAAGCAAAGAGTATACGGTACGGATGTACCAGGGTTGGTTAATGTCTAGTCTGGGTGAGGATTGCAATATTTGAGATAGGAATGGATATATTCTACAACCATGATTCGCTGTCATCGGGTAAATGATTCATCCTTGGTATAATTGTTAAGCGCTTATCCACGTGTTACCATACTCGTACTCAGTACTCGGTATAGAGTAACGATTTTCAGTCCAATTCCCAACCTCAACCTGACACGGCACCGATACCTGCGACATGCAATGCACCCGATTGCAGCTGTGAGCCGCGCCATGTAGTGATCGATCAATAGCGCATCTGCATGTCTAGCCGTGATGAAATCGGGTACGGGGGATCTTCCGCTGTATGTAATCTTCCTTCCTTGCAGTGGTCCCAGTGCTAGGGGTACGCAGATGTACAACCATTCCGGAACATGACTGGCAGGATGTAATGGGATGTGATGCAGTGTATGACATGCATACCCTGGCTTGATTAGGCACCGGGTCCTGGACCTGTGGAGGATCTTCCTGTGCTGGTCTTTGTTTCGGCCCTGGATCCGGGGAAGGTGATAACCGCAGGGGAGCGGAGGGGAGGGGAAGACGATGTTCCAGTATTTCATGAACGGGGAATGAATGACAGAAACCCAGAACAAAGAGATCAACTCTGTTCACCCTCATCATCGGGTGTCGCCGTCGCCGTCGCCGCCGTCGCCTCCTCCTTTTTCATCTCCAAAGCTTCCATGTTCCTCTCCCACTCCGCCACCTTAACTTTCCCCTCCCATGACGAAACAACCCGGTCGCCCTTCCTTCCCAGCTGTATCTCGGCTTTTTCCTGATCCTTGTCACCCGTATCCTCCAACCCATTGAAAACAGCCTGCACTTCCAACTCCTTCAGAGTGCGCTGGTAGATCTTCAATAGCTTTTCTCGTTGTTCGCGACGTAGGATCTCAACCTCTAATTCTACTTTTCCTTGTCCTTGTACCTGTCCCTGTGCGCGGTCCGTAGATCTACCCCCACGAGTAGTAGACGGAAGTTTCTTCACAGCCCCACCACCGACTTTACTTTCATACCCACGCAACACACCCTCTAATATCCCGAGGACAGTTCCCGCGCGCATACCTAATTGTGCACCCACGGGAAAACCCGCGTCAAACCCATCCTGCACATGTTCGCCTTTCGACAGTGAGATCCCATCACGATACCCCGTTGTCACATGCTGGCGGCGGAGCGACGGGAGGTCGGAGGGTTCTGCGGCTGCGGCCGGTGCTGTTGCTTCTGCGTCTGGGTCGTTGTCGCGTTCGATCGAGGAAGAGGGTGGTGGCGAAGAACCGAAGATATCATCGAGTATGTCGGCGGCGGGTGGTGGCTGGGCCGTGGCAGGATCGGAATGGGCTGAGGTCATTGTGGTGGTGGGGGAGAGGGGGGCGGAAGGGGTTGAGCTGGTTGATTCCATGGGTTTGGGTGGTTTGTAGGGTATATAAGGTTGTGTTGGTATGGTTAGGAAATCGTATGTAGTGTCTGAAAAATTAAAGATCGGAGCGGAGGTGTGGAGCGCCGGGGATGTCTGTCCGAAAATGGTAATATTGATTTTTCTCTCCAATGTTTTTGCGATTCCTTTTAATTGACATGTTAATTGTTTTATTTCATCTGAATATGCGGACTACAAAGCAGCATTGTGATCTAAATAATGACACCCAAACCAAAAAAGAGACCTGGGGAGAATGACCTCTCTCCGTGCATGCCCCGCGAACGGTTGCTCTCACTCCTATAATTCTTTAGTTGGACATGAACATCAAATCATAATCATGCCAATGAAGAACATCCCGGTTTGGCCTTTGGTCTAGGTTGCGCATGAGTTTACGAGAAATCCCGACACTGTTAGGCAAGATATCTTACAGCTCAAATGGTGAGTTAGCATATGCACGTCTTCAGGATAGGATGCCTGCAGCTGCCAACAGTGTATAGCAGCTACCAATTGGCATTAGAGTGCAAATATGCCCAACATACTCATCCCCGAATATGCATAGAGGCAGCTTATTGGGCTTCGGCTGCTGGAAAGGATGCAAGACGCCAGCCGCACCAATTTCACTCCGTAAAAGAAACCGACCTACCTATGAAGTACCTGGCGATCGCCAAAGCTCTGTGGGTGAATCAAGGAATACGCTGTCCATTTTGAGGGGTTATTTTTGGATGCCTAAAACATTGCTTGCCTGGCACCAATGACGATCCGAAAATAGCGTGATATACTCCGTATAACCGACATCGGCGGTGACTGGCGTGGCGACGGCTTAAGTTGAGAAACATCTATTTGAAAATGAGTCTATCCAAGTACCTTAAGTAAATGGTTACTTGTTTTCTAGAGATACCTTAAAAAAAGGTGGTTGAAACCCCGAAAGAGTAACTATATCGGAAGTACGGACTCCCTAACCATACGATGCCCCGCTCAGCCTTATAACAACATCCGCGCAGTATCTCTACTATTCCGTACAGAATAAATGTCAAAATGGCCTCTCGACGTTTCATACTCCTCTCTTCCCCTCTTGCCATCGGGTACGGCATCCACCAAGGTCTCAACATCCTCGAATCCAAATATCCCGCACTGTCCCCCGACTCCAACACCAGCTCAGCCCTCCGCACCCCCTCCAACCCCACCATCCAACGCTGCGCCTACGTCGACGTCTACTCAGCCCGAGTCCCCGTAAAAGCCCTCGAGTCACACCCAGCCGCCAAAAATTCCAAAAGCCTCCAAGATGCATGGGCCCGCACACTATTCCAGAGCCGTGTTCTCCGCACTGAGGCCCGTCTTATTGGACTCTTCACAACCGGCCGTCCTACTCCCGGTGATACAGGCGACACGCCAGGTGGTTTCTCACTGAGGGATGAAGAGGGCGAGCAGCGAAAATTGATGAATGGAATGCTTTCGGTTGAGCGATCGCCGTCGTCGGGTTCGTGGCTCTTTATGTCGGGGCCATCGGCATTGTTAGTTTCGTGGAAGGTTTCGGATATTGCGCGGGAGTTCTTCGAGAAAATTGCTGGGTATGGATATCCGTGGCGGCTGATGTCTGGTGGGAGACACGAGGTTAGTGTCTCGAAGCCATTCAAAGAGGAGGGAAGACAGGTTGTGGAGGTGCGGTTTGCGTCGGCGCATGATTATGAGATTATTCCCGATGAGGGCGAACTGGAGAAGCAGAAGGTTATCCCGGCATGGAGTGGGAGATTGCATCGCGGGTTTGCGCGGTTGATCTTGGATAGCGCTGTTCGTGAGTTGCAAGATTGATCTTGCTTTTGATGCTGATGCACTCCAAACAGGGATTTGCTCCTGGTGAATCTTTGTGACTTTGACTTGGCTATTCATTCACTAACTTGTTTTTATTTATGTCTTATGCTTGATTTTGTTCTTGTTCATTGCTTCAAAATGAATTATGTTTTATGTGCCGTGTTATATCGGCAGATATACCTCTGCTAACCCGACAGACAAAATATTTATATATGATTTGTTGTTACTTGACATGATCCTCACTTAAGACGTCGTTATTATATGCAACTACAGCATAATGTCATCATTCTTATTTTTTGCTCTCTACCTCGCTACAACCCCGATTATATCAGTCAATCTTCGATACCTCGCTCATGACTGGCTTACAGCAGATAGCACCCACAGGCTTAAAAGAAAAACTAAAAAAGAACTACATGTTTATGAATTAGCAAAACATTGGGGAATTCCCCAGTTCATGGTATACGAGCTGTAATGACTCAGTTGCGGCAATGAAATTCAAGACGTCGAAGCATATCAGCCATTCCAGAAACTAGGGATCATTCAAAGCACAAATCCCTCCATGATGGCTGCTCACATATAGGCACGAAGCACTTTGGAGAGGTAGCTATGTCGAAGCCCAGAGCCTTTTTGTGTATCTCAAGTTATCTAACGCAATGGCTTCGTGGTAGCCTGACATGACTCTACAACAATGCATATATAGTATAAGTCAACCACGGTTGGAATTATTCCAGAAAATCAGTTTTTGAATTAGAGAACATTATCTTACTAATTTCTCCTGCTCTAATACAAGGGAATTGCCAGATTTTTTACTCGTCATATCCGTCCCGCCCCAGTTTCGCGAGAATAGGTGGTGATTTGGCTACAACTGGCATTGGAGTGAATACAGAGCATGCGATGGGCGTCAGAGCAGTCAGTCGGATTGTATACGGGTATGACATGGCATATATACTATCACTTTGGGAAATATTAGGATAACAACGAATCTCGATAACTATAGTGGTATCCATTGAACCGCTCGTCGATGCTCTGCTTGCAGCACAGCCTACAGGGAGTCTCACTCTCACTTTTGCCCCCTTTATCCTCAACCACCTTCACATAAATGTGCAGCTTCCTTCTTTGCAATACTTGCAAATGCTCTCTTCCTGGAAGGTATGCCTCTTATCATGCGCACATGCTCCCGGCTGACATGGGTTTAGCTCCCCATGACATGAACCCTATCAGGATGGAACCCTGTTCTTTCGCGTCTCTTTTTCACTGAACAATACTGCTTCTCTGGTTCTCGCCTCATCCCCGCATATCTTTTCTAGCTGGACTGTACTTTGGGCAAAAGTTAGAAGACATTTTCGCGCGCTTTGTCTTTGAAGATGGTTCCCCGAAACAATGTATGTGTTCATCATGCACAATTGATGATAATTAATGGTGAAAACGACCCAAAAGATTAAATTTTTTGGGAAACATGTTTGACAATTTATATGCTTGCTGTTTCATTCCATTGTGGTAGGATGCCTTAAATAATTAACACGCACGAGCAACAACAGCCAAATCCAAGAACACTTGATTTTATGATCACAAAAAAAGATGTTATGGAGGGGTCTTCGCGCAAATATGAAAGTACCTGGCAGGGGCGAAGGATATCCTAAAGTTAGTCACGAAAGAAAAGCTGACAAGACAACCTCAGAAAGAAGCAAAGAAAGACCCGCGTTACTGTACGTAATCTAGTCCTTTTTTTTTGAGTCATGTGCTCTTGTTAACAGACTTCTTTTAGACGCCCGAGAAAATGTGAGAATGTGCGCCGTTTGTTGTACCGCGCTCATCAGGCTTGCCATTATGGTATGGAAATGACCAGGGCTCGGATGGTCACCATCCTGATTCGTCATTCCCAGCTGGGCTGACACTTGCGGAGGACTAGGTATAAAGACGATATCACGAAGGTCCTGCCAAAATGGTTGTACTGGCCCTGTCTGCGTATGTTTTTCCTTCCCTGAACGACAATCAGTGTCTTATGTGAATCGGCTACCGCGCCACAATGAGTGCGCTTGTGTTAATATCAAATATACTGAACTTAAAAATGAAATATGTATTGAATTTCCCTTGTTAATACAATGAATGCTAATTAACTGTTTAGATGACCACAAAAGCCCTTCGTAGCTAGGTAGCTCATATTGATATGGGCAATAATTGAAGAAACTAACTAAACATATAGAATTGTCAAACGAGAACCTATCCTTTTGCCAATCTACGCGTTACGGAAAATTTGGAGGATGCTATCTATTGAAGCGGCCATTCCATCCTATGCGCAGCAACTACACTTCAATTGGAGAAATGCAAGACCGTCGAAAAGGGTGAGAACACAAATTTGCAGTGAAAATGAAAACATCTCACCTCGTTAAAAGATCGATATGTGGCAGTGGAGTAACCGAAGGTAATTTGCTATGACGACTAGCAATAGTCGAGACTTGCCGTCTAACAATGCACAACTAGCCAGTTTGATGGAATTTGTCTTACGTGTTATATCTCGCTTTTTTACAGTCGACTTCACATGTCCGTTTTTCATTATACCAAAAATTGTCAATTCCATTTGAGTACTAATATAGTGCTTGACAGGGAAGCCCCATTACATATGCAACAGCATTATTTTTATACAACTGCTCGCACCTCGACTAGGCTTGGACATCTCTGCGAAGGATACGCATCCTTGTCGTGTCTCTTTTTATTCCCTTCCGTGGAAAAGGATACTTGGTCAAAGAATAGAAGTGGCGTTTGCTCTGCTCCCCGTGCTGAGCAGACTCATCATGAGCAGGCTTTGCTACATCGGCTCGAATAGAGGATCGGGCAGAGCAATACTATTTGTACAAACTGGCTACTCTACAAGTGAGAACTCAGGATATTTCCCATTTCTGACAGTTTTAACATTGGCTCGGAGCCATCATTGTTTTTGAAATATTGAACGTGTGCAGAGCCCAAAGATCGTGGACGGTCCCGCATAGTTCGTCCTTTTTTCATCAACAGTCATGGACGAGCAAAAAACAGAAAAACCTCGTCTATAAACTAACCCTATAGGTATGAAATTTATTAGTACTTAATTATTAATTGTCGCAAGGCTTAGGCCTTGCGAACCTCATTCGCATTACGTCTTCTCAAAGACGTCGAAATTGTCTGCATGTGGGCGTACAAGCAAAGCGTTTATGTAATAACAGATAATCACCCCAAGTCTGATAGATGGCCAATATAACTTTGGCAAAAATAGTTAGATCTGACACATACTCACATCGGATGTCTATTGTGCGCTAACCTATGGTACATTCGATGCAGCCTCGCATGTGAAAAATCAGACATGGCGGATTGCTTTAGATTCCATCTTCTCACCGGAAGTCGCGCTTCAAACGGTCGATGTCTGACGAAGAGGGAATGTGACCTTCAGTGGCTGATGGAGGTTTCATTTGGTCAAATTTGGCAAAAATGTTGGGATTTGCAAAATGTGGCCCGAAACTTCAATTATATTAATGTGTCGATGTTAATTCAGCAAATGTGTCAAGAATTTCCAGCAACTATGGCCAACAAAAATCTATTATATACTAAATTCTGATTGACGACGGCAATATAAACGTTGCGATTGACATATTATTGTAACTAACAACGAGAAATCATTATTTCCGGAACAAAAAGGCTAATTTGCAATACGCGTGGTGTTGATTTTTTTTTTTTTTTAATCTCCGAGCCCTAATCTAGTGGCGGGAGAGCTTAAGAGGGCCGACAATATTCACCAAGTTTGGACGCAGTTGCTCAGCGCTATAGTCCTTGAGTTCATTCCTGGCAGAAGAAACAAATATCTCAACAGCTAAGAGTTTTCGAGCTTAGCAATCAATCTTATCGTCATCCTTATCCTCATGCCCGCGCCTTACATCAATTAGGCATTTCAAACCCGGCTTATTTCCAGAGTCATGCGGAACTACATCCTATGGTAAGTCTATCTTCGTGGATCGCGGAGCCATTTTCTAATGATAAAACAACAGTCCAAAGCTACAGCCGTTTAGGTATTTGTTTCTTTACTCACAGACCTTCAGAATCCCATTGGACATTTGTTGTGTTTGAAGTGAAAAATACCTACACAATCAAGCTCTTTGCAGAAAATTGGTTTTATCAAGAAAGCATCAAGTGCTGGCTTATACAACGTGTATTTCACCAAAGAATAAGATGGGTCAAATCAAAATGGCTGTGGAAGTATGATTCAGAAACAGGGACCGAGGCCGGCTAGAGCATAGTCCAGCGCGTGGCGTGCTCTAAAAGCAATGAATTCGATATACTGGCCTAGCTCAAAACGCGATCCTTACAATTAGGCCTTCTACTTTTGTTTTTCAGTCCCGGTAGACAGGTGAGACCTGGTGTCTCCGATCTCCGGCGCACGTTTCGCGACCTGCATCGGTCAGTCTAACCGCAAAAATTTTCTCGATCTAAGTCTTAACCACTATTTAGGCCAGCCTATGTATTTTTCTTTTTCTGATTATTTACTCGCACCCTGCCAAAAACCGTACATAAACAAGGAGAAGCCACCTTAAGACGTCGAACAATTACCGAACGATCAATCCATCCCGAAAGATCACACCGTATCCCATTAAAAACCTGTTAGTGCTTAATTCAAAGAATTTGCAGGCAAATGATGCAAACTACAATTCTCTTCAACCCAAGTGGAAGCAGCAGCTTCCTTGCAACGCATCGAGAGTAGTAGAATATCCCCTCAACCAGATCAACTCAGCCACGTCCTACTGTTGTCACTTACAAATAATCAAGGGACCCTGCCCAGGAGCGTAGCAGCAGTATTTGTATGGCTGTAACGTTTGCTGCGATATTATTTTGAATGTGCCCCGATGGCCGCAAGCCCTACGCCATCCTGAATTTACTGCAATCTCATGGATGATAATTGAAGGTGTGATAGTCAATTGGAAATTTGAGACGACTTAAAAAGAAAAAACATTCAGAGCATTCCTTAGTTTTTGGAGTTCACATGGCTTTCCTTGGATTTTCAGCGGCAATATAGCAAATATCGCGCACATATTTCCGCATCACTTGACCAGACATGGCACTTGCACTATCAAATGATTTAGATCCTATTTCTGAAGAACTGTGCGAGACCTTCCCAACTGCATCGCCCAAACTCCTCCAGGAAAACGATAAATTTCAAGGTTACCAGCTACAAAATTGACAATAGATGTCGGGTTTTTTTTTATCACGATGTCCACAGTAAAACTAATGAAAAATTTATGTCTTACACCTGCCCTCTATGGACTTCAGCTGGCACGCATTTGTAAATCCAGCCAACATTAGTAGTTGGAGAGGAGAACCGTTGCTTAAGTAGCAAATGCTGATAAGACTTTAGGTTACATTGAGCTCAGAGATTCTAACGTGCTCCTTTATACCTCGCTGGGAGGAAGCGCAGAAATGCTATTGGGATTCAATGAGCACAACGAATCTGAGGTAGGAGGTCTACAATTGATAACAGAGGAGACAGGTCTTCCATCCTAAATATTCCCCTCGGACCCCTATGTCTTCGTTACATCGGCAGTGAAAATTCAAAATATCGATTTTCCATTATAGTTTCTATGATTAGCTTGTCTAATACAGACATACCACTAATCCTTCAATGGCTATGATTCCAGGGCTGTGTTGACAGAGTTCGGGATAGAACAAACTGATATATATCAAAAACCACTGCGATGTCAATATGAAGGGCACACTGTTTTAGTAAAATTGCTATTTCAAACACCTGAGATCAAATATAATGCAACAATCAATATATACTCAATAATACCAATTTTATATAAACACGCAATCAAAAAGGAGTAGAAGAAATCCACCAATCCGGATGCTTAACCTCAACAACCAATGGCTCCCCAGCAGCACGCTGCAACGAAGAGGACTCCTGACGAGTCAATGTGCTTCGATCTGGTTAATTCATAAATTAGAGAGGAGGAGCTTTCGAGATTGTAGGTCTAAGCTGTTTTTTTTTCGCGGTAATTGGAGAGAGAGAGGGCAGTGCTGATTCTCTAGCGGTCTAGTGTACCTGAGGCCGGGCATGAAGACGAAAACGGAGATGGAGGAATTTATAATGGGGCAAAGAAGGGAGGAAATGAGAGAAACGAAGGAAACGAAGGAAATGAAGATGACACAAGTAAGTAATGATAATACGGACATAAGACATCCGGACAAAGGTGCACCTACAACTGCTCCGGCCCCAGCTCCAGTTCCTCAAGTGGCAAAAGCAACCACTCATTATATCTTCGGTCCCAGAGAGAAGTCCCGACAAACATCATCGATACACTTCAAAAATGGCACATGGCACACCCCTACGAGAGACCAGCATGCTTCTACCCAGACCAATCATTGAAGAAATGGCCATACAAAGTCTTTGATCGGAACGGGAAGGAACTGGACCTCTCAATGTTTTGGGTTTCAAAGCCGATACCATATCGTTTTACTTTTGTCAATGGACATGGTGATGCGAAGCTGGTGGCTTGTTGGAAGTTTTCTCACAGAAAGATCTTCCTTGTTGGATGGAATGCTAGGGATGGGATTGATTCAGAGGCTTGCGCTGTTCAATTGTTTGAGAGGGGAATCAAAAAGATTACCTTCCAGAGGAAGTTTTTTAATGATTTTCAGGAATTTTTCAATCCTTTGGTGATTAGTGTACCCAACACCGGGGTTGAAGACGGAGACGAAGGCAGCAATGAAAACAAAGGGTTTGGTGATACAGTACAGAATAAAGAAAATGAAGGAAATGACACAAGCGACTGCACTGGTGCTATCAATATGGGACAGGACACAACTACAACTGCCGCTCCTGCTCCTGTTACAGCCCTTATTACAGCTCCTCAAACAGCTAAACGAACCGCGATAAAATTCACTATCGCTCAACACATCTACGGTGCGAAAACAGTTCCACAGAACATCATAGATACACTGGTAGGATGGCACAGGGCACACCCTAACCAGGAACCACCATGCTTCCACCAAGATAGGCCGTACCCAAAATGGCCCTGGAGTCTTCGACCAGAATGGGAGAACAATATCATCATTCTCAATGTTCACGGTCCAAGAACCAATACCATATCATTTTACATTTCTGCTTGATAGACATAGCAACGGGAAAATGGTGGCTTCTGAGCAATTTTCTCACAAGAAAATCTTTCTGTTTGGGTGGGATCCGAAGAGTGGGTTTGAGTCGGAGCCTTGTGCTGTTCGATTGCTTGGGAAAGCTTGAAGAAGATTGAGTTTCATCACAAGGAGAGCTTTGCTCGAGTTAAAGGTCGGGCTAGTAGTAAGCTTGTTAATTCAACTGCTACGGGTAACGACCCGTATACGACGATGGATCAGAATGTATCGAAGAAGACGCGGACTGCTGATTCGACTGGTACGGGAAATGGCACATATATGATGAATAAAAATGCTGAAAGAGCTGATAGAGCCAGACGGCGAAGCGAGCGGTTGAATGGTGTCCGTGGTGGTGAAAGCACCAATATTACCACTTATCCGGCACAACGAAGGGATTACAGTCTTGATGATGCTGCTGGGTCGGATGCTGCCTACTCACCCTCACGATCAGAATCAGAAGCATTAAAAGCACGTTCGACAAAAAGACGTAGAAAGAACTATGTTGCGCCACCAGCATCGCCAACGCCGCCGTCACCAGCATCTCCACCTCCAACAATAAGCCCTGCACCTCCATCTACATCTGCACCTGCATCTGCACAGTTAGCACTTTCTGCATTACCAACCTCAACAAACCTCAACAAAGTAGCCTTCGCATTCAGCTCATCGGATGTTATCTACCACCTCCCAATCGACGAATGCACTTCAAGCAGATACCTCTTCGGAAGAGCAAGGGATTTCTTATGGACACTTGGTCAGGAGCTGGCCACTAGGTTTCTTATCTGCCAGGTCCCTTCAGAGGGTAAACGGAGGATGTTGTATGAGGGGGATGAGATAGGTTTCAAATGGCTTCTGAATGATGTGGCGAGCTTACAGAGCAAAAATTTGCGACTACGACGGGATAACCGGATTGCACGCTGCTGGTCAAATCGCGACGCGCAGTTCGGATAATTTGTTTTTCTTCGCTTGATAGCCGTGCTCTATTAGATATATATAAAGCAAAGCTGGGAAGAAGAGAGATTGTAGAGAGATGAATTAGTGATCGCAGTGCGGAGTACAGTATAGAGTACCTGTGATGCGATGAAAAACGAGATTGAATGCTAATCTTATCTTACATCACCTACAGATTCGCGTAACGTAGTCAACCACCGAGTTACGAATTTTCCCGCTCCCCACCATGATTATCGAGCTTTTTCAACCACAATGTTTATTGATTTTATTATGCAGTGACTGGAATATATAGCTACTTACTGGGACAATTCCTTATAGTGTGTCTAATAGTCCCACAACCACTGCAGCGTTGTGGAGCTCTCTTTCGAGGCACAGGTGTAAGCTCATCAGGTTGCTTGTTAGCCTGTATATCAAGCTGCTGAGCCCGATTTTGGCCCTCTTCTACAGGTAGAATAGTGTTGTTCCCTAGAATACCACATCTCCTTGCTTTCTTTTTGGTTTTCCTCTCATTTCCAGCTCGAAGAGTCCTAATTTCATCTCGAAGAAGGTTCATATTCATTGCCATCTGCGCAGCCTTTTTAAGGTGATTGATATGAGCTATTGGGCTGCTGGAGAGCTTTCGCCTTTTTTTCACTGAGACTCCTCTGCAAGCTGCAGAATCTCATGGCCAAGCTGGCAAGTATTTTGCGGAGTTTGAAAAGCAGAGGAGACTGAGCCTTCAACTAGGGCTGGTGGTGTTGGTGTCCGAAGTTGAAATGTAATTTTCGCAAGAACCCGGTCTTGATCAAGTGGTTTAACCCCAGCCCCTGCAAGGCCATTGCTTATATTGTCTGGGGTAAACACCTTTGCCCGTGCTTCTGGATATAAGGATAAAACGTCTTCCTTGTCAATTTGCCAATCTTTGGAAAGTGCGGGATCTTGATACCAGGCAGCTTGCTGGTTTTTGGCCTTGAGTATAATCACTGGCGGTTATGGATTCCTCTTGAACTGATGGTCTCAATAACAGTGACCCATTCACAGTTGCCCCGTATAACTGTACGAGGTTTCTCACTGCGCTCAACTGCAGTAATCACCTTTGAAGTTGAGCAGAGTCCCATTGCAAAGCCAGTCTCATAAAAAATTCCAGATATCATCTTCATGGATACAATATTCCTGGATAACTGCATAGACTGATTCAAACCATTCTTGAATGACTCTTGGATCCTCCTGCTTTGCACGCTGGTATGTAATCCTTCGATTATATTGTATCCGCAGCTCTTCATGGCGCTTAATCAATTTATACGCCCAGTTGACTCTAAATTCTGTAGTAGAATCTTGCAAACACCCACGAAGTAATATACGCGCCATTCCACGCAGGAACTCTGGCCGGACTGGAAATCCTTGTTTACCTGCCTCCAGTACATGTTTTGTAAGTGTTTCCGCTTCAGATGCAGTTAATCTGTGGCCATTTGCACGTGTTTCTGAGCGTGATTTATTGCCCTTGAGCCGATATCGAAGAGTAGATTCAGGCACACTATATATCTCAGCAGCCTTCAATATTGATTTAATTTTTTTTTTTTTTGGAGGCGCTCATAGCCATTTGAAGCCGGCTTTCTTGAGATAGAGGCATTTTCTGTGAAAATAGTGAAAAATTAACGCATCCTTGGGTGTTGATTCGAGTATTATGGTGGCGAGCGGGAAACTTCGCAACTCGGTGGTTGATAACGTTAGGTTAGTTCTACTGTAACAAAATCTGCATCAGAAAAATCAATTATATAATATCATAAGAATAACCATCCAATACACCGCAAGAATGCACCAATCCATCTCGAAGTTATCATACATCCAAGCCACTCACCCGCCCAGTCCTCCTGAGCACAACCAAACCGCTCATCACAGCAGATGTATCTTAAGACCGATTCCCCGACGCAACTCTCCAAGCCCTAAGTGGCAACGCCTGCAACTTGATAACAGCCGGCTTAATAAACAACATGAACGTAATCACGCCAACCAAAACACACAAAATATTGGTCGTGTAGTATCCGTCGTGGACGACGTGGCAGGTGCCGCCGCCATTAACACAGCGGTTCTTCTCTGGTTCAAGCGCGCAGGAGAAGGGGGATGTCACGAGGGCATCTTTGAGAGTTTCTGCGGCAGGTGGGGTGGTCGGGGGGGTGCAGGTTGCTTCGGTGAAGAGGTCGACTAGGCGGAGGATGAAGTAGCGAGGGAATGTACCACCGAGGTTGCAGACACTGGTAATGTCAGTTTATATAGTTTTTTAAGACGAGAAGAGGGAAGTAAAACTTACGTAGCCAACAAGGTCATGTAGGTTCCCCCAATGACCGGATCGGCAATACGAGCATGGAACGCCGACACGGCAACAAACATGACCGTGTTCATGAAGGTCGAGATCACATGCTCTCCGATAACTGCTAGCAGGTACCAAAACGGAACCTCCGGGGTGGCCGGGAAGATTGCCACAGTGGCCTGGGCCAGCACGGCAGCTGCTAGGCGACCAACGAACGCCCAGCACCACAGTCGCATGGGTGTGTATTCCGTGGACCACTTACCGGCATAGTAACCGAGGAAGATCTCAAAGGGGAAATCAATCAAGACCACCAATGCCATGTTGTCTTGTCCAAAACCTTTGTCTAGAAGCTTAAGACTCGTAACTCCATCGTTGGCCTGGAATCCGATTTTCGCGATGAGATGCACGAGGATGATGGTCTGCACATTCTTAAGCTTCAACACGTTCCACATGCTGCGGTATACATGCATAATACTGTCCCGCTCCCGAGTCTTGTCCTCTTTTTTCAACATGGCGAGGCATAGCGTCACAATCAGATACGCCCATCCCCAGAAGTTCAGGTACGTTCCAAGCGATAACAGACCCCCTTCCGATGGAGTCGAGCGGAACCAGCGATTTGCAAAATCCGCCGAATTGAATGCCAGAAACACCGTATACGAGAGGAAATGACCAGCCGTCAACCCCACAGTTTGCGCCGTAGAAGCGTAGGAGATATTCGGCGGCGACATGAGCGTAATAGCCCACCCATCAACGGCGATATCCTGTGTCGCACAGAAAAACACCAACATAAACCACCAATACGTGAAATTCCACACCCCAGCACCACCATTCGCTCCCGCCGCCGTCATCATCTCTTCAATGCGACCCCCCAAATAAATCATCGCCAACCCAGCAATAACCTGAACAGGGGTAATCCAACTCTTGCGTCTTCCAAATGTCGGACTCCAAACAGCATCCACAATCGGACTCCAAAGCAACTTCAGTGAATATGGATATGACGCCAACGAGAAAACCCCAATCTGCCCATACGACAAATGCGGCTTCAGCAAAAACGGCACAGACCCCGTTGCAAGACCCATTGGAATGCCCTGAAGAAAGTACAACACGACCAACAACAAGAAGTTCCGTTTATCGGTATGCGGGAGGTTCTGGAAGCTCGTCGTGGCTAGGCCCGGGGTCTGCGGCGTCACGGGCATCGAGGGCTCTTCATCTAGGGTGAAGGAGTCGCGGGACATGAGGCGGTTTGCACGCGTGGAAGAGGACTCCGGGGGTGTGTCCCGCTTGCGCATTTCTATATTGCTGTTCATTTTCTCGCGATTGGCATGGCCGTTTTCGTGGCCAGTTGCGAGAGTGAGGCTCGGTTTGGAGCGGCGTTTGTTGAGGGTCTGGCCCTTGGGCTTCATCGGTAGCGTTGCTGTACGGAGTACCGTTGCTATGTCCGTCAGTTGATCGGACAGGATTAAATGATTCGAGAAATGAAAGAGAAAGACTGTATCTAGTTCGAAGGCGAATATGCTATTGCATGTTGTCAATCGGGTATTCGGTAGATAAGGAGAGGCGAGTTTAGAACAGACCAGTGGTCGACTGAAGGAAAGAAGGATCAAAACCTAGCACTCCGTAAATGGAAACGAAAGAAAAGAAGGAGAGAGAAAGAAAGGAGAGAAGTCAAAGACTAGACAACGTCCATCCGGAAAGAAAGTCGGAAGAGGCGAAGTAATGCTCGGAAGTGGAAGGCCTGAGGTTGTGGATAGTTGGCCTCTGCGGCGGTTATGCAATTCTACCAACAAACAATTACATATAGCCGTTCTTGTAAGAATTGGACTCAGAATTGAATAGAATAAGCTTACTTCTGCATATCAACGCCTGTAAAGAAAATGCTCCAGCACATGCATCACGTCACGTGGTCCGAGCACTCCGTCTTCGTCCTCCGGATTTCTAGATACGTGACAACACACCACCATCACCCAAACAACCCTCAATAATGGAATCTGACCTAGATTCGGATATCTCCTCCATCCGCGCAGAAAGTAAGCACCATCCTATCACTCTTCACGCCTTTCTGGACGCGATACTAACGCGCGCAGTCCGCGCCCTCCAATCCCGTAAACGGTTCCTCTCCTCCAGCCTACTCTCCTCCGACGCTCTTCAGAAACACCTTCCCAACCCTAGCATCCCAATACCACCATCATCATTGGAATCGCAATCGCAATCGCAGCTTGCAGAAGCATCACCCCTAGTCCAATCCGCCAACACCCATTCCGAATCGAACCACCACCGCATCGCTTTCTCGACGACCGCGTTTCCGTTTACGGATCCTTCGCCTTATGGCTCGTCGGGAAGAGGGAAAGATAGTGAGAAGGAGCATGAAAAAAATCTACTAGGTGTGCGCATTGATGTCTGCGCGCGGAACGGCCGATTTGTGAGACCGTTTTATGTACTCCTAAAGCGTGTTACTGGACATGATGGCCAACGGCGGCTGCGCATACATCGACATACGATCCCCGCGTTCATCTCGATGCAGAAATTAGAGCGAATATACCTTCCCACGCCATCGCAGACAGCAGACCAGGAACAGGGCGAAGGCGCGGAAGAAGAGGAACTTAAACCCTGGAAGAAGAAGCGACCAACCAGAAAACCAGACCTTCACGCCTTCGTCCGAACACTCCGACGCGAACTAGTCTCGTGGCAGAAGAGACACGACGCCATTGGGTTATTGCGGGAGAAGCTCGGGGTGCGGAATCAGGATCCTGACTCTGAACAGGATGTCTTCTCCGACGTTAAAGACGGAGGGTGGTTACCAATTAATTCGATGGGTCTTGCGTCGCTATCACCTACAGCATTGGAAGCACGATATGTCCGGCTGGAATGGGAGGATGGGCGTGTGGGGCGGTTTAAATTGTCTAATACGGGGATGGTCGAGCGCGCGGTTGTGATTGGGGATCAGGGTAGGGATAAGATGCTCGAAGCAGCCATGACAGGCGGTGATGGGAGGGTGGAAAGCATGTTGGACCGGTTAGAGCAGTATACTACGTCGCAGTCATGACTGGGATAAATATGATGTATGAACTAATCCAGTGATTAACGCTATGCATATAACTCAAAAGACTGCTGATGCGTGTGTAATGCTGTCTGGATAATGACCAAAAGAGATAAGGGAAAAAAAAAAAAAAAAAAAAAAAAAAAAAGCAACATGTTGCTACAATTAGAAAATAGTATCAACCACCAGTGGCAAATAGAAAAGAAGTATACACGTATAGTCAAAAACACCACGCTAGACGTGAGAAACCAACCCGAACTGCGGATATCAAATGCAAACGGTGAGACAAGTATGCGACCCAAAAGGAAAATAGAAGAAACCAAGAAAGATATGCAAAATATATGCTGGGAAATGGGGGAAGAAAGAAAGGAAAAGGGTATCACTAGACATAAAAATCATCAAGATGACAGAAAGAGAAGGATGAAAAGGAGGGGGGAAGTATTAGAACATCGTTCCATCTCCCTTCTGGTGCATCTGCTCATCATCGCCGCTGCCAGCAACACAGCAGGCTGAATCTCGCGTCTCGTAGTGTGAATCATTAAACGTCAACGGTGGAAGAGGACCATAAGGCTGACCATGCTGTTGCTCCAATTTGCGGCGCAGGATCGCCTCCTCCAGATTCCAGCGATGCATGAGTTTGGTTTTTCTGGCGTCGAAGCCCTGCAAGACATTCGATTCCTCCTGTTGGTGCTGTTTCTGTAGCTCCGAGAAAGCCTCTGCGTGTTTGTCGATCATCGCGTCTAGCTCATTCTCGAAGCGTTCGATGGCTTCTTGTAGGCGGCGTTCCTGGCGCTCGCGGAGAACCTTGATTTTAGCCTCATGCAATTGGTCCATTGTTTCGTGGTCATGATATTCCTGCGCCAACTGGGCTTTTTGTTGGCTTGTGTATTTTCGTTGCAGAGTGGGCTTTACGGAACCGGAACCGGAACCGGGTGAGGATGGTGGGCTTCGGTTGTTAAAGTAGCCTTCCATGTGCTTTATGCGTGTGCGCGCATTTTGTTTAGCCCGATCGAATTCACGCTGCTGTTCTATTTCGACGGCGAGTTGTCGCTCTTCCATCTTGATAGCGTTGGCAGTGTTCTAAATTGTAGCATAAGAGTATTAGCACAATTGACACACTAAAAAGGGAAGTAGAGAAAAGAGGCTAACTTTTTCGCGCTTCTCTTCCTCCGTGCGCTTATTCTCCGACAACCGATCGGCAACCGAAGCCTGCTGATGACTTCGCAGCCAACTCATGAAGGCAGCTTGAAACGTGACATGCCGATTCCTCTCCAACCGATGCGCCTCGCGCATTCTCACCAGCTCCGCATTAACTAAGCTCCTCTGCAGCGACCCATGATCAAAAACCGGGATCTCAAGCTTCATAACCGAATCCTCCGCAATATCCGGTGCACTTGTAGGTTGCGACGACTGCAATTCACTAGGCTTCGACTCTACATACACCCTTTCCTCCCCTTGCTCTCCCTTGGTAACTGTAATCTGAGCCTCGGGCGGGAGAAACACAGCCGCGGAAGTCCGCCTTCTGCGGAACGGGAATTTGTCAATCGCGGATTTCAGACTCTCCCTGCGTTTCTGCTTCTTCTCCCCCGGCGTCAGGCTTATCATGGAATGTCGATTGCTATGCACAGGTTTTGCGGTGGCTCCATCACTACCGGCGGGTGCTAGCTTTCCATCACTCGAGCAGTATGATGTGGGGCGCGTGGACAGTGATGCGATCGAGCGTACGCTACCGGATTTGACTGGCCGGGAGGAGACGGTGAGTTCGGAGAGGGAGGAGGTGATCTGATCGAGGGGGATTTCGCGGTACGCATGCTGGTGCGCGTGTTGGTCCTGCGGTCGATTCTGTAGCTGTTGACCTTGTTGCTGACCTTGCTGTTGCTGATGTGCCGTCCCTGGCCTTTCGCATAATGAATTGCGACCGGTTGACGAGCCGGACGACAAGACTGGAGAGGAAGAGGATAAATCGACCAAGCCAGACGCGATCGATGCCGTGAGCGACGCCGTTACCTCGATCTCGGGAACTTTGAGGCCTAGCTGGTGCGCCTCATCGAGTAGTTTCTGGTTGCTGGATAGTTCAGATTCCTCGGACGGGTGTAACAGGACCTCTTTGCGGTATTGGTCCTCATCAACCGAATTGTGAGCGCTCATGGTTGTGCGACCGCAGACTAGTCGAGTATAGTGGTAAGGATGGTAGCAATGCTTGTAGTTGTAGATAGAGGTATGAGGCACATCGGAAGCCCGCGACCAACAAAGTCCGGCAAATGGAGGGGAGAAACAACAAAACAATTAATCAGGAAATCAAAGAGAAACTCGAACTAGACTGAAACAGAAAGAACAAAAGAAGAATGCTAGAAAAATAATGGAATAAAAAAAGAAAAAGGAGGAGGGGCAAAAGCTGGCTCGGGTCAGGGGACGTGCCGTGGTTATAGAGACAACTGGGCCACGGTACAGAGTAGTAATATTCGGATGGAGAAGGTCAGTAGAAGATTCGATGAGGAGAGAAAGAAGAGGGCGAGAGAAGATTAAAAGGTATGTACGGAGTACTCGCAGTATGTTGTACGTAGAAGTGAGGAAAAGGGGATGCAAGTAATAAGGACTGGGTCAGGTCATGGACTTGGACCGACTATGGAGTCTTATGGACGCTCTTCAGTCAGTGCTCAAATTCTGTAAGCAATTCAAATCGGGCCCGCTTGGAAATAATGCATTTTTATTTTTTTTATTTCTCCTTGACCCACGAGAGCATTCCTTTTTTTTTTTTTTTTTAAAAAAAAATTTTTTTGCCGGTTGACCGACTCACGGCCGTCCGCGAATAATCTGTCTTATACCCCATGTTGGTGCCAATTGCATACAGCATACGTCAAGTTACAGGTACATCTCGGAGATCCTAAAGAAGCCTTTATTGTGTACTACTCTTCCGTTGCTCTTAATTTCCCCTGGCATGTGGCACGGAGAGTAGGGCTAGGGCCCGTTGAGTTTCAGCTTTGAATGAATTGCCCGGCTGCAGGCACCGTGGCATTCAAAAATGTGGGTGTGATTCATCAACGTCAAAGGATGCCAAGGTTTTGTATCTATAAAGGCGTTTCACATCGTTATTTAGTCTATACAATCACAGTGCGGAGTACATAGCCATATTTTGATCTGAGCATTTTTACTACTCCCGAGACAACATTGCAACAGCCATAGCATATGCCTTTTCCTTAGCATCACCTTGAATGGTATCTTTGCGGGCACTCTTGTCCCAAGCGTGGTTGCAGCTTTGCATCCGTTGACAGACAACCTCGCGACCAGGCAATTCGCCGATACGGGTGGCCAACCTTTCGGCTTCGCCCGCGAGACTATCACCAGCTGCCGTCACCATCAACACGCAGTCTGGGAAGCGGTCCGGCTCGCTGTAATACGGGGAGATGCGGGGGTCCCTGGCATCCATGCCAAAGGGAATGTAGCATTTGTCGAACATGCGGGCCGTCGCTGGAGGAATAGGCTTTCCCGTGGGGTCTGGCGAAACCTTGGCAGCTGGATCAGTGTAAAGATCGAGCGGTGGATAAAAGGCAAGCACAGCATGAAAAGTGTCTCGGGGGTAAATGGTCGATGAGGCTGCTAGCGCTAAATTCGCTCCAGCACTAAAGCCCGAAATGTCTACGCGAGACAAGTCGAACTCGGTGGGTTGATTGAGTACCCAGTTGACCACATCCTCGACGTCATTCAGCGCTGCGGGGAATGGATGTTCAGGCGCTAAACGGTACTGCACGTCAAGCACCGTGTATTTGGTCTCTTGGCTAACCTGGCGACAAAAGGGACCGTCGCTCCCATGCATTGGGATAACGAAACCACTGCCGTGGAAATTGATCAAGACGGGTGACAATTTGGCTGCAGATGATGATCGGTAAACATGGGTCTTGATTGTCCTCTCAGTTTCTCTAGATGGAATACGGTACACCTCATCGGGAAGGACCACGGTACGCCTGCGAGAGCGAAACCGCACAATTGCTCGGATGAACACGGCAATGAGCTTGTAATAGAGATAGGAAAACCACGACATTATTGTTGATGTGTTGATCGTCACTAGGAGCCAAGCACTCAGCGGGACTGTCAACTTTGTAAAGGCGAAAGAAAAAAGTAAGCGAATTGACTATAACATCGGAGAGGCTTGAGCGGCCTAAGCACAGAGGGGTTGGTGGTGGACTCGTATTGGGATTGCAAGCCGTGTCTGTACGGAGCAGTGCAGAACAGTTGTGATACAGAGATTTCTCTCGTCGACAAAACGAAAACCTGTGTCGATACGTCCACGATAACATGTAGTAGACACGATCAATAGAGCAATCAAACTGGACGCGCACTCGCACTCGTATCGTCGAGGTATTTTCGGTGCTTGAAAAGGCACAATCCCCGGGAGAATGCCGATAATGTTCAATAATGTAGGGAGAAGTGGGTATAACGGCCCACCAAATTCTCGTGACAAGAAATTTACCAATCCCAGATGCGAACAAAATTAAAGTCAACTCGTGGCTCTCGCGTGGAGACTTGAAACAACCGCAGTAAGCGGCTTGGATCTCCAGCCGGTTGTTTCAGAAGGGGTTGAAAAAGGATGTTTCCCTGGAAAATCCTCAAGACTGTGTGCTATTGTCAGTCAACCTTGGGGCCCTTGCCATGTGGATGTGGGCTTTTATTTCGGAAGAACATCACTGATCATCGCCTGAGGACCCTCTTTCCCGATGTGGCTTTGTTAGGCGGTTCAGCACTCTGCATCGCCTTTCAGATCCTAGCATTTTCCAGAGAAGAAGGCATAGAACCGACAGAATGACCGCGAAGTACAGAGTAGACGCATTGTGTGAAGGAGAGCAAACATGGGAGTGATATATCACGTGTATGTCGTGGCAATAACAGCACAGACAAGTAAACAAACCAAATATCACCCAGCCACGGGATTACTCTTTAATGCAACGCACATGCTTCATCATCGGCCAAGCACATCACCCAACAACATCATCCAACAACACCACCACCAGTCAATCAGCATCGCCATCTCCTACATTATTGTACAATATCCTGAAACAGACCAAGCAATTAAGATTCGATCCTTCAGGGGTCTACGGCCCATTTTGCCATCCATTCAACTTTGTCCAACATCGCTGCCTGTCAATTATTATCAACACGGGCCGCTCTTAATTACATCTTACGCTGCGTTGGGAAAGAGACTAGGAAATGGCTCTCCCAGCTGAACCAGGGAATTCCAAATTCACCGTCTTCCTCCGCCTGCCGTTCCCCAGGGGAGACTTTGTGGATCCTCCACCTGCAAGTGCCTCTAACCCGACTGGGTAGAGAAAGAATACATGCTGACAGGCTTAGGTTGAATGGGATGCAGCAAAAGACCAGGCTCTTTGGGATGTCTTATCTCGGCTTTCCAAGGGAGATGACACAGACTGTATGGAGTATTAGCTTTGACGCTTCTTAAACTGCCGAGAGCTTATGCTGACTTTATTCCAGGGAAAACACTGTACGGGTACCATGAATTTGGATACTTCAGCGCACTAACAACTGATCTTCTCTAGTGCCAATAATTTTGGCGTGACTCTGCAGTTCCTTCTGCAGCAAGCTGCGTGGCTCTATGACCGGCAGTTGACTCAGTTTCGCGCGCAAATGCGTAAAGTGGGCACGGTCCAGTCGGCTTCTCCATCGCCAATGCTTGGCTCGACTTCAGGGAGTTTTGCGTTGGGTGGTCAAGCTAAAGGCGCCCAAGGTATGAATTGTTGTACATCAATGTGTATCGTGATTGTCACAGCTAACTGCCAAAGGATCTCGTCCCGCTCCAAGTCGTCTCACAACGCAACAGAAAGACGCACAGCCCCAAAGGAGTAAGTAATTATTTATAATCTCTAGAACGCACTCTTACAAAAACAGTCGTTCCCCGGCGCACCAGTTCCAATGCTACAGTCAACCAAATTAGACAACGAGACCAATCCCGCAATGTCACTCCTACGGCAGAGATGAAAGACCCCAAACCAGAAGGCTTCGGTCGCCGACCTTCTGCAAATATTCGAGAGCAACCACCACCTGCAGCGGCTCGCAGATCCCCTACTTTGGAAGAAGAGGGCCTTTCGACGAGCTCATCCGAGTCAGAGTCTGATGAAGAGGAGCTAGACAACCGGCGAAATCCCAGATTCAAGCGCTTCGGAAAGTTGTCTATGCATCGGCCAGGTCTACGGGACGATGAAGAAGATGACGATGATGACTCGCCAGCTTTCCTCCCTTACTCGCGGGATGTTGAGCATAGGCCTTGGGAGCGCAGTGGGCAGGACCTCAACGCAACCTTGCGTCTCAATACCGAAAGCCCAGATGTCCACCGAAGACGTTCAACGGAACACCCACAGACTCCTCGAAACCCCATGACAACAGAATCTTCAATGAGCTCTGCGAGCTCCGGGGTCCCCGTGAGCCACCCGTCGGGTGGCAACAGTCGGCATGCTAGTCAAGTCGCAAGTCCACGACGAGGCGAACTAGCCAGCCCGCGGCGGCCGAGAGAAGCCAGTGATGGCACGCCTAGTATGGGAAGCAGCTTCAGTGACATTGATGGTAGGGCGGTTTTGGTTTCACCTTCCATGCAATAATAGTATCACCTACTAATATTCCTTAGATTCATATGTTACAGAGTCAGTGCTTGCAGAGGCACAACTCAGCAATATTCAGGGCGGAATGGCGAGTCGGATGAGCACCATCGGCCAAGCTTTTCGAAGTCGCTATCTGTAAGACGTATAATGATATATAAGCTTGATATAAGATCTAGACTGTCAATTCATACCATTTTACTCTTTATGCATGAATACTTATGCGGAGAATCACGTGGTACCCCGCGACAGTGACGTCAACGCATCTATTCCGAAAGCGGTGAGACAAAGAAACCGAGCCCCTCGGCATAAGCGGAGCTGAGGCTAGTGAGCCGGTCAGCGTGCATTATCCTTATCCTCAGTCTTATTTTTTTCTACTAAGCATTCTTATCTATCCTATTCTCATTCTTACTGCGTACATTGAAGACCGATTGTCAATTGGATTGTATTTGTCATATGAGAGGTGTACGTATTGTTGAGTGGTCCACCGGAGACAGGTGTTGAGGCCAATGGAGCACCGAGTACTCTGTACTATTGCCAAACCACTGCTAATGACACCGTTCAACAGGAACCACCGCATACTCTGTCCAGAATCCTCGCTGGGGTTATCGCGGTGATATAAAGACACGCAATTGACCGAGGTCGAATGGAACTGACTCACTAATCGCATCTCCGCATCTACATCTACACCAATATCAATCCCTCCCTTGCTATCGCAATGACAACCCCAGAGGAAGCCGAATCGACCTACTTCAACAACTACCCACCCCCCAAAGCTCTCCCGAAACATGAGTCCCTAGCTCGCGCATTTATCAACGACCACGCCGAGGAGAACCGACGAGTAGTCCTAGTGACATCCGGAGGCACAACAGTTCCTCTAGAGAACCAAACGGTCCGCTTCATCGACAATTTCTCCGCAGGAACAAGAGGAGCTACGTCGGCAGAGTATTTTCTGCAGGAAGGGTATGCGGTGATTTTCCTGCACCGGCAGTTCAGTCTACTGCCGTATTCGCGGCACTATAGCCACTCGACGAATTGTTTCTTGGATTTCATGGACGAGGGAGTTCCGTCGGGGGGCGATAGCAATTCGACGAGCCCGGACCACGGGCCGATCGTGGTGCGCAGCGAGTACCAGAATCAGATGCGGGATGTGCTACGGAAGTACCGCTATGCGAAGGAGAACAATCGGTTGTTGCTGCTGCCGTTTACGACGGTCGCGGAGTATCTGTTTGAGTTGCGGTCGCTGGCGAAGTTGATGCATCCCCTTAAGTCCAAGGCGCTGTTTTATCTAGCGGCGGCGGTTAGTGACTTTTTTATTCCCAGCGACCGGATGGCGGAGCACAAGATTCAATCGTCGGAGGTATCGTCCGCAGAACAAAGACAGAACTCCGCTGAGAATAATGAACAGCAACAACAAGAGGGGCAAAGTAAGAAATTGGTGATTGACCTGGACCCTGTCCCGAAATTCCTGCACCGCCTCGTGGACGGCTGGGCACCGGAGGGAAGCATGATCGTCTCCTTCAAACTGGAAACCGACCCGGACCTGCTAGTACATAAAGCGCAGACGGCTCTGCAACGATATTCGCACCATCTGGTTATCGGGAACCTGCTCAGCACGCGCAAGTGGGAAGTTGTATTTGTGACGCCAGACGCGCCGTACGAGCGCTGGATCCGGGTTCCCAAGTCGCGACGGAGTAAGAGTATCTCGGGGTCAGAGGCACAGGTTGGATTGGCGGAGGCTAAGAAAAGGAATCAGGCGCTTAGCGGTGCTCAGGAGGGGCAGGCCGGAAGCGGTAATGAGGGTACTGCACCGGGCGATACAGAAGGTGAGGGAGGGATTGAGATTGAGCGACTGATCATTCCGGAGCTGGTCAAGTTGCATTCGCGGATGGTCAAGTAGGCTGTACATGCATACAACTGTAGTGTTATCGGAGAATGACCTCCACAGGAACAGACCACTCCACACTTTTCATTTCAGGGGAGACATCACTATTTGAATATTTGCAGGGTACTACTACCAACTGTAATAAAGCATTGTATAGATCTCCAGGGGCTCATTTCCCACTGTAAAAAGACTGCGCCGCCGAATGCGAAACCAACAACGCGTCATAATATGTGCGATCGTCTTCATCTTCGTCGCGCTTCCTCTTTTCGGCGGTGATCTGTATGAAGGCGAATTCCACGTTCTCCTTTCTCGTTCTCTCTGGCTGTGACTGTGACTGTCACTACTCTGTATGTCATTCTCTCTTACTCATGCGCTCCTTTTCTCTACTTTGTACCTCTATTCTGACTACATTTCTTCCAGGAAGCACCGGAGGGGTCCTCTGCGCGGACACATGAATAACGACTAACCACCACACCACACCAACCACACCCCATCCATTGAGAGAACCAGAACCAAAATGATAACCCCCCGCCTTTATCGCCGCCGAATTACTTGGGTGGCATCCCTAGTCGCCCTCTTCCTCCTCTACCATTTCTTCTCTCTCCGCTCCGACCTCGACGCCCCCGCTGTAGCCGCCAGAACCAAGACCTCGCAGAACGCCGACACAAGTCCAAATGCAAACGCCAATTCCAACACCAACCAGAATGCCAAAGCAAATGCAAATAATGGCGAAACGGGGCAGGACGGCCCCATCTGCCCACCCCTCCCCGGCATGGAAGACGTCCTCGTCATCCTCAAAACAGGCGTCACAGAAGCATTAGACAAAGTCCCCGTGCACTTCCAAACAACCCTCCGCTGCGTCCCCAACTACGTTATCTTCTCCGACCATGATGAGGAAATCGCCGGCGTTCGTGTCCATGATGCTTTGCGCAACATGCCCGATGAAGACCTCAAGCAGTCCATCCCGGACTTCAACATCTACAACCGCATCCGCTCGATGGGGCGGGCTGGACTAGCACAGGATGACTTTTCAGACGTTGCGAATTCCGCGCTGGGAAAACCGGATAACCCGGGGTGGAAGTTGGATAAGTGGAAGTTCCTGCCGATGACGATGGGGACATATAAGTATAAGAGTGATGCGAAGTGGTATGTGTTTATGGAGGCGGATACGTATTTCGTCTGGGGTAGCCTGCTGGCGTGGTTGGGAAATTTCAACCCCGAGGATCCGTTGTATATCGGTACCGAGACGCAGATTGCAGATGTCGTCTTCGCGCATGGAGGATCTGGTTTTATCGTTTCCAACCCGGCCATGAAGCGCGTTGTTGATGAGTATTCGGTCAAATCGAACGAGATCCACGCCTACACGGCCGGCCACTGGGCTGGTGATTGCGTTCTGGGCAAGATATTGCTGGACGTCGGTGTTCCGTTGCATTTCTCCTGGCCTATGTTGCAGAACACGGCTGTCGCGGAGCTAGACGAGTTCTCGCCTGACTTTTACCGTCGTCCGTGGTGTTATCCTGCCGTTGCCTTCCATCACTTGTCTGCGCTGGATATACAGAGTCTTTGGGAATTCGAACAGAAGCGCTACAAAGAGGTGCCCTTCCCTTCCCTCCATACCCCCCCCCCCCCCCCAAGTCAATCACCAACTAACAAACAAATAGTCCCGCAAAACCCTCCTCCTCCACGGCGACGTCTTCAAAGAACGCATCTACCCGGAACTCGCCCCCGACCGCTCTTACTGGGACAATCTTTCCACCGAAGAACACTCCGTCGCCGTCGACACCTACGAAGACTGCCAGGCGCTATGCGCGACGGCCCCGCAATGCCTGCAGTTTACTTTCCGCGCTGGAAGATGCTACACTAACAAGACGCCGAAGCTGGGACGTTCGAGTGCAGATTCTAGTTCAGGGTGGATTATGAAGAGGGTGGATGGGATGTTGGCTTCGGCACCCAAGTGTCGGAAGCCGGATTTCGGTTGATTACTTTCTTTTTGGATTATTCTATTATATCGCCTTTTTCTTTGCAAAAAATGTCTTTTCTTCTAGACTATATCTTCTTTTTGTTTTTTATATTTTTTTCTAAGATGATTTGGGCTGGGTTGGCGTTGATGAGGAATGCTTATTGACTGTATTGCATAGTGGGCAGGTGATACGTGCATTGAATTGATTTGTTTTAAAAAGCAAACTCCATTACTGACAACTGCAGATTGCATATTGATTCGAGTCGGAAAAGACAGTCCAATATGTATATTCTAATAACCCACCCAACCGTCACGCCATATGAATATCCAAGCAAGCACCAACAACGCCAATATCAACCATACTAAGCGAACGAACGCATAAAGAATAGACATAAGAAAAGCTATCCATCTAACAGGCGATCACGTAAGTGGAGGTGCATGCGGGTCCTCAAGACATTGATCAATCCGCATAATGTTCATACCAGCACTCTTGATCGTATGGATGAACTGTCTGAAATACGAAACCGTGCTCGGACTGAGATAGTGCATCACGGCCAGATTTCCGCCTTTCATTACATCGCGTGTGAAGGCTTCGATCTGTCGTTCTGGAGTATCACTGTTGGCCCAGAGCCAGTCTTCGACGTCGACACTCCAGTTCACAATATACGGGTCGTGTATTCGAGCTGCGAGTATCTGGCGTGTTCTGGCTCCAATCGTTCCGTATGGGGGTCGGAAGTATCGGGCTGTGAGTGTTAATACTGTCCACGTAGATGGAAAGAGACTTCATACACTGGATTCCTAGGTAGTCCTTGAAGGCATCAATGCTCTCCAGGATCTCATCTTCAATATCCTCTTCGTCTAATGTCTCCATTCTGGGACATGTGTTAGAACAGCGAAGCCCTAGTCCAACTGAAACAACGTACTTTTGATGCGTATAGGAATGAAGCGCAATCTGATGCCCTCGCCGCAACATCTCCTTATAGACTTCAGTGAAATTGGTTTCTCTATCTCTCAGGCCTTGCCCGACAACGAAGAACGTCACGAGCACCTTCTCCTCCTCAAGGATATTCATAACCTCCTGCGCAAACTGTGGCTGTCCATCATCAATTCCAAATGCAAACGAATTGGGCCTCGAGCATTTGAGAATCATCTGACCATTGGCCAGTTTGAGCGGCACTGATGCCCCAGTTGGCAAGTGGCGCACAATCTCAATCCGATGCAGCGTGACACTCTCCTCGGTATAGAACCCATTGAAAGAAACTGACACAACCTTCGACAAATCAACTGCAAAGTGCGACATGGGCACATAGATGTTATTCTTCCCGCTCAAGTACCGCCTCGCCTCGATTGTATCCCACGTAGCCGGGTACGGGTTCCTGCCCGGTCGACACTCAGCATTATTCTGGTTCAGCGAGATACTAAACTTGTTGGATCCCGAGAACACAACATGTAGATACCGCTCCCGAAACGGCATAAAGTTCGTACAGTGCAAAGCGGAAACCTGCGTGTGGAAGTTCTGGTCCGGATCCTTTGGGTAGAAACGCGCGTAGTGTCCACCACGATTTCTATCGACATCGTAGTGCACGTCAAGATTTTCGCCAGCGCCGTGCCAGAAGCCAAGGTCGTTACGGTCACTGTACTGGAACGTGTCGATGATGAAGGGGTCTCTGTATCTCAGCTGGACCTCCATGAGGTTCATGCCATACTGGACAGACGGGGTCATGGCGTCTATCGGTGGGGGTTTATCGGCGTCCGTGACATTGACATTGAACATAGCGGCATTACTCGCGGCTGCGCTTGTGAAGGGGAGGAAACCGGTAAAGAGGAGGATAATGAGCACCATGTTGGGTATGGCGAGGGAATCGAGGAAACGGCTGATTCGTCTCGCGGTGGGGGACCTCTGTCCGAGGCAGACGACTTCAATAGACTGTTTCAGTCGGAATAGTCGTGATGGCTCACTGGGCTCCATCTTCGGTCGTGTGGAGGTGTGGTGGAAGGAGGGAGTCGAAGTTGGAGTTGGGGAGATGCCCTTTTGCTGGAGTACGAATCAGGAAGGCGCGTTCTTTACTACGGGAAGCTACACCCTAACACCACAGGTGACTGTACCGAAGTGGAAAGAACAAAAGTAAACATAGATTATCAGTATTTTAGATTTTCAAATATGTGATCGTCCCAAAAAGACCCCAGCTAGCCGTCCATCCCATATAGCCTAGGGCCTCAGAACTCGGATACCCTACGCATAGTCCAGACAACAACACATAATTCCCTCATGATCATCGGCTAGCAAATAAAGCATTTCGTTCACGACTGACCGCTTGATTCCCAAGATGTCACCAAAGTCCTCGAGGCTTAATTAGGAGACAGCCTGCTAGTGTTCTTCCTCTCGGGACCGTGTTCTAAATCTTTTAGGAGAAGAATAATCAACACCCTATTGGGCACTATTACCAGACATCACAACATAAGAACATTCCCTTCGTGAAAAAGTTAGTCCACTAGTCCCAGCTGGCGCCACCAGCGTTAGCCTCGCCAGTGACTTCCGGAGCTCCTCCCCAGGCGTCGCTGTCATCAGCGGCTCCCCAGTTCGTGCTAGGGGGTTCATTGCTGTCGTCCATTTGGATACCTCCCCAGGCTCCATCGTTCGCGTTGTCCTCACCATTCTCAGCTTCGTCGTCTGTGTCGTCATCGAAGGTCACAGCTTCCTCCGTGGGCTTGTGCATCTCCAGGAAGTCGGGAATGCGCTGCTTACTCTCCATAAGGATCTTGACGAGGTCAGGGCCAAGCTCCGCATCTTTTTCCTCGTTATAAAATGATGTTGCAAGGCCCTCGTTTCCGATACGAGCGGTACGTCCTGTTCTTTGTCAGTGGTCTGGCTTTATCATGGGTTTAGGGCTAGGCTAAGTGTCTTACCAATACGGTGGACGTATTCGGTGACTCCTCCATTCAGGGCACGAGGAAGATCAAAGTTTATCACATGCATCACGTTCTTGATATCCAGGCCGCGAGCAGAAACGCCAGTGGCAACGAGAATAGGGCATCTGGCTGTGCGGAAGGCACGCCTTTCTATGTGTTAGAAGAGCCTCTTGTTGTCAGAAACGACTTCACTTACAGCGCATCTTCACGCTCGCGCTGGGTGCGATCTGAGTGGATGGAGGTACTCGGAAGTCCCATGTTGAACAGATAGTCATCCAAGAAGTCCGCCTGGGTCTTGGTGTTGACGAAGATCAAAGTGCGCGAGGGCGGCATTGACAGAAGAAGATCATAGAGGCATTTCTTCTTCAAATTGTCTTCGGCGTAGATGATCTGAGAGAAGGCGCTCTCTTAGTACTTGTTTCAATGGAGGCCTCTGGTTGGGCAACTTACATTCTGGTCCACGTTGATGTGAGCGCTACCAGGACGTCCAATACGAACTCGAACGTGGTCCTCAGTGAGGAACTTGCGTGCCAGCTGACGGCAAGACTTGTTGAATGTCGCGGAGAACATCATGTAACGATGGTCCGCATCCTCGTTGGTATCTATTTGGATTAGCCGCGGAGACAGAGTGAAGTCATCGTGGACAGTTCATACCTCCGCCAGACATAATACGGTTGAAATCCTCCTCCCAGTCGGACTGAAGGAGCTCGTCCGCTTCGTCGATAATAGTGTATCTACCCAGAGTTAGTATGGCTACAAGAAAAGAAGGGAATAATTCGCAGGTCTTACTTGACGCGGCTAAGTGAGAGAACGTGCGGCTGCTCCATGAAGTCCAGCAACCTTCCCGGAGTAGCGATGAGGATATCACAACCCTTCTGAAGCTCTTCTCGCTGATCACGAGTGGGAGCACCACCGTAAACGACACATGGACGCAGCATAGAGCGATAACACAGACGACGGGCTTCATCGAAGATCTGTGTGGACAACTCGCGAGTAGGGGCCACAATGAGCACTAACGGTTCCGCACGAACAGAGTCCGTGGAAGGATTGAATTCGGCAGCCAGGTTTGGACGAGGTGCAGCAAGCTTTTTTGCCTTACCCATCAACTGAGAGAGCACGGGGATAAGAAAAGCTGCGGTTTTACCCGATCCTGTGCTCTTTTCAGCTTTCGACCTTTGTAGGCCATCGAGTTGTGGTGTACTTACCCGTATGAGCGATGGCAATAAGGTCGTGCCCGGTGAGCACGGCGGGGATGGAGTAGGCTTGAATCGGAGTTGGAACGTCGTACCGACACAGTCTGATGTTCTCACGCATAATCGGGTGAAGTCCAGCTTCGTCAAACTTGGTATTGTCAGCAAGGTGGACAACGGCGTTCAATTCTTGACGACTTTAACTTACGTCTCTCACAGGGTTGGGACGCTCTCTACTTTCGGCAACAACCTCGATGTTCTGCAAGCTTAAGGAGCGATCAGAGTTTGCTTACTTAGGGCATTTGAAGAAAGGATTTGGTACTCACTTGTTGATTTTCAAACCAGTACGGTTAATGAATTCGCTACGGAAAAGCATCTCCTCGAGCTCAGGGATCTCAGGTCCGACGTCACCATACTCATCCCTCCACTCGTATTTGGCAGCATTCCCCGCCCACTTAGGAAGGTCCGCTGCGGCTGGCGGCTCACCCCCAATCTCGGACTGCTCAGCAACAGGGGCGGCAGGGCCAGCGGCAGGACCCACGGGAGCCACGTACTTGCTATAGTCGTACGTTTCTGGGGGGGCCCATCCTTTAGATCGAGCTAGAGAGGCAGCCTCGATGTTTATCTGCCTGTGGCCGTTTGTTTGTCCGCTGGCCTCGACCTCTTGGACCACATTGTTCATGTCCGACACGTCGAAGCTGTCCATTTTGGAAACAGTCAGGGTCGAAGAAGAAATGGGTTGAATTAGAACTAGAAAAAAGCACTAGTTAGGCGCATTTGTTTTGGTTGGAAAGAGAGAAAAGCGAAAGCTAAAGAGGTGCGTTGTGCCCACGAGAGTAGACCACTTACCTATCGAGATATCTCGTGAAGAGTCGTTGCGAGGCGAAGAAGATCTTGCTAGTAGATGACAGGAAAGGGGATAGAGATGAAGAGAGGATGGAGAACAAAATAGAAAAAATATCAGGGAGAGAATGATGGGAGATAAGTGAAGGAGAGAAGAAAAAGTGAGCGTGTGGGCAGACAAGAAAAAAGCTAGGGCTGCAGTCACTGCGCGTCAAAACAACAGCACAACAGAGACATTCACTCTACAACAAAGTATCTCGCAGCACAATAAAAACGTGTTTTCAGCGTAGTTCTTTTGCAATGAGCGTTTGTGGCGGAGAATGTCTGAAAAAGAAAAGAGGTCTACTACAGGCCATGGCCTTTTGTTTGCAGCCGCAGCCGCAGCCGCATACAAATAGAGACGGAGAAGACTCTAGACATTGAGAGACACAAAGCCGTGACCTTCAAATTTGTTTTGTTTCCTTGTTTTGATCATTTCTACTGCACTGGAGCTGGCGCGTCAGTCAGTGAATGCCTTTCCATGCTGTTCCAGGGTCTCATTCAGGACAGCTCAAAAAAAGAAAGAAAACGAAAGGGAAAAAGGAAAAGAAAGCGAAGAAAAGCAGGAGCTTTAGGGCCAGGGCATTGCATTCTGCTTGTTTTTGCAATTTGCTTACTATGCCAAAATATAGCGATGCAGGTATTATGCAGGATTCGCTTCTTCGTATGGTTGTAGTTTATTTCACTACTCCCTACCCGAGCCATGCTCGACTATTGCGGGGCCTACAGAGTACAAAGACTGGACTGTATATAGTTATGGGTTTTCTAGTAATTACTTTTTTTTTTTTTTTTTTTTACTATACACGCTATTCAGCGTTTGAACCGGATGCAGTGTTCCAGAGTTATACACCGCGCCATAGTTCAGCGTATAGTACGAAATAACGGTGGAGAGCATGAACCCATTTATGGATAAGGATGGGAATTCCTCTTATGTCTTAGCCTGTTTAATTTAAGAGTGTTACCACTGCATATGCGTCTTGTTCTTTTTGGCACGTTGTCGAGCGTGGGGGTTCAATATACAACCGAGACCGGAGGTGTTGTACCACAACCAGCTTTAACTCCGGACACTCAGTAGAGAATTGGGACGGTGAACGTAGAAGGCATCAAGCGAAATAAATTGACCTTGGATTTGGCATTGACTTCAACTAATAGTCCTACCTTGGGGATAGCAATGCAGGAGTAGCAGGGTTATAGGTTCTACGGAGCACATGTCACACCAGCTCAGTAAGAGAGATACAGGGGTAAAAGAAGACATAAAACATCGCATCCTTAGCAAATTCTGCCGATATATGAAAGGACTCTTGTCAGCACGTGCCTTGATGCCTAAGGCCTAGAAGACGTCATCCAGCAACTGAGAACAATTACCAGTACAGCAATTGAATACATACTTCTCCCCAGGGGTAGATACTACTCTATTGGAGCTATTGAATGCGACCTCAAAGAATTGAACTACTCCGCCGGTTCCACTCGCTCTCAACAAAAGCGGGCAGAAGGAGATATACGCAGTAGGGGTTATCACGGTCATTATCCCATTTCCCCGAGGATGGACTCGGTCTTCATTGACTCCGTGACTTCTGTCTACTACTATTATATACCGCTGCTGCTCCTCTTCCTTTCTTCTCGGGCACTCAAGCCATCATCGCCATGTCGCCTCCCGATCGCATCTCAACCGTCTTCGATTCCGCTCCGGTCTCCAAGCACACCTACAAATCCTCCGCGGACTTCCGCTCCGGTCGCCTGAATGCGATCGCCAACCCCGGAGCCGTGAAGATCAATGTCGAGGGCGCATTCATCGTCGACGAAGAACCACGATCCCGCTCCAGAAGTCCCATAGAAGCCGAGGGCGTGCATTACGAGAGCCAAGATATCCGTCTTCCCCATCACACCGGCGTTGTGAGCCATGTCGCTGTGGACGTGAGTGATCCCCGCATACTGACAGCTATCCCCGCAATCGCCGACAGAAGGGGGATCGCATGCGCAACAACTTCTGGACAATTGGGCTGATTATGGTGATGATATTGCTCTGCAGATTGGCGGCTCGCTGGCGAAATTGGTCTATTTTACGCGAGAGCTGGACTCCGCGGACAATGGCGGCCGATTGAATTTTATCAACTTCGAAACCCATCGCATCGACCTTTGCATTGACTTTATTCGACAATTGAACGAGGAACATGAGAAGCTCAATGGCTCTTCACAAGACGAATTGTGTGTTGTGGCTACTGGGGGTGGTGCATACTTGTACTACGACAAACTAAAGGAGGCTTTGAATGTGAACGTTAAGCGGGAAGAGGAGATGCAATGCTTGATTACAGGTACGCTTCTTGCGAGTGCGATATCATGTTGAACGTGACGCTTACAATTCTCTGGATTAGGCCTTGATTTCTTCATCACCGAGATTCCGAACGAAGTCTTCACCTACAGCGACACCGATCCCGAACCGATGAAATTTGCCGAGGCCCGACCGGACGTATACCCCTATCTCCTGGTTAACATTGGATCCGGTGTATCCATGATCAAGGTCTCCGGCCCGAAGGAGTTCCAGCGTGTGGGTGGTACTCACCTGGGCGGTGGTACATTCTGGGGTATCTTGTCCCTGCTCACGGGCGCCCGGACCTTCGATGACATGCTGGCAATGGCGGACAGCGGAGACAACAGCGGGGTGGACATGCTGGTCGGTGACATTTATGGCATGGACTACAGCAAGATTGGACTCAAGAGTACCGCCATCGCCAGTACCTTTGGCAAAGTCTTCCGCATGAAAAACGCTGCTGAGCGGGATGCAGAGGATGGCGAAGGCCTCAGCCCCAGGGATCCTGAACACCCCGAGGATGATGTGAAGTTCAGGCACGAGGACATGAGCCGGAGCCTGCTATACGCAATCAGCAACAACATCGGCCAGATCGCATATCTCCAATCGGAGAAACACGAAGTCAAGCACATCTACTTTGGCGGATCCTTCATCCGGGGCCATCGCCAAACTATGAACACACTATCCTACGCCATCCGCTTCTGGTCCAAAGGAGAGAAACAAGCCTACTTCCTACGCCATGAGGGCTACCTCGGTGCAGTTGGCGCATTCCTCCGCAGACAACCGGCCAACTGGGGTCGTCGGAACAGCCTTGACGATACGACAGCGCCTCTCACGTTCAAAGAGGCCCTTCTATCCTAAATCCAGAGCTAGCCCTCTGGACCATTGCCCATTTGTATATTTTCTGCTTTGACAAAAGCATTTGTTTATTATATGTTGGTTTGAACTCTTCGATACCCATTGTTTTACTCGACCTTTCGGTGCATATCAGATGCAATTGTTTGAAGTTGATATATTGTCTTTAATACCGATCATGGACCCAGGAAAAGGTCCAAGCATTATGTTCTTTTGGATGAGTTCTGTATACGTCTGTTCGAGTACTTTTACAGACTGGATGCTACACTATGATTTTTTTTTTTTTTACCACCATGTTGTATTTAGAATTATTTTCGCATTGTATAACACATATTTTCATGTCAGGCCATACACTATCTAATTCCTCCTAAATATGCGTATAGTGCAGATATATAGTATAGGAATGGATGGCTACAGTCCCTTTCAAACACAAAGTCGCGTCGCCGCGCAACGGATCACTTTGTTTTCTCCGTTCACTCTCCCATATTCCCTTGATAGTTCCTATTTCCACTCCTTTTTTGCTTTTTTTCTTCGTTTTATATACATAATACAGGTAATTCCACTGCTCAATTGCTTCTTTAGGTCTTTGTTCCCGGGATCCTGCGTGTAGGCCTCTGACGTCGCGACAATGCACAACAGGTGAATCAACTGTACACAGATGCAGACTTTGCACAACAGATGAGCTAACCCGCATCATACCAGTCCAAAACACCTTCCAAACAGCCTTGTCATCGCAAACCCCCCGGCATATGGCCCAAAACAACCTCTAGCCCGTCACCTCCTCGCCCTCCTAGAAGAATGGCACCGGCAACATCCAACCCCACCGCCATGCAAATACAAATACCGACCAGGAAACCCCAATCCAATGCCCTTCAAGGTATTCGGCCGCGACGGGACCGAATTACAACTCGCGTGCTACAAAATCGTCTCCCCGCAACGCTACTGGATCCTCGTTCTGTGTACGCCGGGTCAATCAGATAAGATTGTTGCGTGTTCCAGTTTACGGGTGCGTCTCAAGACCTTTTTGGTGTGCTGGGCGGGGTGTGAGAAGGGGTATGAAAAGAGGTGTTGTGCAGTTAGGAAGTTTGGGTCGTCCTTGGAGGATGTGTGGTTTTCGGAGGAGTTGTGGGAAGATGAACCTGAGGATGTTGAGCCGTTGAGGTTGAATTCGGGGTCCGGGGTCAATGGCTCCAAAGAAGAGAAGACGCAGAAGAGGCGCAAATCGATCAATTCGGCTTCTCGCCGGCCGGCCCCGGCTCCGGCACGGAACAGTCTGTTGGATGAAGAGGAGTCATCGGCGGAAGAATCGTCCCCCCGAGTCGTAAAGCATACCCCATCATTGAACAGGTTAGCCGTCAAAGCCCTGCCCGAGTTCGGACCCCAGCAACCGCTCGCCAGACACCTCGTCAAGCTTCTAGAAGAATGGCACAGAAAGAATCCCACTGGATATCCACCTTGCAGATACCAAGGACTCCATTCTAGCAAAATCAGACCGCATTCCTTCAAATCCAAGATCTTCGCTCGCGATGGCACTGAGCTGGAACTCGCCTGCTACAAAATAATGGCCCCGCGAAATTATTTCGTCCTCGTGCTGTGCCCCTCAAACAGTCCGCATAAAATCGTGTGTTGTTCTAGCCAGCGGACTAAAAACATGACGTTTCTGGTAGGCTGGGCTGGGTGTAATGAGGGCTATGAGTCTAAATGCTGCGCGGTTAGGGTGTTTGGCTTGACGCTGGACCGTATTAAGTATTTGCCAGACCTGTGGGATGACGAGCCTGGTGTTGCTGCTATGCCGAATACGCCCAAGGTATATGACACAAAACGGAGGTCGGCCGGTTCGGCTGTCCGTCGTGCATCCCCGTCTCCTAGCAGTTCGTCGGATGAAGAGGAATCCGCCACAGATGATCCGTCTGAGAATGAATCAATTGGAGAAGGGGCGCCTAGATCGAAGCGGCGGAAGTCAGACCATCACAACCGTGATAATAACAACCCCGATAACCACCCTAAACATGTCAGCGAGAACAACAATAACCAAAGCACAAACACAACATCTTCCACCAAAGAAACGCATGTGGTTTTCAAATTAATCTCAGACTTTGCAGACGCAACCCGCTCATTCCCGTCCGATGAATGTGCGACTGGGAAGCACCTGTTTGCCAAATCAAAAGAGTTCTTTCGGCTTTTTGACCAGGACGCAGAAGTGAAAGTCTTGTCCTGCCGCATTCCTGCTCGCCATGAACGTCCATATCTGTTCGAGGGCAAGGAAGGCGAGTTTAGGCTGTTGCTTCAGGACCTGAAGGATTCAACCACTGGTATCGTTAATAATATCTTGACCGTTGAGATCAAGTGCGTGGCTTAGATTAGACCTATGATACCAATGTAATTTTTTTGTCTACTACTAATAATTTCAACATATATGTACAATTCCGTTTTCTTCAGGTGCTGTTGTAATTTATGTTCAAGTTGTAGTTGTTTGTTATGATCAGGTGACTGGCGACGAGACAATGAGCGGCTTCGCGTAGATGAGAGGGAGGATAGACCAGTCAACTCTCCTATCCAGAACACCCCTTGCAATTTTTCTCTGCTCTCTGCTCTTTTCGCTTTATTCTTCAATCCCTGACAGAGTGCCCGGCATTTGATCTTTTTTCTGCACCGAGTTGGACTACGCGTCGTGATTGACGTGCCCAGACGCGGAGACGGAGATCACTCCAGCATCAATCGACGATAACCGTTGCGGATCACTAAAGCAGGCATTTCCATTACCATCAACCGTATTCTCTAATCCACTCAATCTCTTTGGCTCGTGCACAAGCTGAAAAAGCGCTAGCACAGTGATCCGTCTGCAGTCCTATCGAGCCTACCGACCCGCTCAGCTCGGCTCAGCCTTGTCTGCCATAAGCAAACACACCACCGAGACGGCCCGATGCGCTTAGCTCGAGTCAAGTCGGAAGAGGAGGAGGATTCGAAACTTCACATGTAAGCTGCATTATATTTCTTGTTGATTGAATTGTCGCTGATGTTTTCCGGTTTCAAGTGTGTCCGAGGATGATGATGATGATGACGACGAAGAGTCGTCGTCTGAAGATGACAGCGATAGTGAGGAAGAAGAGGTACAGAACGACAGAGGAAACGATACTGATACTGCAAATACCAGTATCACACGTCCAGATGAGGGCACAGCACCAGTAACAGCACCGGCACCAGCAACAGAAGGAGAAAAAGAAGCAGCAGCAATAACCGCAGATCCCTTGGATCCGGTATGCATGTTCGGTCAGAGCACCATCCCAGAGAACATCCAGAGCACCTTGGACGAGTGGCACAAACAACACCCAAGAACAGTACCACCATGCTCATATCGGAGCGGAATCCCGAAACAAGCATGGAAAGTCTTCGATCAAAATGGCAACGAGCTACCCTTTTCATTGTTTATGATCAAGAGGCCTATTCCGTATAAGATCACCTTCATTTCCAATGAAGACGGTTCGGGAAAGCTGGTTTCTTGTCGGCCATATTCTCCTTTTCAGATATTTCTTACTGGTTGGAATGGACTGGCGGGCTATGACGAGGAAGCTTGTGCTGTGAGGTTGTTTGCTAGGAATCTGGAGGATATCGTTTTTACGCCAGGGTGTTTTGATAAGGCCCGCAGGACCAAACCGGAAGCTGTAACGACAAGTGCTGCGGCTAACGGCACGTCCACGGAGAAGGATACAACTAAATCTCATAAACGGGGAAGACAACGCGACGGCCGAACGAGCGATGGCAGCACTACCCGCTCAGTCCAACAAAAAAAGCCCGAAAACAACCCCATTTCTGACCCCGCCTCTGAAAACCCTTCCTCGAACGAATCATCACAATCAGAATGCGAAGACATCCCAGCACGCCCGACAAAAAGATCCAGAAACAGCACTTCAGACGCAGCTTTACCACATCCCGCGGCCCCACCCAAAACTACATCGCCAAACACTAAAGAGGTAGCATTCAAGCTCGTATCCGAACTCTCAGACGCAACACGCTGCTTTCCAATAACCGAGTGCAAATCCAGCCGTGATCTTTTCGCGAAAGCACGCAAGTTTTTTCGACTACTGGACGAGAAATTAGATGTCAACGTGCTCTCTTGCCGTATACCGTCTAAACACGAACGGAGATATCTGTTCGAGGGAAGCCAGGGCGAATTCAATCTGCTTATTCATGACGTGAGGAACTTACAGGGTGTTGGTGCGAAGACGCTGATTATTGAGGTTAAGTGTATGGAGTGATTGGCCTTTCTTTGCCTGTTGAGCGAATTCGATGGCTAAGGGGTATAAATTTGTTTCTTTACACTATCGTTCCTGGGATATGGACATCTATCTAATGTTGTAATCACTATATATGGTCTTTCTTATTTAATCGACAATTCTGTTCAATAGTGATCTCTCATGTTGTAATGCTACCTCAGCGACACACATTAAGAGCAGCTGGCAATACAAGTTGACCTAAGAAACACTTACTGGAGGCCACTGGATTTTATGTTATATGCCATTAGAAATTCGTTCGAACCGTTTGACTCAATTAAGCGTGGCATATGCGTTGCTAGATAGAAACAAAAGTATCATCTTGTGGCACCTGGATTTCTTTCAACACAGCCCTGAGATAAAAACGTCTACAGTGTAGCTGTCAGTATCAACTGTCAGACTGGCCGCTGCTCTTCTATATTACCTGAACATCTCTGATGGCGATAATACACAAAACAACGAGAGTTGCTAGGTGAACCAGTGAAAGTATATCATGAGTAACAGTACAAATATTTTGTTGCTTGAAGCTGACACCAGAACTTATTGAAGAATCTCTTGAATCACTTCAGGCTTTCCTCTACCATGTCCAGCTCATACTCTTGGTGCGCCTTCTTCTGCTTCTTGGAAGAGCAACTCCCCTATAATATGTGAGCAGAGACAACACAAAGGATGAGGAAATATATGTAATCACAACCAAGATATGAATATATTCATGGCGGTAATCCTTGTGGTGCTTGTCAATCACACCGCGGAAATCTTGCCCCATAGGTGATCTTCTGACAAAGATACCATGATTTGGGAATTTATGCGCCTAGTACCTACGCTCATACTTGTCCCTTCCGACTGATTTATGAGCTCGTTCCATCTTTTGGTAGAGAATGGTTCTTATTCCGAGGCAGATAAAGGACCGATGCATAGCCCAACAGGACTGGTCTCTTCACTATCTGATGTACTGCTAATATACTACTTGTTTCGATTTTGGTCATGATTCTATCCATTAATAACCCCCGACAGTTCGTTCAAAAGAGACCAAAAACCGAAGGCGTACAGAATGCGCATCATTCGCGTCACAAAAGCAGAGACAAAATTTTCCCGCAAGGCCACCAAAGCCTCTGAAACTGTCAGAAACCCTTACCTATTATAGAGCCCTAGGGCTATCAAATGCACTGGAGTATTCGATGCTTGCCCTAACACAACGGCCACCAGCTAAGCTAAAATGGCTTTCGATTCGAGGCTTAAGAATACTGGGTCTGGAATACAGAGGGGCAATGTCCCTAGGAGGCTAAAAAATATATGAATGGTAATTATATCATGAAATAGGAATCCGACGTAGGTCGATAGGGAGGTTCGAGAAATTCGTGACTATTGACAAATCCTTCTCGATTAGTGGCAATCTCACACAGCAGGTCAATTGTACTATGTCAGAAGAGGCAATATTGCGGATCTGTTGATCTTGACAAATACCCCGCTGGAAAACATTGGCATTTTGGGCTACCTGAAAGAAAACCTGGTCCCCATTTTGGAGTATTGAGCTTGTTGTCTGTGGATCCAATCCATGATCCAGATTTGTGAATTAGGCGAAGAGTCAGATTAAAGATGGAATTGCATGTTGGGATATGCTCTCCCCGAGCGAACTAAATCCTCGCATATTGAAAATCTTTAGGTGCTTGCTGCATGTAGGCACCCTTCAAAGTTGCATCAACTAATTCTACGATCTTGCGAGGTACCAAACTTTAGCAAATATACTAACAGAGATGGAGTCTTATCAATCTGGGCTACTATACATCAGGTAGTTCGTAAAGCTCGATCTGGTTTTTGGCCTATCAAAGATAAATAAACTGCCCGCTAAGCATCTAATCCTCGCTCGCAAGGAACAAGAGAACTACCTCAGCGGCCACTGGAGAATCATCATCATCCTCCCTGTCAGGTCTGGAGGACCGGTGGATTTGGTCCAGACGGGACGCCAGCAGCGACGAAGGCCACTTGAATGTACGAGCAAACTGGCGACACAGCTCAGCCGTGGCAAATGCATCAAATTCAAAGTGGCCCTGCAGAGTGAGAACGCGACCGGGTTGGTACAGACCCTGTATGGAGCAGAGTTCACTGCTTCCAACATTGATCCAGGGTTCCGGAAGGGAAACATCCGGCTTTAGTCCGTCCGCAGCGACTTGCGAGTAGGATACCACCTCATCGCCATGGATGAGCTGGATTCGGAAGGGGGTGCTTGGCAAAAAGCGATGAAAGGGTAGAAATCTCGAGGTAAATGCCGGGTTCAATGAGATTGGCTGAACCCCTATTTCATGGCCTTGCTGCATTGGCTGCACACAGACCCTCACATAGGATTCCTCTCCCAAGGGCTGCTGACCACCCCCGAGTAAGGCCTGGGCGATGAGCTGGTGTCCAAAGCACGAGCCGAAGATCTTGACGAGGGGGAATTGGGCGTGTACTGTTTGAAGAAAGGACTGTAGTGGTGGTATCCAAAACAGGTCGTCATATGCTGCTGCGGCGGCGCCGGTGACCAATACTGCATCGATTGGTCCGGATTGGGCATCCATGTAGGAGTCTCTGCTAGACATTCGAAGGCATTCTAATGAGGGCAATGATCCTCCGATCACATCGAATCCAGTTACGCGAACATCTAACTTCCCGTGTTTCAAGGGCTGCGAGCTCTGATTTATTCGTTCTGCAGCCGCCTGAAGAAGTAGACGAAACTGTGAGCTGTATAAACCTCGCTTGGCATAAATAGGGTAGCAAGGCACATCAGTGTCAAGCACAGCAATATGCACGTGAACCATCTCTCCTGATCCCGACTTCACGAAAGGAGACAATAAAAACAACACCGATCTTTCTTGTAGGCGGAAATCGTGTTCTCCTTTTCCTTTTGCTCGGTCTGGCAGGTATGAAGAGATCGGGGGAGGGGCGGCTTAGAGAACATATGCTGCGGGGGTTCAGTATTTCTTAGTCCTGTTTGTAAATTATTTATGAGCTGCTATTCGCCTGGTCCTTGGCCTTTTCCTTGAACTTACTCGGGCGCCATCCGAATCCCGGGAAAAGCCCCGAACGGCACTGGATTCCAGGAGATAGATATTTTAAATCCATCCGTGTAGAGAAAGGGTGTATAAAGTTCATTTATTTGAGCTAATGCTGCTCACCAGGGTATGTTACCACTTTACATATCAGTTCTGGCATCAATGCAACCCCCTCGTTATGGGGTTTATGTACCCATAGTGACTTCTTCCATCCAGACAAGAGCATTCATTACGAGAGTATTACCCAACATGTCAGAAGACTTCTAAACAGTGGAGCCACTAGCCTTTTGATTTATAGTAGCAATGGCGAGGCCACGCATCTGTCGACGAAGAGCGATCACAAGTGGTCTGCCATGCACGCAAAGTGGCAGGCCAGGACTACACCGAAGCTGTCACTAATGCCGGCTGCAGTGCCAACAGCGTACGAGAGACATTTCTACTGTCCTCCGAGACGACATGTGCCTCCAGACTTAATAAAGAGAAAACCTTCACCATCGACAGGGGGTATCATTGTTGTCGTCGTTTATCAGGTTGAAATCCATCAAGCTCGGACCCCGAGCGCGCTATCAATTCCCCTGCTAGCGATATCTGGGAGGGTGGCTGATCACTGCTGACTTCGATTGGCAAACGAAGCCAGTATCTAGGGGAGTTGGAGAACAGAAAAAGCCTGAGCTGTTTCCGGATCCCGTTCCGTTAAATACCAGGTTGGTGTCAGCTTTCCCTTGTCGGCTCGGCAGCGTTGCCGAGAATCAGTAATGGCGCGATTTGTCTCCGAGGAAGATAGGATTGAGAGCAAACCGGTGCCTTTCCGACTTGTAAGCTATTATCCGAGCACAAAGAAGGTTATATTGAAGACATCGTCACAAGCCATATCGTACCGCACATCCAGCCTGCAAATCCCCAATTAATCACCTGGACAAGGGCTGGCCCTAACAGGTCATTGCTCGCGGCTTGATCTGGGGCCATAGAAGTCAAACCCGACAACCATATTGCTTACTCGAATCGATCTTTTATGGTTCCAGCGTAATATAAATAATTATATCAGATGCGGAAGATGTCTGCGTCAGATTCAGATGACTCGGGAGAGCCGGGATCAGAACACGAAGAGCCCCCCGGCGAAGAGGACAAAGATAAAGATAGAAAGAGGAAGTTCTGACATGTCACCAGTTCTAACCGAACTAAAACCGGCTCACGATGCTGGAATGGTCTTCAAGTTCGTCTCTGAACAGCCCGAGGTGACTGGCTCTTTTCGCGTTGCAGAGTGCAGTACTAGTATAGACCTTTTTACCAAGGCACGGAAGTTTTTCCAGATTTTCAACAGATACACCGAAGTCATATTGTCACGTCGGCTGGCTTCTCGTCAGGAACACGTTACTCTTTCAAGGACAGTGAGGACCAATTCGAGCTGCTTCCCACTGATGCCGACAAATTAAAGAGCAGCAATCAAAGATAGACCGTTGAAACCAAGTGTGTTGCTTAACTATATTATTAGACCTGTCTGGGTCCTTGAAGGATGACCGGAGGCGGCATTACTTGATGATCAATGACCCGTAGATACAAAAATGCATAGTTACTATATGTATGGACTGTAGGTAGTTATATTCTCCTGATCGGCAGCGTCATATAATTGATGACTAAGCACCACGTGGAAGCGTGCGCGTTTTCGGCCAAAACGAGATGAATGCGACTCTCGCTCTCTCTCTGCAATATCTCCAATCTCATTGCTCTGACGACTCAAAATAAATAAAACAGCCATGCCCCGAGCATGAATCCTGCGTCTGCTCGATGCCTTCACTGCTCGGCTCGCCTCCCATCCCTCCATCAGTCCCCGACGAATCCCATCCAAATCGAGTGGGCGGGTCCAGGTCTCACTCTCCTGGCGAGCAACGTGCCCTTCCAGATCCCAACCGCCTAGCCCCTGAAGACGCCTACTATGCACCGTCATCACTAAAGGCGCGCGCCGCGGCTGCGGCTAAAGCAAACCGCGACGATTCTCTCCGAACGCTGAAAGGCAATGGCAACTCCGCCGCCGTTGCGACCTTGCGGCCATTGTCCGCGGTACCGAAACCGGATGCTGAGAAAGACGTACGGGGTGTGAGGGGGACAAGTCGACGGAGGAAACGAAGGAAGGGAGCTTGGAAAAAACTACTCTGGGTCAAGCAGTCATGTATGTTCGGGGATTTTGCCGATTCTGTTCTACGTGTCTTCTATTGAGATGGCCGACTGACAGCAGATTAAACAGACCCGGATAATTACACCGACACCGAAACCTTCCTCGATCATCTTCAGCGAAACCCACGCGTTCGTCCTTATGATTTCTGGCCATTGGTCGCTGATTCGACTGTCATCGTGCAACATGTTTGCTCTGTGGTTATCTTCATCTGCTGTTTCGTCGGTATCGTCCAGGGTCGCGTGAGTCCGGTCTCGGTGGTCTGTTGGGGTAGTGTCGGGACTGCCATGGGATGGATACTCTGGGACGCATGGGCGAAGGCAGATGAGAACGCTAGTGTTCCAGAACGTGTTGTAGAGGGAGATGCTGGCTCGAGTTCCAGTTCGGTTGTGGACTCGACCCACCCCTCTGGGACTGGACAGAAGGATAGCCAAGTCCAAGGCCTTGGACTGAGCATGGGCTCCAACTTACCCGGGACAAATCGATATGCAGATTCTCGCGTTTCGGAATCGATCTCGTCTACAGCAAGCTCCATACACCAGTATTCTATTCCGCCTGAGCCTAGCAGGCCTCTACGCTTATCGTCACGAAACCGCCAACGATTATCAACGGTCAAATCGGCATTCCTCATCTACTTCGCATTACTTGGGCTCAGTCCCATCCTCAAATCTCTCACCAAATCCACTGCTAGCGACTCAATCTGGGCCATGAGTTGCTGGCTCCTATTCATGAACATCTTTTCCTTCGACTACGGAAGCGGGGAAGGCGCAGGCGCCACAAAGTTCCCGGCTTCTCTATCTACAAACGCAGCGGTGATGGCATCCACCGTGCTTGCCTCCCGTCTACCATCCACAACTCACGTGTTCAGCCTAATGCTCTTCTCAATGGAGGTTTTCGGACTCTTCCCAATCTTCCGCCGCCAGCTACGTCACATCTCATGGACTGGACACGTCCTACTAACATTGACCCTAGTAATAGTCGCTGGTGGCGCTGTCGGATGCACCATACGAGGCGGCTGGGCAGCTGCCGTTCTGGGATCGCTACTGGGAAGCATTCTGACAGCGCTTACCATGGGAGGATGCAGTTGGTGGCTTATTAGTCTTCAAAAGTATAAGAACGTGGTGATTGGACCATGGGATCCGGCAAGGCCTATTATTCGTCGTCATTGGGATTGATTGCTTGATTGATTGGGAGTCGGGACTCGGATGTTCTAAAGATACCCCTTATTTTTGCTAGAAATAGACTTTAATTACTGTACATAAGTTTCGTTCTAAATACATTATGTTGTTTGTACTGTGTTTCCCAAATCACCACAGAAAAGATGATAGATTTGTCCTCGAACTGAAGATGACCAGACAACGGTGAGAGTACTACTCAAAATGTTCAAGCCCCGGGAGGGCAGTCCTTTTTAAAAGCCAGATATCTCCTAGGCCTCAGCAATTATCTCATTTGGTAATTCATTTACAAGAACATCCACAAGTGTGTTGGCTCGAAAGAGTGGGCTTATGTTTGAATTTTTCTCGTAATATTGGATCGCGAAGCCAGCAGAGTCTATGGATCTCGTGCGAAACACTAGAGAGAAGCAGGATCTTCATCTTGTACGGTTGTTGCATAGACTCAGCATGTCTCCGATCAGATGGGCAGATTTCAATCTTGACAAAAACGGTACCGTCTCCAATGCTCACTTCGGTTTCTATGACCAAGGCTGCGAACCCCGTAGCTTTGATCCTCCGAACAATCACCGTCTTTGAAAGAGATATTTAGGTCTGAGCAGTTCTGCCCTCTGTCAGAGATAGGTCGCTCTCGACTGGGTGCTATAAAGACTGTGTATTAGCAGATTCAGTGTGCGTCGTACACTGAGAGCAACTGTATTTTGCTAGATTATATTAGATTTGCATTAGCGTCTATTTGGTTCTAGTTACATGATTTTTCAGGGTGTCATACTTTTTGAGACCAAACCAAAACGATCAAGGTCCAAATCGAGGCCTTTCAACTAGTCGAAATAGTGCTCTCGGTCACACTAGGCTGATAAAAGAACTGGTGTCGGTGACATGTTTCGAATATTCCTTGCGCACCCGGGGACCCCTCAGAGGGGAGTAAATGAGAATTGTTGTGTCGTTTATATACGCAGGATCTCTCTCAAAGAGGCCCGTTGTGTCGGCCCCGAGAATCGAAATAGATAAACACGGAATCCCCGAAGATGCATCGTCTATAACATTGTGGCGCCATTCGTCACCTGGAGCGATCATCTTGAGAGGTTGCAGAAACCGGTGTTGCTATATATATAGAACTTGAAGGCAACCTGCTCGTATATTAGCACAATCGATGGAGCTTATAGATAGTGTTTTAATACCGAGGGGATGCACTCACCTGAGAAATCCGTACCTTGTGACTCCGGAACAATCATGTATCCTTCTACATAATATGAACTTCGACAAAGCGGACTTGGTGTAGCCGTCGACAAATGGGATTTAAATGCAATGAAGGGGAAAACCGACTCGTAGTCTCAAATGGGAGTTCTGGCCAACGTAATCTCAATACGTTACGTTTCGCTACCACAATGCCAAGTTGCACTCCATCTCAGCGCACGAGTCATACCACAGACTATAGTCTGCTTTTTCGTGTAGGCGGACTCTAACAGTATTGTGTACCGGTTAGACACGCCGCGTTCATGCGAATTGGTGCATTTGTCGGATATCATATCTCAAAATCCACAAACACGAAAACCCCAGGTGCTGCAGTGATCTTTGCATTTGCGTAAGGTCGCTCTGCGCCATGGTCTCTGCTCTTCCCACAAATATCCACGTAGTTGGAGCTGTACGTCACAACGGTCTGATATAGTTCGACACCACCGTAAGTGGTGCAAAAGGTCATTGTTTCTAACCCTGGGATCTGAAGACCAAAAACCCTTGCTATCATTAGCTGACGTCTTCTTGAAAGCTGCGGTTTCCTTCGGTGGTGCTTACCTGCCTGAGTTTTTTTTCCTTCAAAAGGAAAAAAAGAGAGGTCACACCATTTGTGTAACCTCCTGCATTTGGCCATAAGGCTCGACTCATCGGTTTCTCTTGCTTGTGCTACAAAAAAGAAATTGTGGTTCGGGTTCGGAATACATAAAAAGGATAATTGCTGGGTTCTTCTCTGGTCAAGTCAAGTCCAGTCAGCAGAGAACACCCCAGAAACAAAATGAATGTTTAGAAACGTACTCCCAAACGAAGATACACGTCATAGTTTTTGCACAGTGAATAGATCTCGTATCCATCTATGACGACGCGCAACCAGCTAAAATTGCATATCATCAGTATAATCCGTGACAGAAGAAGTTCGAAGAAGGTCTTGAACTTACCGGACTTTAAAAATAGTAGGGTGGCCATTCAGCCTGACGCATCGAGAATTATATAAGAATGAAAAACAGGCAACCCCTTCCTCCATTTGACCATCTGTCATGCAGAGCTGATTTTGGGCTGTCCTTAGCTCGAAGACCTGGGTGGCTGGATATAAAGAAAAACCAGACATTGCCCGTTTCAGCAAAGCGAGGCTGGTAGTCCAGGATTTGTCCACGTAGTCAATTGCAGACATAGTGGAATTTGCCGAGTGAAACTTGGTCGCGCATGACGCTGGCTAGTGCGTATGTAGGAGACATAACAGGTTGTGAAGTTCGAGATATCAGCAAATATAAAGACAGAAAGACAAACAGCGCCTGAAGAGGAACAGGGCCATGGGACTATGTGGCACGCCTCTTGATATACCGTATAAAAAAACGGAAAAGAAAGGAAGACAAGAAAAGAAAACCAGCAACTACTCCGTACACGCGACTACCCCCAGCCAGATGACAAGTTCTGGAAAAAGCGCACGAGTACGGAGTGCTAGGTAAATCTATATAAATGTGCACGAAGTAGAGTAAAAAGAGAAGTCTGAGCAGAAACGGAAATGTCTGAATTAAATCTTCTGAGGGAAAAGGGGCTCTACGAGGACGGAGTACGACAGAAATGAAACAAATTCATTGACATTTTTGCTTCAATTGACATATACGTTGAGCAGAAAATGGACTAGAATTGCTTTTCTCGTTTGCTTTTCTTTCATGCGTATGAAGTAGTCAACGGATACGGAAACTCGGCGGATGATTGCATATGAAGGTTTTAACTCTTTGTTTATTTACAGGGCCTAAAATCGATCGATAGAGAATTTGCGTATATGCCCATGCACTTTGTAGAGTTGAGATAAATGCACTACGTACAGAGAATGGAGTCAATGTACAAGTAGAATAGTCTTCCAAGACAAGGGTAGTAAGTAACCCTAACTCGCGTGGAATATCTTCAAGAGATTCCATATACCCTAGAAATAGGGATAGAATTTATCTAATTTTAAACTCGACAAAATAATGGCTATCATAAATCGCCTTGCTTTTTTTTAACTATCTCTTTCCCGAATTGGTCTTCCCCGGAATGCCTCAAGGAATGAAGAATGCTCTGCACGGCGCGGCGTATAGTATCGAGAGAAACAAGATGTATCAACTATACTGCTCAGTTTATGCTATTGTGTATTTTATTTATCTTCGAAAAAGCAAAAGGATATTTTCTGAAGAATAAAAAGTACACAGGTATTACGAATTCTGGGGATTCTGTCACACGACTACCCCATACTAAACACCAGAATGTCAGTGAAACATCAGAATGTGGCATGGTAGTCTGCAAGGAAACAGACATACCAGGTGAGAGATAAATAGATAAGTCAATCCGATTTAAATACCGACAGTCTTCAGCTTCGTCTTCCCGCCGAGTAAGTCGCCGACCTACCGTATACGACAACGGCAACGACAGCATCATGATGAAACACGTCCTCTTAGGGTTGTTGGCTGCCCAGACAGCGCTGAGCACCAGATTTGTCATGTATATCGACCAGTATGTCAAACCCCCTATAAATGCCAACGCAGCCACTAACTGACGAGTGCAGATACCATACAAAAGACCTCCCCGGCAAAAACCTCACAGATGGAATAACCCACGCCGTAATGGGTTTCGCCAAAAGCGATCTCTTTACCTCCCAATCAAACCCCCACTACGAACCCTTCGAACCAGTTACCACAATGCGAGACCGCTTCAGCCCAGATACCAAAGTGCTCTTCGCAATCGGCGGCTGGGGCGACACAGAAGGTTTCGCGGCCGGTGCAAAGGACGACACAAGTCGGCAACGGTACGCGAAAAATGTCGCTGCCGTTGTTAAAGAGAACGGGTTCGATGGTGTTGATATCGATTGGGAGTATCCTGGTGGTAACGGGGAAAATTACAAGGATATCCCGAATGAGAAGAAGACGGGGGAAATTGATGCGTTTCCGAAGCTGTTGGAGGCGATAAAGAAGGAACTGCCTGAGGGGAAGATTCTTTCGATTGCGACGCCGGGGAAGAAGGGTGATATGATTGCCTACACGAATGAGAATGGGCCTAAAATTGCGGAAGCGGTTGATATGGTTAATGTCATGTCTTACGATCTGGCTAACCGCCGGAATAACGTGACCAAGCACCATAGCAGCGTTGAGGACTCGCGCGAGACTATCAAGGCATTCAAGGGTATTGGGCTGCCGGCTGACAAGCTTAACCTGGGTTTTGCGTACTATGCGAAGTGGTTCACGACTGCTAAGAATGCGGATTGCAAGGCTCATCCACTTGGTTGCGAGATGGATGAACTTGAGACACCCGATGGCAAAGACACAGGCAAGTCGGGTGTGCTGACCTTTGAGAAGGGCACGATGGCCACGCCCAACAAGGACGACCTGAAGGAATCGACGGATGGATCATGCGGATACGGGACCATGACAACCTGTCCCAAGGGACAATGTTGTAGCCAATACGGCACCTGGTAGGCCTACCTCTCCCCGGGCTATATTAGCCTGAATATACAAGTAGTTACGGTACTGACAGAACAGCGGCACAACTGATGCCCACTGCAAAGCAGGCTGTCTCTCCGACTACGGCACCTGCAAGGGCCTCTCGATCATCGACTCATGGCGCCGCGCCGACAAGAACGGACAGCTAGATGAGAAGGCCGGCGGGCAGTACTACTTTGATGACGAGGTGAACCTTTTCTGGACCTGGGACACGCCCGATATGATCAAGCGTAAGTTCAAGGACGTTGTGGATGAGGAGAAGATCGGAGGCGTCATGGCGTGGAGTTTGGGTGAGGACACGCTGGATTTTGCGCATGTTAAGGCGATGCAGGAGGGTGTAAAGGAGCGGAATGCGTGATTGACTCGCTTGGCTGGCTGGCTGAACTGATGGCTGGGCTGGGTCTTTATCTTGTCTTGTTTAGCTATGGTATTTATCATGCCTTATTTTGGCTCTGTGGTGTTGTTGAATCGAGGGCGATATTCCGTACAATAGCCGATGAGTTAATTATTCCGTTAAAGCACACCGGCCATGTCAGCTAGCTAGTCGGCTAGCCGGTGTCGGTCGGACATCCATCATTAAGCAATCGGGATGGTTGATCTCGAACTTTGTGTGTAGCTATAATCCAATCCCTTGAAGAATATAATCCCAAAATATCTGTCTTCCCTGAAGAATTTGATATCTCTACGTATTTACCTCATAATCCGAAGCCAAACTATGGGGAAACTCACGGTGTTATCATCAACAGCGGGTTGTGCATACTCCACACCCCGTATATGCACAGTATATGCACACTCCGGAAACTCCTGCGCTGATTCGGCCGTGAGCAAACTGGGTAAACCTCGGTCGGCCTCACCCATCCCTTGGCATTAGGTATTCGGGTTAGCTGTGTTTTAGTATGAGGGGCCGATAAGACATGGTCCGGACGCTTGCCGAATCGGGAGTTGACCGAAGCGCCGAGAATGTTGGGTCGATTCTGGCATTTTATCCATACGAGCTGAACTCCATAAGGATGAAGGAATAGCTATTGGCATTACGTACAAAGATAAATGGTGATTTTCTGTGCATCTCTGCATCGCAAGCCGTTATCAGTATCCTCACACCTTGAAACTCCGGGATATACTCGTGCAGTGTAAAACAAGCTCTACAAGAATGTATTCATCCCACGGTTTTCGAGTACTTTATTCAACATTAAACATGCACGCCAAGGGACAAGGAGACTTGGCTGTTGATCGGAGGGGTTGTGTACAGGCTTTGGCACGGAGGATATAAGTAAACGCAGGATATCGTTAAACGCTAGTGAAAATCGTAAAAAAGTCTCATTATATACATGATAATTGTTCAAACCGTTTCTTTCTGTTCGACTTCTAAGCCTTTTTCCTTGCTGTTTTCCATCATTGCGACTTCTGTCGCCTCGCCTTGGGGCAGATGTTTGGCCATGGAGACAATCTTCCACGTCGAAGGTGCGTCCCGGAAGACATGGTTGATCGATTCGAGGTTCCGGTTCATGGTCTCGGGATACCAGAAATACACGGTGATCGGGATGCAGGCTGAGATGACTGCGTACATGATATAGTACTGGTATCCGATGGTGTCTAGGGCGACAGGGGTGATCATGACAACGACAAAGTTCCACAACCAGTGGTTTCCAGTCGACATGGACGACATTGCGACTCTCAATTTAACCGGAGCGATTTCTGTGCAGTAAAGGAAGTTGCCACCAAGGAAACCGATGGGATAGAAGGAGTTGAAGAGGAAGATGAAGAGGGCGGAGACGATGGATGCATTCTTGTTGTCGGAGCCGAAGGAGTTGGTGATGGCGAGGACGATCATGCAGACGCACATGCCGGTACCACTGATCATGAACACAGCACGGCGACCGAGTCGATCGATGGTAACATATGCGATAAAGCTGCAGAGGAACTTCCAGGTAAGGGCGCAGGAGGCGAGGATTTTGGACAGGTCGGAGGACAGACCAAGGTTCTCCTCGAATATAGTCGACGCATACACGGAGATAAGGTTACCACCGCACATTTGCTGGAAAAACTGAAGGGCCATGCAGAGAAAGAAGCGCCAGAGGAGACGCTCCCCGTCCTTGTTGGCGAGCATCTCCTTGAACGACATGGACTCCTGCGACACCTCGAGCGACGTTTCAATGCCCAGGATCTCAAGCCGGATAGTCTCGTCGTCCTCGGGAAGACCCTTATATTGCGCCAAACTGGCCGTGGCTTCTTCAACGCGGCTGACACGCACCAACCAACGAGGCGACTCGGGGAGGAAAAAGACGGAGCCCATGATCATCAATATCCAGACGAACGAGATGGCCAAGGGCACACGCCATTGAATCGTGCCAGATGCCTTGCTCAGACCGAAGTCGATCCAGTTGCACAGCGCATAACCCAGACAGATGAAGATTCCATCCGTGACGACATGCTGGCCACGATTCTTCGCCGACGAGCATTCCGACTGCCACACAGGAACAGCAACACTGAACTGACCAATGCCGATACCAAGAATCACACGTCCAACAGTGAATTGCTCAATGCCATACGCAGCAGTCTGCAACACCTGTCCGATGATGCACAAGATACCGCCCAGGAAAATGGTTTTGCGTCGCCCGATGCGTTCACTGAGAAGCGCACATGACAAAGCACCAATGAGAGCACCGATCTGGAATGATGCAACTACTGCTCCCTTGCTTGTCGAGTTGTGGGATTTCAGCTCGCCTTCGGTGTTGGTGGCGTCGATTTCGGGGAAGGTGTGCACCCAGCTCTGCAAGGTGGCCAAGGGGCCAACACCGGCTTGGTTATAACCGAAGAGGATGAAGGCCGGGGCGACGATAAGGGCCACCTGGGCTATTTGGAGGGTTCTTCCTTGCAGCATTGTGTGAGGGAAATGGGAGGGGGAGAAGGGCTGAGAAGGAGACTGGGTGGTTACAGCTACGGAGGGGACAACATTCTTATACTAGGAGGGAAGGGTAAAAAAAAAAAAAAGAAAGAGTACAGTCAAACCGACAACAAAGAAAAATTCGTGGGGACCCCGCATCCCCTTCCAGACACCGATCATCCATATAACATCATTCGGTGAGGCGATTATCCATTTATCCCGTTTTGCATTGTCCAGCGCTTGGTACAAACTGGGTCTCGGGGGGTGACCGAGTCCGAGTCACGACTGTCAGAACGCTACTTTATCTTCGGTCCGGAGGAATATTCAGGCATGGCTATGGTTAAAGAGGCATTTTATTTATGCTAATCTAGAACCGGATGGGGTAAATCCGTGGTAAGTTGCGCGTGATTTGTACCAAAATGCACGTTCTATACGAGGCTAATATTTTGCACAGTGTTCTGTACTACGACAGCCCTCCGATTTCCTCTACAAGTGCCGATGTGACTTCTTTTGTCTTCGCGCTTCCTCCCAGGTCTGCCGTGACAATTCCCTTTTCACACACTTTTTCCACACACTCCATCAATTTCTGCGCCGCGGCTTCCTCACCCAGCCAATGCAGCATTTCTGCCACAGTCCAGAAAGTCCCCACCGGGTTGGCCACTCCCTTGCCCGTAATATCGAAAGCTGAGCCGTGAATTGGCTCGAACATACTAGGATGCTGCCGTGTTGGGTCCAGGTTGGAAGTGGGCGCGATTCCAATAGACCCGGCTAAAGCGGCCGCCAGGTCGGAGAGGATATCGGCGTGCTACGTTATCGCATTAGCTTTTTCCATGTCACCCAAGATAAAACCAAGGCGACTTCACTTAGCTTAGCGGTCTTGGCTTTCGCGTGACTTACCAGATTACTCGCAACAATCGTGTCGATACTCTCCGGCTTGAGCACCATCTTGGTGGTCATCGCATCGACTAACATCTTTTCCACCGTGACTTGCGGGTAGTCCTTTGCAACGATAGCCGCAACTTCGTCCCACAGGACCATTCCGTTGCGCTGCGCGTTGCTCTTCGTTACAACAGTAAGGTGTTTCTTGGGTCTCTTGGCGGCCGTGTCAAATGCGAATCGCATGATGCGCTCCACTCCCGCGCGCGAGAAAATCGCTGTCTCGGTAGCGACTTCCCAGGGGAACCCGCGATGCGAACGACCACCTTGTCCGGCATACTCACCCTCGCTGTTTTCTCGGACAATCACCCAATCGAGCGATCCCGGAGGGCAGTTACGGAGGGGGGACTGGGTGCCGCGAAGGATCCGAGTCGGTCGGACATTGGCGTATTGCTGGAAGGGCTGGCAAATTGCTAGTCGGAGGCCCCAGAGGGAGATGTGGTCGGGGACGTCTGCGTAGCATTGGCATTAGCAAATTGCGAAGATCGCGAAAGTCGTAGGCCGTAAGCATACCCGGTGCGCCCACAGCGCCGAACAAGATCGCATCATGGCGCTTCAGATCGTCCAGCCCGCCCGCGGGAATATAAGCACCGGTGGTTTTGTAGGTTTCCGAGTTCCAGTCGTAGTTTGTGAATTCGAAGGACAGGTTCAGCTTGGCAGCCAGCGCCTGGAGGACTTCGATGCCAGCATCGACGACTTCGGGCCCGATGCCGTCGGCGGGGATCACGGCGATTTTGTACGGTGGCATTTTCTAAGTTCTGGATATCGCGATGAAGTTTAGAATCGAAAATTGCTTAAGAGCAGAGAATGACAGTTAATTGAAGAATTATTTTGATTTTATAATCGTGCTAACTCCCATACTTCTCCCAGCCCAACCTGGTGAACAATCCGGCTGAACTTTCAGCCTGATCGCATGGCTACAAGGCATGAGGCATAAAGGCTGCCAACTTCCCTCGGGCCATGTCCGAAGTTCAATCAGACAATCCGGAGAACGAAACACCTGGGAACTGGGGATTTGCCTCATACCAGATTCCGTACGGAAAGTGTCCTTCGAACCGATGCACGACCATACGTAATACGTGTACGTCTCCGTTTCCCCAGACTCATTTCCCCAGATGTGGACTCAATCGGGACAAACAGGAACGCCTACTCGTATTCCAGTTTCTTATTCGGAGGCTCAAACCCCCAAATTCCCCGCATTGGGTCACGCCCCGGATGTTACCGGGACACATGGTGTTTTCTGGGGCTGTCATTATGTACAGGTTTCTTGGCTGCGTGCTTGTCTTTGTGTAAGATCTCTGGGCGTTCTGGGCATGTATGGGCATCCGGACTGGTCGGTCTACTGTACGGGGTAGGTGGGGAGAAGGAATAAATATGGCGTCCCGAATCACCTGGACATGCATATTCGGGGCTTTGACTCGCACTGATACTCTCTACAAGTGCTCTGTGTAATGATCTCACTCCTTTCAATTACACTCCTCCCCGGCACATGGTATCAATGGCTTCAATTGGTCGAGCGGATAATAACATTCCCGGAAGTAACTGGAGAATGAAAGTAGTAGAGTAGTGTATGGCATGTTCCACGCTTGCAGCGACAACCAGACCAATAATCCAGCTAAATCCTTGGCATATCCACAGAGGATAAATGCAAAAGAGCAAAGGACATGGGGTACGAATGATAAACCAATATGCGTGCACTCGAGCGATATCGGTAGAGTAAATGGCGCCCCGGATTGACGTATGCTGGAAAGTATAATCATGCAGATATTTCAGGCATAGATGTTGGAATGCTTTTAATCTATCCTCCGACATGGTAGTTGATGGGTACTTTTGCTGAGTGGAGATGGAGTGTGGTGTAATTGAATATATATAAACTCCCTGGAGGTGTGCATAAAAGAAACCCAACCATCATTGCAACCATTAACTCAGGAGTCAATGTAAAACTAGATACACATCATGACAAAATCAAGGTATCAAATTCGTACAACCCAATAGTAACTTTCCGCAACTTCCTGTACTTCTTACACTTGTCGAACATCTCCACCACCATACCCGCTGCCCTCCAGTTGAATACATCTATCATTTCCCCTCCCGCAGTCGGTATATCGGGATGTATGTTTCTTGAATGACAAGCCATAGTTCTCTTCAAACACGGCCTTCCAGTCAGAAAAGCGGGATACGTTTACAATCCAGGCTTGAAGCAAGTGGACATCGGCCAGAATATTTCCACCACGGGATGTGGTGTTCTGTGATACTCCGGCCCACTCATCGAGAACAGTCTCGCTCTAACATGTTTCATGTTCCCTTCGCTGTTATGGACGAAAGTAATATGGATTCAATTGCGCGTGCGTTATTCTCAGCTATCTCTTGATCAACTCCGTCCAGTCTCCTTCCTTGTTGTCCATGGTGGAAAATTTAGGCCAGAGTCTTGGTTCAATCCGTTCAGTACGATGTGCTGAGCTCACCACTATCGGTGCCGATTATAGCACAACGACCGAGGAAGTCGATTAGATAGTATCTAAAGACTTTTAACGACAGGAAGATATACACAATCACAATCGATTCACAATATCGATAATAGTATAGATAGAGGGACACGTATTATTGGATACTAATAATAAGCAAAGCACCAAATAGGAGGCGAGCTCCAAGGCAAATCTCAATCTTCACTTTGCTCGCAAGTTTTTGTTCTGGACTGGTGTGCTTTCCGAGCGCCCTGCGCATGATGAAGGAGCGTTGACTGCTTTATATAGAGACCCCAGCTTCTTCTCTGTCTTACGATCACCAGAGTTCTCAGGTCCTGATTTCTCAGTGCGGGCATTAACAAAAGTCGATTGCTGGTCGGTCAATATTTTGTTCCATAAATTTTGGATATCTGTACCAGAATTCTCCAGATACGTATCCGGAGATTTCAATCACAGCTTGGTCACAGAGCCAGGGGTATTGATATTTTTTTTTGTGATCCTGGCTTTTCTTTTGTCTCAAGATACCGATCACTTTGGCCAAACATTTATGGTTCAGATTTTGAAATAACACCGGACTTGCTTTCTCCAAATTGAACGTCTTTTCGGACACAATGCCGTATCTTTCCCCGAGCTTGTCCTTCCATCCCCAAACGAAACCGAGTCCTGAACCAATAATAGTCGCATTCTCAGTAACGCACAGACAGTCCATTTCCTACCAGAGCAAGTCTTGCTGACGCTCAAAAAGCGCATATCCTCCAGCACAGCGCCACCGTGTAACGGATATTGCCTATCCTTTCAATTACCCGCCTATAAAGGTGACTAAGTATGGTTCCTGACTTGGAATTAAGGTAGTTGTCTTCGTAATGGCTCAGTTGCCTCATCTGTTCAACTTTTAGGCAAGGTTAGCTGTTCATATTTGAAGGCATACAGAAATGGGAGGTTCAATTTCATTGAAACTGGTTAAACATGACAACAAGTAGCTTGTCGCCATAACTAAGTCTTTTATTATATAATTTCCTGTTACTTTAAGTTCTGACTCTGGTCTGGGAGAAAGATATTGTACCTTCCGTTGAACTGTTGAACTCTGTCTTCCATTTGTTGTACGATGGATAAGCTTAAATCATTTTTGAAACCTGGAAGTCTGCAATGGTTTTGCTATGAATCCATGCAATGCTCTCTGTTCTTTATCGATAAGGGCACTTACATCCCTGCTCAGTCATTAAAGTATATCCAGCATCATCTGTGTCTTGCAGGGCAGCCTTCTCCAAGCGGCTGGAACGTATCGTGAGAGTTTTGGTTCCAATGGAATTGGGTTCCAATCCTTGCTCCTCAATCAGCCCTTTCTGGACCGAACTGTGCCTGAACATGGGCCAGGTCATGGACGGTACCAATTCTTATTGAGTGGGAAGTAATACAACTTCTAATCCCCACTCCCGCAAGGGCACATCCGGAAATTCAAATCCATTCAGCAAAGGTGCCAAAATGAGACACGCACGAGCAGACCTGGTGGTCATCGGCAGTACCCATCAATAGAGCTCTTGGAACATCCATGAGCGGCCTTCCACTCTTTCCGGCTCTCGGAGTCATATGTCCGAAGATAGCGTGGAATCATCTGTTCCTTTGGTAGTTTTGGGATATTTTGTTTGTTCTTACTTGTTAAAATTACCCAAAAAGGAGGCTCACCTGACACAAGCCAGCACCTCATCGACACAATCCCTCTTTCATCACCAGTATCCATCTTACAGCGCATCTTGGAAGACATCAATTGATTATCCAGTTCCTTTTGTAGTCCTTCAACAAATGAAACCACCATAATGTATGTGTCCATAGCTTGGACAGGTAAATCATAACCTTGATTTTATCCAAGGACAAATGAGGATTGCTGGATGCGCAACCTCTAACGCGAGACCTGGTCAGGGGATAACATCCCATACCGTCTATCGAATTTCGACTTCCATATTTCACCAGAGGGATGCACTTGGTGCTCTTTTGGAAACCAAGCAGCTTTGAAGATTCGTCGGCTGTGGATGTAAGCAGTTCTTTTTCGGTCATCCACCAAAGTCGGATCCTTGATTCCGGCCCAATCATTAAATCTTATGCGATGGGCCAACATGTCTTCTTTCCTCTATTTCTTTTCTCTGCGACCCTTGTGTTGTCCCTGTCTCCCTAGCACCCAAGCCGTAGGGGGATGTCCACAATAGCTGTAGCTATCAGATCTTTTTCATTGTATCCAGGCGAGGTGCCAACCGAAAATCAAGCCAAATAAGCTCTCTAATTTGGGTCAAATTTCGATCCAGTGCATATGATTGACTCGTCATCTTCGACAAGATATCATTTTAGTTCAACCCGAAGATTGAGGCCATCTATCTCTAAGAGTCTGGGACCACTCGTTGTCCGGCCAAATGTTTGGTGTACAGCATGGCTACCGTGAGCATAGATATTCTGCAACATCCAATTGCGCTCAAGGAAGAAGACCGCAGTGTCTCCACTTCCCTCTCCGTCAGCATTCTGAGAGCTCTCGTCTTAGCCATCTTCATCCTCCTCCTCGTCAACTGGGGTGGAATTTTCAGCTTTCAGGTCATTAGGTCATTGTCCTCTGCTAGTAGCAGTGCATCAAAGTGTCTCTTCTTTGCCTGCTCACCATAAAAGATGTTTTTCCACATGTTTGGGCCATCTTGTCTAAGAACATGGATTGGTGCCTGGCAGCATAGGTATCAGCCTGGGCAGGTCTGATGTAACATCTTGTTAGATTTGAAGAGCAATAACCAAGTGTGAACCTCACCATCTCACTAGATTGGGTTCTCCCAATTCTTTGGCAACTTAAAAAGTACGCCATTGTCAATTCTAAGCTTTTGATGCACACAAAGGTTAACTTTTGGATTTTGTGGGCTTGAAGTGTCGGGGCCGGTCTTTTCTAGACTCATCATAGATTGATAGTAGAGCGCCGTTCACATAAAGGCTTTAGCCGAAGCGGCAAGTAGCGTAACCAAACAAGGATTGGAGACACAAAGGCTCTTCGTACATGGAGAATGTCCCGGATAATAGCTTGACCTGAACATCCGACCGATTTCCAGGGTCATCCTTTTCGATGCTACGAATACTAAAATTGGCTAACTTAGCTCTGTCGTCCTAACTCGAAGGACGCAGAAACTGTTTATGATATGTTATTATATAGGACTTTCTGTTATGATTTGTTGAGGTTATTATAGAACTTACTGAAAGTGGAACTAGAAGGTATTTAGATTATGTATGTGGTATTATGGCGTAGCTTACTGGGGAGAAGCCGGTTTCTTTTTCTTCCTATACTCCCTGTTTTCTTTTCGGTTAAAATAGCTCAGCAGATATGCAGAGCATTACCGGCTTTCCAATACATTTTACTACATGGTTTGTACCGAGCCATTTCTGATGAAATCATTTTCTGGCTTTG